ACACACATACACCCTCCGCAGTTATCTTCAGTAAAGTGCGAGTGGGAGAGATATTGTTTGATGACACAGCCATGTGAGGGGAGACAGAAAATTAATACATTCCCAATCAACGTGTGATCAGAATTGCGCAAAGGTCTTACTCTTAGCCTTGAGGTGGAAGCTGGTTTCCATTTGAAGACGTCCCGGATGTCGGTGCCGTCTCGGGTGGATGGACGTTAGAGATCCCATGGCTATTGGAAAGAATCCTGGCCAACAATCCTCCAGATTAATCGCTCATTCACTTCATGGTTGTTTGTGGGAATTACAGATCACTACCACATTTCCCTCCAAAATCCGCAGTCACTACACTTGACTGCAATAACCAGTGAAACACTTTGACAATTTTGACGTTATAGAAACTGTATCAAATCCAAGATTATTATTATTACCTTACTATGACTTGTTTGGTGGATGTACTCTTATCCATTGTGGCTTTGGATCAGGGCCTGTCTACACCAACAACTCACTAATGAGCCTAACAGGCTGTTGGGCCCTCAACAATTCCTTGGACGCCCTCCCTTGCCTCCTTCAACTCCCATCTCAAGACCCTCCTCTTCGATCATGCCTTCGGCCACCCTGCTACCCCCACCCTCCTGCCCAGCAACACTCCTGATCCAAACCTCCAGCTCAGGTCCAAATCTCTGACTGTCCAGTGCCTTGGGACATGAAAAACACGGTATAAATGTCATATGTTGCTGTTGTTGGACTACTGTGGACCTCCTTAGAGAACATTCAACCCTGTACTTACTGGTACATATAGGTGCCTTGGGACGTCCTCCCGACGTGAAAGCGCTCTATAAATGGAATCTTGTTGTTGTTGTTGTGTGGCCAAGTGATTTATCCTAGTCACAAACAAAAGAGCATCAATTTATTTACCAAGATTTTTTATTGTATGGTACAAAATGACAAACGTAGTTGTTTTTTTTTCAGCACTGAACAAACGATTACCAAGTTGGTAACAGGATAAAACGGAAGTCTGCCTTACTTTTCTTTCATTTATTTTGTTCGGTCAAAGAAAAAAAAGTGACTTGGACAGTACATTCAGGCGTGTTCAACACAAATCTTCCTACAAAAGGAAAGTGATACAGAATCTGCCAGACAAACATAAATGACTGAGTTTCACATCAGTCATGTATTGTAATCTCACACCATTACAATGTTGGCTCATATCAACCTTAACATCAAGGATTTGTTCACAAATGTGCTACATGTGGCCGGACCGAGCACACAGCTAGCAAGTTTGCGATCCACATAGAAAACTGGAGGCTGTAGTTAATTATAATCATAATAATGGTCCTTGCATTTGATATAGTTCCTTATCACGTCTTTGAGACGTATTCACAGAATATGTAAAATCAATTGACTGTGTATTTTGTGGGCGAAACGCGGCAGCCAATTGCGTACAGTAGTGTACAAACAGTCGTGGATTGACTGATCACATTTTTTTTTGAAGGGATTATTACTCCCGTAAATACGATTCACCAATCGACTAACAACCGGGTTCCTACTTGCAGCGAGGTAAACAGAGGCGGGTGGAGTAAGGAAACTTGCCCAACGTTTTACCCTGCCCGGGAATGGAGACCAGGTCCTCTCGCTTGCAAGTCGAGTGCTCTAACCCACTACGCGACAGGACTCCACAAATTAAAGTACATCGTCACTTACTTTCAAACAGCTTGGAAAGGGAAATGTGGAGGTTTGGTTTGAGTCAGTTACGAGTACTGATTACATTCCTGTGACGTGCGTTGAAACGTTACATTCTTGTCAATCGCACACAATCCTCAATTTCCGAAATCAAAGGGTGACGACTGAGGAACTTTGGTGGGAAGAGGTGGGAGGGCGGTGGAAAACGTCTTTCAAAGTCAAATATTATCGCAAATATAAATAGATACTGCAAGACAGACAGACAAAGACACACACGCGCACACACACTTTAAAACTGAATTCCTCCTCAGAGAATCCCTCAGGGAGGTGGAAAGTAATAATAATAATAATAATAATTCCTTACGTGAATGCGTGACCCCAGGTCCTCTCGCTTGCGAGGCGAGTACTCTAACCACTAAGATACAGGACTCCACATTGATAGTCAGCTCATGCTCAAAGGTGGACAAAGTATAGCGAACACATGCTGGTTGACAAACTCTCTTCCCTTACACTGTACAGTCACTTACAATAAACAGCTGAAATGAAAGTTGACACGTCGTTGGAAAAATTTGAGGCGACTGAGCGCGGGCGATACGGTTTAAAGAGACAACGGAGAACAACATACCATGTAAACTTTCCCTTTCCCGCTTGCCCTAGAGAAAAACACAATAATAAATACAGATCCTAATAATAATAATAATAATCCCTTGCATTTGATAATAAAATAATTGACTTGTTCAGTTGCCCTGTGAAGATCTTGGGCAGTTTTATCCCAGGGTTAAGTATAAAATACCGAGAAGGCTGCTCTGTATATAAATTCTGGTTTGGTCAGCTGGTTGTCAATCTGACACACGTGGAAACCCATCGCCATGCTTAAGAGTCTCCAACCGTTCTTTGTATAAAAGAGAATAACACGAGTTCAGGTCTGGGCGCAAACCATCTTATAAATGTTCAGCTGAACACACCTGGGCAGAGGAATGGGGGACAGGGTAAGTGTAGCGTAAACTTCTCCCGAAAGAAAAGTCACCACAAAAATAAACCATTTGACAATCCAGTGGTTGATTCCTAATGGAACAATCACGTGTTTCGTTTTCTGACAATCCCGGCATTCCAAGAAATCCACATAAACATATAAACATTAATACAAACACCGTAAGTTCTTGTATAACTTATATTTACAAAAAAAATTCACAAAAATAGTTTTTGTGCAATTTCCTTCCTTTGCAACTGGAGTGAAACGTATCAGGCTTTATACTGACTGAGTGAGCTACAGGTGACAGGTCTGTACACAACAACCCTCCCTCTTCTACACACTCCAACCCACACCCACTCACACACAACCCATTCACACCCAACCAACTTACACGCACCCACTCACACACACACCCAACATATACCCACTCACACACACCCAACCCACTCAAACACACATCCAACCCACACCCACTCACACACACCCAAGCTATACCCACTCAAACATACACACCCACTCACACACACCCAACCCACTCACACACACACCCAACCCACACCCACACACACAAAGAAAGAAAAGGAAGACACTGGGTCCTAACCATCAATAAGTAACTGCCAGAATAGCCTTATAATCTACAACAAAAGGGGATTTATAGCTGTGCGCACTATTGTCCATTGCAGTCTTCGATACTCAAGTACACACAAACATCCTCATACACACACTCACACATACAGCGCAATGGTGTGGCACAACTGAAAGTTATTAACATGTGAATGGGGGGGGGGGGTGGGGGGAGTCTTTCAGTGCCCGGCTATAAAAACGACTAAAATCTGGTTTCACTGTTGTGAGGCAGGAGATTTTGGTCACGGAATAACTTAACGTCTCAATCCCTACCACACCCCACACCCCTGCCACGCAGGTCCACAAGGCAACACTTGGGAAGGGCCCGGGGCAATGGCTCACGTCAGAAGCCAAGTCAGCAAACTGAGGCAGAGATAAATATCCGTAAAAAAAAACAAAAAAGAGATACAGAACAATCCTTAACAGGTCGACAGCAATGTGGAGCGAAGCGATGGAGGAACGCGGGCTGGGTATTTCAGGAAAGTGAGCAGCTATAACAGGAATTGCACTTGAGAGGCAGATACTGGTTTTAAACAAGGATTCCCCTCTTCAGCCCAGCAAACCACAGCCACCCCTACCCCCACCCGAGAAGATGCCGACATACGGACTGGCGAGGGCTTGCTGGATGCCAGCCTTGCCCATGGACCATTTTGTCACCTGTGAGCCTAGAAAGCGAATGATGCCAAGGCTGGCCACACCAGTCCTGTCCTGTCCACATCTGATCTGAGAGCTGAGAATCCGGTCAGGATTCTCTGCAAAGACATTGACTAAGACGAGATTTTTCTCTTCCGCTCTCCTTGTGAATCACGGATGGTCAAAGCCCCTACACAGATCACCGACAGGAATTCCCAGCCCACAACCATTATTATTCCAGTGCGGAAACCAAGAGAGTAATGACCAGAAGCAAGAACGAACAAACAAACAAACTCATCCCTGGCTAATTCCCTCCCATGATCCAAGGGCACAGAGGTCCCATGTGTTCCTTCGGCTGAGATCACTCAGCACAGAGTGCAGGATTGGACGTAGAACCTTGCAGTTCTGTATGGCTCAGTTACAGTCTTTAGGCAGGCAGTTGGGAAAGGGTTACAGAATAAGTGCTAAAGCAACCCCTGTATGTGCGTGTGTGTGTGTGTGTGTATGTATGTATGTATGTGTGTGTGTGTGTGTAAAAAATATTCAACTATTTCCTTCCTATCCATCTAGCACCAACTTAGCAGCAGGAGGTTAATAACCAGTGAGCTTTGTAAATGCTCCGCGTATACAGACAGTACTCACCACAAGCACCATCACACAGTGGTACAAAATGTCAACAGGTTTTGGTGAAAGGGAGAGTCCAGTCAGTCGCTGGCACCTTCCTGGTTCCAGAGACAGGAGAAGATAGACCCTTTCCCCTAACCCTCCCAGCACATCAGTGGTTTCCGCACCGGCTCAAAGCATTTTAAGTGGCCAAGTTCCAAAACAAGAGGACTAACAAAGAGTTAATATCCTATGAGTTCCCTTAGACTCAAGAGCTTATTTTAGTGGGAACATCTGCATCAAAGTCTGTCTTTCTCACCCACGTACATAGCTTCCTTCACCAACACGGCAGGAAGCTTTAGCAAAGAATCCGTCACACTCCAGGTTGGGGGAGAGGGGGGGTGTGTGTGTAGGTGGGGTGGAGGTGTGTGTGTGGGGAAGGGGGGGGGGGAGGGGGAGGAAAGAGGGGAAGGGATTAAAAAAAACACACAAAAAAAAGTGCAAACCCTTTTCCGAAAGGAATACTGATTTGGTTACAGGAAACGACTTTGGGCTGGAGATTCCAACGCCACATGTAATAAAAATAGAAGACCGTTCATGATGAGTGTGTGTGTGTAGGCGAGTCGCGAGCGAGTGTGCCTTCCTGATGATCGCGTGATGAATCCAGGGTCCGCAGGTTTACGAACGGCGGGTACAAAAAAAAACGGAACGTAGTAGTAAAACAAAGGTTGATCTGTAAAAACACAGACAAGTTCCCCTCTTTCTTTGGGCAGCATCTGAAGTTACCCCCATAAATGCCTCCCCCTTCTTCAGGAACAAATAAGGACTAAATAAATAGAAGACATCGCTGAGTTTCCCAGTAACTTCCAACGCAAAAAAAAATATATATATATGTATATATATATAAATAACAGGGTCTCCGAGGCTCCCTTCTCACTGAGATAAAGATTCAGAATGAAGAGTCGCAGTGTGGTGCAGTGAATGAGCGCTCAGTAAACTGTTCATGTCGCCCACATCAATGCTCCCAAAGTCAGTCACGGCCACAGACATTTTGGCCTGAGCGATGTGGGACGTGCGATCCTCGCCGGGCAGTCTGTCGCCGAAGGCTTTGGGCCGAGAGAAATCCATCGTCAGTTTCTTTGCTGTCATTTCCAGTTGCGGCCTGTCCAGGATGACCCGGTCCAGTTCCAGCTGGAAGAACCCAGAGTCTTGTTGGTTCAAGGAGGAGACAAGGTCGCAGTCTCGGCTGGAGGCCGTGGGATCGAGCGGACAGTGGGAGCCCGATCGGCTGTTCGCCGGAGAGCTGCCGTACTCAAACATGCGTGTGCCAGCACTCATGCCGCAAACTGCACCATCGACGTTTTCTTCTGCGTCGAAGGAAGAAGAAAAAAAGAGCGAAAAGAAAATCAGCCATTGTGATTAGCGGCAGTTGTTGTTGTTGACAATGTTATTTGTAACCCAACGCCCTCAGCCAAACCTCTCCCCTACCCCCAACAAGAGGGATTTGGAAGCGGCAATAAATGTGGCTTCAAAACCGCGACCAAAACAAATAAAAAATAAAACACAACAACAATTCGCAGTTATACTGCACCTTTCACCCAGGGCAAGTGGGGCGGAGGGCGCGAGGGACGAGCAGGAGGCCGGTCGAGCGGAGGTGCCGGGTGGTGGATTGGGGAGCGAGGAGGTCAGAGAGGGAGGGAGGGAGGGAGGGAGGCATTTACCTGAGTTTTGGAAAACGAGTGGCTCTTGTTCAGACCCTCGCCTGCCGCTAGCAGCTGAGATGAGCGGAGAGCTGGCGCCTTCCTGACCACAAGTCTCGCCCTCGATGCCATCCAAATCAGGGTCCCCGTCATCCCTTCTCGTGACGAGAGAAAGGAAGAGTTAATGGGAAGCTTCGAAGGGCTCGCGGTTTGCGGGGCTTTTGGAAAGCATTCACGCGAGGAAGCCAACAGGTTGACCCGCAGAAAGAAAACAGAAATGTTCGTCTCTCTTGAGCTCTCAACGCTGTTTGTGTCAAGAACAAATGAGATCGATTTCTGCTGGAAAATAATATCGGGGGATACAATACAGTATATAGTTTGGGACACAACCTGTCGAGCGACGGCAAAATGCTTATGTTCAAACGAAGGACAAAAAAGGGGCACAATTTTCACAAGGTTTTAACTGTAACGTGTAGTTACTGTTTATCTGTAGGTGAACTCGGCTGTCAATTTGAGCCCAGCAAATGCCCCACAAACAGCCACAAAGTGAACGAGCAATAATATTTGGGGGAATCGGATGTGCCAGCTATAATAAAATAATTAAAGCGAGATGTACTGAACTTGTACTTACAAAGCACCAGGGTGAAGGCTATATTTCTTCTTCCCGAATTTGGTTTGCTGAGCAAAATAGCTGTAGCGTTCCGATTTCTTCCACACGTAATAATACGCCACGCACTCCCCCACAGATCGCGTTCTCACCTACACACAGGAAAGGTCAGCGTTCAGGGCTGTGACTGCAAGGGTGTGTAACCGGCGTCTGCATCAGAGAACTAAGAACACGGGGGAACGTGGGGCAATATACACGGTGTTAGCACCACTGAGCATTAGTCCTCTTGGTACTCCTGAGTGTTAGTACTCTTTGTACTGAAACGCTGGCCACAATGAGAACTGATGAGGAAGGAGAGGCAGGGGGATAAAAGAAAACAAATGGCCGTGTGTGACTGGTTGCACTCTGTCTACCTTGTTCGCTTGGATGAGATGAAAGTTTTTGCCGTGGACTCGAAGCCCGTGCTCAAAGTTTCTGCATTCGTCTTCGCTCCAGGCACACAGCTCTTCTGCACGCACAGAAAACAAAGGGAGAGAGAGAGAGGTCGTGTGTGATGTTGTCACCTGGAACACTCTTCCTCTATCCCTCCTCTGCCTTGCCCCCCCTTCCTTCCCCATCTTCAGATCACGCCTGAAGATCTTCCCTCTTCAACCTAGTCACCTCCCCTACCCCCACCCCCCCGGCTCGGTGTCGTGCTCTGCCACTGTCAAGCACTCTGGGACGCTGCCCTGCCTGAGGGGGCGCTGGATAAATGCAAGTTTATTGCTGTTGTTGAATAAGTCGCATGACTTTGCAGGCGCAGAGAGGGGAATTTTAACTTATTAAAGGAGAAATTATTCAGGGGAATAAGGGCCAACCAAGCATCAATTTACATCAGAAGTGATAGTTTCTAAATCCCTCTAACCTGTTGCAAATTGCAAACTTTTTTTTGGGGGGTGGGGTGTGGGGGCAATCAGGGAATCTGACACGTTTGGAATCCAGTTGCTGTGCTTAAGGGTATCTAAGTCAGACTGAGAGGTCCACATACGTACGTATGTATATATGCCACTGACACATGGAAACTTCCCCGCCTGCCCTTTCACGTTTAAAGAGCGGAGATAGAGAGGAGACCAGACCCCGAGATGGAACGGTTGCTTACGTCGGACCACTTTTACGTTAAACCTTAGTCTTCTGAGGGCTTCCTCCACATTAAAGTTGCACTTCACCAGCTCGTACAAGGCCTGAGGAGTTAAACATACGCTGTGACTGTGGCACAATCTGTGCTGAGTAGATCGAGCTCTCGTTTCGAAATACCAAGTTCAGGAAAACTCACGAATGAATTCATCGTTAATTAAAATAACTAATATTTCAAAGGCAGGGATTAGGCATACGCTAAGACATTACCTATTGACTTGAAGCATTAAGGGATGGGATTCCATTTATGGCATGAAATGTGGCACGACATATTTGTACACCATAACGAAATATTGCCACGTTTCACCCACAACACACAGTGAATCCACTTTACACTATATACTGTGAAGCGCTTTGAGATGTTTAAATGACGTGATAAGGCAAATGCAGGAATTATTATTGTTGTTGCGACTACTATTCATGGAAGCAGGGATTTGAAACCCTTTCAACACAAGGCATGTTGCTGAAACTATCACCGTTTGTGTTGGAAAACTGTAAGCATTTTATGCGCGATTGCGGAGTAATCTGGGTACATGCAAATGGCAGTGTATTGTACACTTTGCCTGTCACCTACCTGTTCACTGTTTTTCACGAGCGCTCCTTCCAGCAAACTCTCGTGGGTTTTCTCCTCTCTCATTCGCTTCAGCGCTTTGTGCAGAAACTCTTCGACCTGTTTCTCTGGCAGAACGTAAGGGTCCCAAAGCAACTGGTCGTCATTGTCGTAAACTACGAGCGCGGAAAAAGGACACGCGAGTCAGGGAGACGTTCATGAAAAATGCAACCAGGCTCAGAGTCGGGAAGAGAGTTTACAATAGGGTTCACTGTAGGGCGGTTTCGGTTCTCTGTGTCATAAAAACTGCGTAAAACTGTCATAAAAAAAGCAGCAGCGACTGCGGCAGAAAACTGGACAACCGCGTAAATAGACGTCGCGAAGACGTGATAAGACTCTAAATCAAACGCAAGGATTATTATTATTATTATTACCTTTCTCGTTGTGTCTGTATCTGCTGAGAAGTGGTGGGATCGGGGCTTGATACTGAGGTCCGATCATAATTTCCTGAAAGGGATCGCAAGGTGAGCACAGCTCCTGCTCCTGCAGCCGTCATCAGCCAGGTAAGTCTGGGTAAGTCCGCGTTCGTTCGATCGGTAGTGCGTTCACAGGGTTTTTTTATTGGTCAAATGTCTCTTTTGATTCGTGGCGTGAATCAAGAGTTACCCAATCGAGGAACTTGATTTTGTTGGCCGGTCGCAAAGGTTGTCACCCGCCGCGGCTTCAGGGGAACGCAGAACGGAAACCAGAATATCAAAGGCAAACTTCTGGGCAGCGCAGAGTAAAGGTGGGGCCTGGCCCTCAGATACACACTCACCTTTTTACAGTCATTAGCCAGAATGGAGTCATCTTCTTCAGTGTCCTCGTCCTCATCTTCCTCATCCTCCTCCTCCTCCTCTGACAAAGACAGTTCCTTATCATCTCCGATAGAGTTAGCTACGAGAAGGGGGAGAGGAATAAAGTAGCCTATAAATAATTACAGAGATTTTAGACTAAGAGGATTTTGCTTCTGCAACGTTTCGCCCACAAAACACACAGTTTTGTGTAATCTTACAGTATATTCTGAAGCCCTTTGAGATGTCGCGAAGACGTGATAAGGCGCTACATCAAATGCAAGGATTATTATTATTATGATGATGAGTTGATGGATGTTTGAGGTAATAGCACAAGCCAAATGGACTATTCCTGTGCTGTAAATTTCTATGAGGGGTAATTCCTGATCTATATAACTCACATCTGAGTGGGTGGCGAAAGAGGTCGGAGGCATCGTGGGAGGTGACAGATGGTGTCAGGTCATCAGCTGAAGACTGCGTCTCTTCCTCCTCTTCTCCAGAAAGAAGATCTTTAGCTATTTGTTCCTGTCGGCAAACAGGAGGACAAGAACTCGAATCTCCACTAACAATGCCATGAGTTCAGATACAAGAACAAAAATATTTTGAAACCTTGTGAGGCTCAATAACACCAACAAGTTAGATTTGTACAGGGTCTCTCACGCCGGGAGAACGTCCCGAGGCTCTTTTTAACTCTCAATCTTGGTTTTCCAAATGCTCTTCGAGAAAAAAATGTGCAAGTGGCGAACAACTTGTTGATATTGAAGTGATTTTTTTTTAAAAAAACCATACAGATTAAAATTTCTCCCACAAAATATACAGTCACTACACTTCACAGTATATTCTGTGAAGCGCTTTGAGACGTCTCAGCAACATGTTAAGGCGCTGCATCAAATGCAAGGATTACTATTATTATTATTATTATTATTAAGACCAGAAAGGCTTACTTTATCCAGCGTCATATCAGGCAAGTTGTCGGCTAGCTCGCTGGGTGAGCTGCCCTCGCTCTCGTGCTCGGAGATGGGATCGGATGCCTCGTAGCCATAAAGTGCCAGAAGTTCTTCCAGAGGCATATCACTGTCCTTCACGGGAATCAAAGCAAATTACGGTCAGTTATAATTTGTCTCCCTCCCCGACTGTTTCTTAACCAACAACAGCAGGCACTGGTACTTCTATGAAGACACAGTGGTCGACATTCCACCTGGGTCCAGGTTTAATAATGGTAATGTGGTCACTCGATCCACAACTGCTGTGCGCAATTGTCTGCCGCGTTTCGCCCACAAAATATACAGTCGCTACACTTTGCAGTGTATCCTGTGAAGCGCTTTGAGACGTCTCGAAGACGTGACAAGTCGCTACATCAACTGCAAGGATTATTATTAATAGTAGTATTATTATCATTATTATTATTACGGCTCAAGGTTGTGATTTGGGCTGATACCTCGAGATCCTGCGAGAATCTTTCGAGTTTGAAACAGTTACAATGATGAATTTACCCTTTCTAGATCTTCAAATGATTTATGTGACTCGGGGCTCTCCACCTCTCGTCGGGGGCTGTAATCGTGAGACAGGATTTCGGCCAAATTGTATCTGTGGTCCGCTGAGCCCATCGAGACAGCTGGAAGATAAAAAGAACCGACACAAGTTTGAACCGCATTTTTTTTTCTTTTTGCGCATGTTAATACAACCTGAGGGATGGCACGCACAGGCTGACAAAGTTAACCGACTGAAAGACAACAGCCATCATTGCCTTTGCACAGAATCTGACATGTTGCTCAACTACCCTTCTAGGATTTTACACAACTACTAGGAGGCGTGCCGAGTCCCGTAGCGCAGCGGTTAGGACACTCGCCTCGCGAGCGAGAGGACCCAGGTTCGATTCCCAGGCAGGGCGAAAACTTCCTTACTCCACACACACTCACTCACACACACACACGCCTCTGTTTATCCAGCAGTAAGTAGGAACCCGGTTGTTAGACGATTGGCAGATCGCTTCCCAGGGGGTAATAATCCCTTCAAAAAAAAATGCGGTCGCACTCAATCCACGACTGCGCGAAACAGGCAGACCCAATTCACCCACAAAATACACAGTCAGTTCGCTTTACAAATATATTCTGTGAAGCGCTTTGACACAACTCAACGACATGATAAGGCACTGTATCCAACAGAAGGATTATTATTATTATTATAGCTCTATGAGGACTCCAGTCTCATAAGATCGACCGATTTCCCAAAGAGAGAGAGAGAGAGAAAATAAATACACATAGGTAATTCCCACATCTCTGTTTGGTGCCTATGGGAGCAATACAAATAGCTGCTGAAATTCAAAACAAATACATGATCACACACATATCTTCCTCCGACAACGAAAACAACAGAAGACTGCGAGCATCATTCCCGCCTTGAGAAGGAATTAGCCAGACCAGTATCCCCGCTGGCAAGCATATTAACGCTTGTGGAAACCAATTAGAAGCCTGTTGTAATGCCTCAATCACAATTATCTCCTATCTGGCTTCAGAACAAGAACTATTCCAATGCTTTTAATCCAAATGGCCCACAAAAAACAGTGCGCTTCTGTCAAATCCCAGCACATTACTTCGTGATTACTACTTTTTCCGATTGTTGGATCGCTTTCTGGGGGTAATAATCCCTTCCAATAAATAAATAATAATCTGGTCACGGAATTAATTGCCTGCCGCGTTTTGCCCACAAGATACACAGTCACTACACTTTACAGGATGTTCTGTAAAGCGCTTTGAGACGTCTCGAGGACGTGATAAGGCACTTGATTACTATTGCAGAGTTTTCACTCAGTATATCTATCTGCAGTTAATGATAGGGAAGGGTGACAGAGCCTCACCGAGAGTCTGGACACTTTATTGATTAGCTGCCGGACTGCTTTAACAGGTTGTTGCGATCTCCTCAAATGATGTTTGGGGGGCGTCCAACTTTGTGGCTGCTGAGGGCCGGATGCCCTATTTGAGAAATATCCGTGAGCCGCATACGCAATATTTTTGTATCAAGGGATACGGGGCAAGGGGTGAGTTATTGAAGTTGAGGTAAAGATCAGCCATGATCTGATAGAATGGCGGAACAGGCTCGAGGGGCTGAATGGGCTCCTCCAATGTAAAATTGAATGGGGTAGTGGAGAAGGGGGCGCGGGGGGGGGGGGGGGGGGGGAGTGGGAGGGAGGAGAGAAAAAGATGAGACCGGAGACACAAAGTAGAAAATCAACATTGTTTACTTCAACCTGGAAAACATTACAGGTAAATAAAAATCTCATTCTATAGTCAAATGCACATCAGTCTATTTTTGACGACAACTGGAGCTGTATATAAAAATACAAGGGTGATTTTAATTATATATATGTATACAGTAAACTCCTGATAACTTGTCACTCCAAACAGAAAGGGCTCAGTGATGAGTTAGATGGGAGTGTCGAGTTAGGCGTATGTATTAATGCATAAATAAATGGGATATTGACAGCGTAATTACTCAAGCGGTCGTGAGCAGTTATGCCAGGGTTGACAAGTTATCAGGTGTTTATCGTTACACGTTTGCTCTGGCAACGTCCGCAGTGCCCTAGCAACGTAAGCTCGGTCTGACCTGTATCAATATCTGCCGCAATAATACATTGAAGTGAATGGAATAATCTTGTTATGCGTGCACATTCCTGTTAAGCATGGTCGAAGGACAGTTCATTGCCACTTTGTCCTACGCACAACATACAGTAAAACTCGCATAAGTCTGATCTGTATAAATCGTATGACCGCCCAAGTCGTACAACTGTCTGTTCACGTCCCATTCAAGAGTTTATAGTCTATGCAAGTTTGACATAACTCAGGCATTGCACGAGTCATATTAAATATCTGATCCCGATGATACGACTTATGGGAGGTTTACTGAACGACCTGCGGGAAAGACCTAAGATCATCAATAGGCCACGTTGGAGCAGTGTGAGGCGGCTTTGGGTAGACTTGACCAGCTTCTGATTAACAACACACAGGAGGGAAGGATGGTGGGTGAGCGGTTTGTCAACCTTACTCTGCTAACTCTCCCTATCCTCACTGCAATGTAACTACGTCAATATACACCTGGGAGTTCCCGCACACTTTCACGACACTGTCAATGGCATCCCTCAAAAGGCTCTGGGTTAGTCTTGGGAATGTCAATGACGGTTAACTGCTCGGTCGATGCGTTTCCTGATCTGTTGGTACAGACCTTCCAGTTAGTAGGGTATGTCCCAGCTATGGCTGTGTGGAGGGCACAGTGACAGGTGGAGGGTCCTCCTTCCACTGTGAGAACAACCTGGTCTCAACATGACCTCCATGGTTAGGGTACGGTTGCGGCAGAGTTAGGTGAAGATGAGTTGAATGGCTGAATCTGTGGAGACACGAAAGACATTGTTTCATTAATGACTCAATTGCATATATTGTACTCTGAAAATGCAAAAGTATTGTTGTAGATTCCAGCAGCACAAAATCCTTTATGTGGTTCAGGAGCATCGGGGGAATGTGGACAATCAATGACTTTCAATTGATGTGACTCTCAATGACGTTACAAACTGTCTATTAGCAATCTGACCAAGGCCAATGTGACGTACAGTGCAAGCTCTCTTTACAATTCACAGATATCACGTGGTGCAGTTTGTTTTTGAACACTCACCAGACTGGCAAGACTTGGCGGAGGTATTTCTCATTCGTGAAGTAGCTTGAAAGGTTTCCCAATCATTTGGACCATTGTTCCTTGAACCTTCCCCCTCAGGGCCTGTGTAGTATGATTCAATCAAGTTTTTTTGGCTTTGCTTTTCTTTGACGTTAGCAATTAATTTCCTATCACGTTCCGCCATTCTTGAAACCTTCGGTCACTTTCTTCCTTGTAATCCACGCCGATTTTCACCATCCTGTCATTGGCATCGTGGATTTTTTTGTGCAAAAAAACAAAACAGAACAAGGAACCTCTGTATTTCACTAAAACAGTTCTGCTTCAATACACACACATGTGAATGTCTTCTGCCTTGATTCGGCATCCTTTACTGCTGCCAGCGAACATTCACAATATTTTAGTGGAGTGCCTCATGTTCCCTCACTTGATCCCAACCAACTTTCATGAGGTACCATTGACCGACAGCAGCAAGCTAACGAGGTTTTCCAGCTGAATTTGATGCATTCCCTCCCGGGTTTAAATAAGTAAAAGTATTTTTTTTATTGCTCAACTGTCCGGTGGACCTCAATATACCCGCAGGATTTCCCTCCTGATTTCTTTCAAGTTTCTTTGCAACACCTTGTAGGTTCCAGAGCCACGATCCAGAAGAACAACAACAATAACAGCAACAATTTGTATTTATACAGCGCCCCTCACACAGGGCAGCGTCCCAGAGCGCTTTACAGTGGCGGAGCACAACGCAGAGCCGGGGAGGAGGTGATCGTAGGCACGGTCGAAGGGGAAGCGCGGTCTGAAGGTGGGGAAGGAAGGAGCGAGACAGAGAGATAGACGGAGAGTGTTCCAGAGTTCCGGAGGAATGAATTTGTCCACAGTCTTCAGTTGTGACGACTGAGGAAGAATGCATTTATCCGATCTGCCATTTTCTGATCAACACCAAGATGTCTACCTAACTGACACCCCTTGTCAACAACAACAACAACTTGGATTTATATAGCGCTGGACGGCGTCTCAGAACGCTTGTCAAAAAGCTTCCAACAATTTATTTTTCTAAAGTCTTACACTGCCATGTGATTAATATTGTGCTGGGACTTTAGGAGGTAGTTATGTACATTAAACATTTGACTTATTTGGTCCAAGGCGCAGGAAACAATCAATTAGGCACTTAACCACGAGCAAAGTGTGGCTTCTTGGCTTTCATTAGGCTCGAATTGAACAACAGAGACAAATACTAAGCAAGTGTATGCTTTAAGTTAATTGGCAACCTAGCCTTCCACAGCATTAGAGAACATGCATACTGAACACCAAGGCATAAAACAACAAAGACCAAACCATCGACCTGTCTCAAACGGCCACTGGAGATTAATCAGCTTGTTAATAACCACAGATATTTGCTGGTTTGTACAGGAATCAATTAATAGCATTGTTATAGATAATGGTGGCGTGGAAATATAGCTTTCCAATCACATGACCACCGTAGAGAAATCAACAGGCACAACAACAACAACAAAAGGTAAGGTCCCAAGCTGGGTGCAATCTTAAGGAGTGTCCTGCAATGTGGTCCATCGGGTTAAGAGGGAGGTACATTTGTTTCCTCTTGTAACTGATATTGGACGAATAATTTACATTAAAAGCTCAATAATGAATCTTACATTCAACCATCAGTTAGTAAATACTTTCTTAGTTACGGAGATTCATGCTTAAAAGCAAAGGATGCATGAAAGCCTCTGTACATGAGATAGCTCCGTGTCTGGATGTCATTGAACTGCAAGACGTGATGAGAGACACAAGTAAAACTTCAATAGCCATGATGCCACAACGGTTCTCAACTTAGTAGAGTACTGTACCTCCTTCAGACTGAAGCCCGTTTTCTAAGGAACATAAATTCTGCGTTCGATACAGCACCACACGTGGGTTCTGCCTACCGACAGAAGCCTAAGAGGAAAAAAGCAAAGCAGAAAAAGTATTAGCTTTCGATTTTACAAGGCCTTACCCCCCATGGCACAGCGTTCCTCCTCTTGTCTGGTTGTCATCTGACCAGGCTTGGCTCTGGATCATGACTGAAGACCTTCCTCTTCGACCGTGCTTCCGGTCGCCCCCACCCCGCCACTCCCCCACCCCGCTCGGCGTCAGGCTCTGTGAAGTGCTCCGAGGCGCCGTACATTGCAAGTTGTTGTAATTCAGCCTTCCTTGGTCATCTTTATTGAAAGCACAAGGATGTTCGGCCCGATTATTCATTAACTTGGTCCCCTCTATTGAAACAAACCCGTGTGCGTGGCCAGGACGAGCTAGAACTTCTGTGTTTTTAGGCAGGTCCTATTGCTCACGTTTATTAATAAAACCTGCCACAGACTTCAACCTCATCACATTCGAAAGGAAACGAATCGCATCTTGAACGCCTTCAAGATTCAGCGACAGCTGTAGCTGTAGACTGGGGCTCGAGGTTAATTAATTTCCCGATCAGTATAAGCAGTCGGATACCGAAAGGAGTTCAAGTTTCTGAGTGATCTTTACTCCCAAGTATTCGGATTTAACGCAAAGCTTCCAGTTACGGTGCCCTCTCTTATGATGGCCGGGAACTGGTTTATTGGGGGGGGGTCGAGTCCTATCAGACGGAGTGTCTGTCAGGCGGGCGTCGGTGGTGGGGGGTCTGACAGTGAGTGTGACTGACAGGGGTGACTGACAGGAGGGTGTGGCTGACAGGGGGTGTGGCTAAAGGGGGTGTGGCTGACAGGGGGTGTGGCTGACAGGAGGGTGTGACTGACAGGGGGTGTGGCTAAGGGAGGTGTGGCTAAAGGAGGTGCAGCTAAGGGAGGTGTGGCTGACAGGGGGTGTGGCTAAGGGAGGTGCAGCTAAGGGAGGGTGTGACTGACAGGGGGTGTGGCTAAGGGAGGTGCAGCTAAGGGAGGTGTGGCTGACAGGGGGTGTGGCTGAAGGGGGTGTGGCTGACAGGGGTGACTGACAGGAGGGTGTGACTGACAGGGGATGTGGCTGACAGGTGTGGCAGACAGGGGGTGTGGCTAAGGGAGGTGTGGCTAAGGGAGGTGTGGCTGACAGGGGGTGTGGCTGACAAGTGTGACTGACAGGTGTGGCTGACAGGGGGTGTGACTGACAGGGGGTGTGGCTGACAGGAGGCGTGGCTGGTAGGGGGCGTGGCTGGTAGGGGGCGTGGCTGGTAGGGGGCGTGGTCGGTAGGGGGCGTGGTCGGGGGAGGGGTTGGAGGCGCGTCCGAGAAGTGACGGACAGGCGAGTGATCATGTGACGAAGTTCACCAACAAGTGGCGGCTGCGCGCATGCGCGGTGCGGCGGCGGCGGCAGTGGTCACCGGGGGAGCCCGGCCCCCCCCACCGCGCGAACCCGTCTCTCCCGCTCCCGCCGCCGCCGCCGCACCGACACCAGCCCCCCCCCCCCCCGGTGACCCGCGCGCGTGCGTGAGAAGCCGCCGGGAGCGAGCATCGCCGCCGCCGCCGCCGTTCCCGCCTCACCTCCGCCATGTTGTCCTCCCCGAGCCCGGGGCCCGGATGTGCCGCTCCGGGGCCGCGCTGATTGGCTGCTGCGCATTTAAAGGGACCGCGCACACTCCACACACCGCGTGTACATGTGACAGTGTGTTCACACCCTCCCCCCCCCACCACCACACACTCACCACCACACACTCACCACATGCACACGCATCGTGGACACGCGCCCGCGCGCGCACACCGGGTGTACGGGACACGCGCCCGCGCACGCCTTGCGGGCGGTCCCGGGCGCGCGGGCACCGCGTGCGCTGACGCCCACACCCACCCACATTATGTGCACACGCGCACATCTGCGTACACTGCACAACACAAACCGCACGCATACATACTGTAGATATACACAACCACATGCACGCACGCACACGCACACACGTAAACACATACATACGGACACATACACATACCCTTTTCATACTATTTTTAATACAAAAACAGTCACTTTACATTTATATTCTGTCAAGCGCTTTCAGACGTCTCAACGATGCGATAAGGCGCTATATAAAATACACGAATCATTATTATTATGCGTACACCCCCCCATACATGTATACATACACACACTCCCAATCTCAAACGTAAGGACTATTATCATTATTTTCTTAACTAGATTGCTGCCAATATATTTGGGAAAAAGAAATGAGAGCATTTAGAATGTTCTTTATTTGCCTTTGGACGTCTATGATGATACGCCCTTTGTATTGGTGACCACTTTTGCGAAATTTGGATTTGTCGATAACTATAGTACTTTCACTGGTGCAATTGTAATTGAGCCTTCAACACATACCAGTGTACACAGTGAGTGAATGTTGCTGTGCACAATTGGGCTTCCGCATTTCCCAACGAATACACAGTCATTCCTCTTTACAGTACAACAACTTGCGTTTATATAACATCCTTCAATTAGAATATCCCGAGGCAGCTCAATGACATGATAAAGGCTCTATATCAAATACAAGGAGTATTATTATTATCTTCCCAATTAACCACTGTTCCTTGTGGTTCCAGATTTAACACATGATGTTTCATAACAGTTGCGACGAATGTGCTAATAATCACTTGGAATCGAAAGTCACATTTTTAAAGGCCATATTATCATTTCCAAAGATCTTCTCCCTGCCGTCCAGCTCATCTAGTTTAACCTCTGGTTAATAATTGTTCCGAAATATCATGGGGGTCGGGGGCGGAGAGGGGAAGGAGTGGGGTGGTTCTACGTGGTGTTGTATTTTTAATGCGAGATGGTTGGCCTTGAATCGGCGCACTTTTGACAGTGACACAAACGTGCAATTAAACAGTACTCTCGACGGCATATGTGAAGCATCAACCCGTGCTCTTAACGCTCCCCTCTCTACGTCTCTTGTTGCTAAGGAACAGTGGCTGACGGCACAAGCTTTAGCAGGAGAAAATCCCCAAAGTAGAGCAACAACAACAACTTGCTCTTATACAGCCCCCTCCAGCAGGGTAGCGTCTCAGAGCTCACAACACATCGCGAAGGCGACCTAACAGCTAGAGGAATTTCGCTCCCCGCTTCACCCCATCACACCCCACCCTCACACACAAAGTGTTTTAAAGAGCTGAACTCCCCCACCCCACCCACTGTGCTCTAAACCATCTTTATTCTGCATTTATCGTGCAATTTTCAACCCCAGGTCTCCTGCTCCGGGCCCCCAGCCTGGCTCATTGGCAGGACCCGGAAGGGCAGACCAGTCACTGGGAGGGGGCAGGGAATCCTCCCCCTCAGCTCCTGTTAACCCTGTAGCCAAAGCCCTAACGGGGAGGGTGGTCCTAGCCGGACAGTAGCAGGAAAGCTCACCGGACAGCGATATCAATGGCAAGCCATGCATTTTTTTTTGGCTGGTTAGACTCCAGCCCAATGCACACTCTGCAAAGCACCGAAACTAACAAGACTGTAGCCGTGTGGTTTTGTGTCAAGGCTGAGTTTATGTGATCTTCTTGGGTGTGACTTTCCTAGGGAGCGGGGCAGCGAGTTCCAGTGTCCTCTGTGATGCCACGGCGTGTTTGGCAGCTTCTGATATTTGGAAGATGTCGTTTTCCTTGGCCAGGGCGACGTATTTCCGGGGTACAGCCAGGGCCTTCGTCCTCTCCCCCGCTTCGTATGTCAGTGCGTAGGGGGACACGGGCTGCTCCATTGGCTTATTCTGGACAAAGTCTTTGTGTGTCCCTTTTGGTTCTGTTGAAACAAGTATTATAATAATAATAATCCTTGCATTTGATACAGTGCCTTATCACGTCGTTGAGGCATCTCAAAGCACTTCACGGAATATACTGTAAAATGGAGTGACTGTATTTTGTGGGTGAAACACAGCAGTGCCCGACAAACAGTTGTAGATTGAGTGATCAATTAGTTTTTTTTTCCAAAAAGAGGGATTAATACCCCCGGAAATCGCTCTACCAATCGACTAACAAGGAGGTTCCTACTTACTGCTTGGTAAACAAAATACACAGTCACTACACTTCACAGCACATTCTGTGAAGCGCTTTAAGCCTTCCCTCCAAGGCACTATATCAAATGCAAGGATACTTATTATTAGTATAACTTCTATTTAAGGCCCCAAGTTCCTTACTTGATAATTCTACTAGTCTTGGTGTGGCTGTCACATATTTGGCTGCTGGTGATACTTGGGTGACATACTGGTTGTCAAACATATAGGCTGGTCGTTCAGACGTCGAACTATAGGTTTTAGGCTCAGCCAACTTCTGTAATCGAAAAGACGGTGGGACATTCGGGCCCACAGAGGCCTGAATGTTCAAACACAACAGAAAAAGTGGAATAAAACATAATAACAACAACAAATTACATTTACTCAGCGCCTTTTACATCGGGAGGACGTTTCAAGGTGCTGAACAGTCATGGATTTGGACCCGAGCTGGGGGTTGGGATCAGGAGGTGTGGAGGGCAGGGAGGGTAGGGGGTAGGAGGATGTCCAAAGGTGCGGTCAAAGAGGAGGGTCTTGAGACGTGCCTTGAAGGAGGCAGGAGAGGGAACAAGGTGAAGGGACTGTGGGAGGGAGTTCCAAAGGTTGGGGGCAGAGAGGCTAAAGGCCTGATTATTATTATTATTAAGCAAGTTGTTTTACTATTTGAGGTGACCTGTATTGACTGGCTGGTGCGGTGAGGGAACCAAAGGGCACAAATACCTCACTGTAAGGCGAGCGGTCCTGTTTCCAGTCTTTATTGACGACCCTTGGCTGAGCCAGCTCACGGGTTTTTTGCGTGGTGACAACTTTCATGGCCGATTCTGGCACAGGCCAAATGGGTGATGGTCTGTGTGAGGAGAGAGGAGACTTTCGTTAGCTTTATTCCCCCCCATAACCCCCGAAAAGCAACCCTTTATAATCCTTGCATTTTGTTTTTAGACAGCGCCTGATCATGTCTTCTCGACGTCTCAAAGTGATTCACAGGATATACTGTGAAGTGGGGTGACTGTATTTTATGGGCACAACGCCAATTGCCAATTGCGCACAGCAGCGTCCCCACACACAGTCGTGGATTGAGTGACCAAATTATTAGACTTTGCCAGGAATATTAAGTTTTATGATAAATCTACGGACAGGCTCCCCAGGGAGGCGGCGGAAGCAGAAAGTGTTGATTCTTTCAAATACAAATTGGAGAGTTTTCTGTCAGGAAATAACATTCTGGGATACAGCAAATATTTGGTCGCTCAATCCACGACTGTTTGTGGGACGCCGCTGTGCGCAATCGGCTGCCACGTTCCGCCCACAAACTACACAGTCAATTCACTTTACAATACTGATTATATTCCGTGAAGCACTTTGAGGCATCTCAACGATGTGATAAGGTGCTATAACAAATGCAAGGATTGTTGTTATTAATTTACCTGTTGGGCTCATAGTCCTTGTGATAAGCCTTGGGTTCACTGAGGTACATGAATCTTGGAATGGCATCTAGGAGGAGGAGGGAGAGGGATGCAAAGGAAAAAAAACATTTTAAAGTCACCTAGGAGTAAAATTTCTTACTTTTGCCTTCCACCACCCAACTCAAACAAACACAATTTAAAAATGAAAACATTAAACTATTCTTTTTTTTTTTTTACGGGGGGTGGAATGTGACCCCCATCGCTGAGATAATCATCCACAGCTGATCTTAAAGCTCTCCCCCACCACCCCCAACACTGCAGCTCTTTCATTGATAATAACTAGGCTTTCAATCTTGACGATATTTTACTTTGCGTAGACAATTCACCATCGTTTATATTTGAAAACGCATCAGGTTACTTTGCGATTCTCTCTGCCGTCTTTTCCTTAACATTTCTCTTCACGCTCTATGTCTGTTTGTCTCGTTTCCCCCACCCCCCCCGTTTGCCTCCCGTTTGCTCAGGCTGCTGTGTCGTTCTGTTCTGTTCCTTTCCTTTTGTTAGCGGCTTGACCTGTCTGCCTCTATCCTGTTTCCAGACCTCTCGGGTGTCAGGTCTACCAGGTGTTTTTCAGTTTCTAACAGATCAAACTATCAGGTCCCTGGAGGGATGAGGGTGGGGTGGACAAAGGAACAGGAGAAGGCCAATCAGCCCTTCGAGCCTGTTCCACCATTCTATTAGATCACAATACGGATGCACTGAGGGGATAAGGACAGGGAGCAACTTAGGGAAATTTTCATTAGTAGAGAATTGGTGCTCGGGAAACTGTTAGCACTAAAAAGTGACAAATCCCCCGGTCCGGATGATCTGCATCCCGGGGTTTTAAAAGAGGAGCTTATGAGGTGGTGGAGGCCTTGGGTCTGATCTTCCAAAATTCCTTGGATTCTGGAACAGTCCCCATGGATTGGAAGATCGCAAATGTCACACCACTATTTAAAAAAAGGTGGAAAGGAAAAGATGGGGAACTGTAGGCCAATTAGTCTCACATCAGTGATAGGAAAATTTTAGAATCGTGGATTAAGGATGTGGTAGTGCGGTATTTAGGGCACAATATAATTAGGCCGAGTCAACACGGCTTTACAAAAGGGAAGTCATGTTTGACAAATTTCATAGAGTTTTTTTAGGATATTTCCAGTAAACTCGATAAGGGTGAATCAGTGGATGTGGTCTATTTGGACTTCCAGAAGGCGTTCGATAAGGTGCCGCATAAAAGGTTAGTCCAAAAGATAAGGGCCCATGGAATTGGGGGGAGCATATTAACGTGGATTGGGGAATGGTTGACGGGTAGGAAATAAAGAATAGCGATAAATGGGTACTTTTCAGATTGGCGAGATGTGACTAGTGGAGTGCCACAAGGATCAGTCCTTGGGCCTCAGCTATTTACCATCTACATCAACGATCTGATGTGGACATTGAAGTTAATATACCTAAATTCGCGGATGACACAAAACTAGGAGGAAGGGTCAACACAGAGGATGGAATTCAAAAAACGCAGCGACACATATCTATTTATCTAGGTTAGGTGATTGGGCAGGTAGGTGGCAGATGAAGTATAATATAGGGAAGTGCAAAGTCATCCACCTCGGGAGCAAAAACAGTAGAGCGGGTTATTTTTTCGAAGGGGAGAGATTGGAATGTGTTAGCGTCCAGAGGGACTTGGGTGTCCTTGTACACCAATCACAGAGAGTTAGTCTGCAGGTGCAGCAGCAATTAGGAAGGCGATCGGTATGTTAGCATTCATTATGAAAGGATTAGAGTATAAGAGTAGAGAAGTCTTGCTGTAACTGTATAGGGCCCTGTGAGACCACACCTGGGATACTGTGTGCAGTTTTGGACTCCTTATTTAAGGAAGGATGTACTTGCCTTGGAGGGGGTGCAGCGTAGATTTATTAGGTTAGTACCAGGGATGAAGGGGATGAGTTAAGATTATGTCCTGCATCTTCACACCAAAGGAATTAGAATTGGTGGTGGGAGTGGAAGTTTGCACCCTAGTCTCTGGGAAACAGAACAAGAGGGAAGATGTTCTGAAGGGAATCAGGCAAATTGCAAGCAGAAGCCAGGAAGTATTTCTTCACGCAGAGGGTAATTAACGACTGGAAATGGGAGGTGGTCAAGGCTGGGATTCATTGGAGGCAGCTCAATGGTGCAGTGGGAGGAGGATGGTGCAGGGGTTAGAGGTGGGAAGAGATCAGATCGGCTGAAGGGCCGACCTTTCACCCCGAAGAAACTTTCTTGTGACGTTGTGAGATTATGTTTCACGCCACTCCAGGACCTGATAACCTGTGCTCGGAATTCAAGCCTCCACAGATTCCCTTTTGCACGTTACACATCAAGCGCAATAATATCCCAACAACATATCAACAACAACAAAATGCAGATGAAGGGCACTGAATAAATAGCGGAATTCTAACTGATACACAAATGGTCAGAACTTTCTCCCTCTCTCTCTCTCTCTCTTTCTCTCTCTCTACACAGAGGGAGGGTTGGTAGGACTTGGAATACTCTACCTGGTTTGGTCGTTGAATCAAAATCCATATTAGCTTTTTAAGAAGAAACTAGATAAATATCTGAAAAGGAGGAAAAATGCTCTAGCTGACACTTAGTAATCGATTAGATGCAATGTGCCCCTCTACATCTCTCCTCCAATTCTCTCTCTCTCTCTGCTAGCTAACCTACCCAGATGGATCTTCTTTTTAGACGTGTTATCATCTGATGATTGTCTGTTGAAACAACACAGTGCCGTGTCAGGAAAAAACAGTGACATCAGCAAATCCGGTCACCTCACATTATTCGCTCATAATAGACAGATCAATCAACACAGGGTCAGAAGGTCCTGACGGGACTCGCATTTGGCCAGAGAGCATCTGAGCTCTGGTCTGTGGTCGAGTCCAGGCGGATGGGAATCTAATCCATATTCCCTCGGGCTAGTAAGAGAAATACCTGCCCACTTCTCTTGCCTCCTCCCCACCCCACACCTCTCCTGCATCCCCCCACCTCTCCTGCCCCGCCCCACCACCCCCCCCACCTCTCCTACAGCCCCACACATACACACAGATGTGTCTCAACAAGATGTGGCCGGCACTGTCCTCCCCTGTGAAATTATTTTGGCCGAAAATTTTGGCTGAAAGACTTGGGTAGAGATTACGGAAAATTCTCAAGAGATAATTTGGAAGCCGGGCTCCTTGTTGGCAAAACTAAACTTTGCAGCGAATTCTTAAATCTGTCCAATAATTTGGGAAGCCAATTATTATTGTGAGAACTGCGGAAAAGCAGCTTCCAAATCAAGACACAAACTGAAGGCATCTTGTTGTTGGACCGGCTAAGACCAGGTGGAATTTTGCCCCTCTCGCTCTCTCTCTCTCTCTCTCTCACTCCTCCCCCACCCCCGATCGGTAGCTGATAATCCACTCTTTCCCGAAGAACGTGCCTGGGATCTTTCTTTTGCGTCATGAAATAGTGTAGACAATTATCTTACCTTTGCGCAAACTTCAGTTGAGTAGAAAAGCTCTGTGAAAAGGAATGCGGACTGAGGTTAGTCTGTCGTGCGAAGGCTGTGACATTTATATTCTGTGGTTGTGCTATTTTATGCCGTTTAAGGAGGCCATAGGTTTAAGATCATAGCCGGGAGCGTGAACATAATAAAATGATAATAATAATCCTGGCATTTGATACAGCGCCTTATCACGTCTTCGAGACATCTCAAAGCGCTTCACAGGACACACTGTAAAGTGAATTGACTGTATGTTTTGTGGCCGAAACACAGCAGCCAATTGCGTGTATTCGTGTCCCACAAACTGTCCTGGATTGAGTGACCAAATTATTAGCATTACTCCCGGAAGAGTGATCCACTAATCGACTAACAAGCGGTTCCTGCTTACGGCTCGGTAACCAGAGGCGAGCGCGCGCGTGTGTGTGTGTTCTAACCACCAGGTTACAGCTGGTAATACCATCGTGTGCTGCGACAGAGTAAATGAAAACTGCGTCCATTACCAGATCAATAAACGATCGATCGGGCTCCCATTTCTCACTGACATATTTGGGCTTGGCAAGTTCATTAACCCTTTCAGTGGCCAAAGACTTTGTGGTTAAGTTCTTCACAGGCCATATCGGCGATGGCCTAGGATCACAGACGAAACGTATTAGCACAGATCTGTTCAACCTCCACGAGTCATCACCATAATAATTCTTGCGTTGTATCCTGCGCCTCACTGTACTGTTAGGACGCCTCAAAGCGCTTCGTGGGATTCACTAAAGTGACTGTATTTTTGTAGGTGAAACCTGGTGGACAATTTGCCAACAGCAAAGTCCCGCAAACAACCATAATAACAATAATGAATTTGAATTTGACACAGCGCCTTATCACGCGATTGAGACATCTCAAAGCGCTTCACAGAATATACTGTAAAATGTAGTGACTGTGCATTTTGCGGGCGAAAGGCGGCAGCCAATTTGCGCACGACGACGTCCTGCAAGCAGCTGCCAAGCGCATGGCCGACTTATTGCACGTTACGGTACGTGGCTCCCGGGATATTTACTTGTCGAGTTCAAAGCCTTTGTGCAGTTTCTTGGGCTCACTCAGTTCATTATTTCTGAAGATGATCGCTGTAGCAGGAAAACAGAGAGTTTGCGAATAAGCAAAATAAATACTGTAACAACAACTTGCATTTATATACAGTAGCGCCTTCACACGGGGTACAGTCTCTGAGCGCTTCAATAAAAACTCGGTCACTCAATCCACGAATGTTTGTGGGACGCTGCTGTGGGCAATTGGCTGCCGTATTTCACCCACAAAATACAGTCACTCCACTTTACAGTATATCCCATGAGGCATCTCGAAGACGTGATAAGGCGCTGTATCAAATGCAACAATTATTATTATTCCAGCTCCACAAATTACACACTTCGAATTAACAGGATGTCCTGTGAAGGTGATGGGGCCGTGTGTGTTCTTGTGGGTGAGTACAGCTGCCAATTGGCGCACAGCGACATCCCACAAACAGCTGTGGAAATCCCATAACTAGTTGGCATCGCTGAAACGTTAAGCATAACACCGTCTGGAATTTCAGACATATACGTCTATCCCATAGGGAAGAGAGTTTCTCAAATCTGTCTGCGTCTTAGATTCGGGGGGGGGGGGGGTGTGGGGGTGGGAGGGTGGAGGTGTCTTATCTTTGAGTAAACGCACTAGGTAAAGACCTTGTAATTCGCAGTATAAATATATTAATCGCAGATCAATTAATTAGCGTTCCTACCGTTTCTGTGTTCTTTGTCAAGAATGCATGGCTCGCTCGCTGGGTGGGGGGGGAGGTGGGGGGGAGAGAAAGTAAGAAAATGAAGATAATGATGCTGGCAATATGAAGAAATTAATGGCACAATTTAGACGTCTCCACGATGTGATAAGGGGCTGTATCAAATGCAAGGATTATAGCTTCCTACCTAGCTCTTGAATCTTTCGGCTGGTGACACTGAGTGCTGTGGAGAAATGAGACAAACCAACAAAAAAATTGGGTTAACTTTCCGGGTGCGACGTATATTTTGCGACGTTTTCTTAATTAATGGGAATAATAATTAACGTGCGCCCTCACGGGCCCAGACTGACACAGTATTTCAGAGTGCGTCTGATTATTTCCTTAAAAAGAACGTAGAGAGAACCAGCTTCAAAAACGCTGGACGATCAAACGGTTTACAGGCTCAGTCTATGAGGAATTTGAAGGCACTGGTGCCTCTCTCTCTCTCAATCCCAGGGTCTCACTTTGCTGACGTACCGGTGGTTTTCTTTGGCATTGTTGAATACGTTTGAGATGTTTCATCTTTGACGAGTCGTTTCCTGACAAAAACAAGGCAAAGATTTTAGTGATAATCATGAGGAGAACATAAGAATTGGCAGACGATAAAAGGCCAAGGTTCATCTCGTTCACCTTCCACCTTCCTGGCGGTCACATCAACAATAATAATAATCACAATAATAATAATATTACTAATAGTGATGACAATAAATCAGCAGAACACAAACCCCTCTCATTCATGCACTTACCAACCAGCTGTTGGGGGACGATCTGGTTGACGGCGGACAGCTGCTTCACCTGGTTTTACTGTTTGATTTGGTTGAGTTTTTTCATCCGGTTTAGCTGGTTGTCTTGGTTGTTGTGCTTGCGGTGCGTCGCCTGGTTGACTTGGTTGGTCTGTTTCAGTTGGTTGTTCTAGCTGAGCTGTGTCATCTGGTATAGCTGGTTGTGCTACTTGAGCTGGTTCACTTGGTCCACTTGGTTGTTCTGTTTGATCGGTTTCAGCTGGTGTAGCTAGTTGACTGCGTTGATCGGCTGGTGTATCTAGTTGACTGGGTTGATCGGCTGGTGTATCTAGTTGACTGGGTTGATTGGCTGGTGTATCTAGTTGACTGGGTTGATCGGCTGGTGTATCTAGTTGACTGGGTTGATCGGCTGATGTATCTAGTTGACTTGGTTGATCAGCTGGTGTAGCTAGTTGTTCTACTTGTTCTGTGTCACCTGGTTGCTCAGTCCCTGGTTCCATGGACAGAGGTGAGGTCAGAGATACACCAACAGCCACAGGATGTCACTTGCCCTGTTGGAACAGCGCCTTGGTTTAAACCTTGGGTGTTAGCATTGCCTGGGGCTGGCTCAGTGTGATGGACACAGCTGATGCAGACATTGGGGGTGGGACATAGCTGGTTGCCTAGCAATGGGGAGACACCCATGGTTGCTAGGTCATGAAACATGCTGGTTAGGGTGGGGGAAGCAGGTCATCCCATTGGGTGCAGGTTGGTAATAGAATAGACTGGACCAGTGAACAGTGATATTAATAATTAGGTTGGTAGAATAAAAAGACATGAAAAGATTCTCCGCTGATGGTGGAAAAATCTACCCATTTCTTTATTTGATGACTTTTCCCAACATGTCCACCAGAGGACAGCATCTCACCAATACTAAACTGACCGCAGAGATGGCTTTAACCATTGGCACCATTGGCGGCCAAACTTTCAGCCACTACGCTCTGAAACTCTCTCCCTCTATCCCCCCTGCCTGACCCCCTCCTTCACCATCTTCAGGTCACGCCTGAAGACTTTCCTCTTCGACCCCCACTTTCCCCCCCCCCCCCCCCCGCCACACACACTCACACACACCTGTACTGCAGGCAGATGTGTTAAGAGGATCATTTCTAACCAGATAATTAACCTAAAGGTCAGATGGGGATTCAGAGAATAAGATCCTTTTAGCGACACACTCTTTCTCAGGCGAGAAAAGAGAACAGCCAACAGCCCCCACCCATCCCCGACCCCACATACATCCACGACCCCCACCCTGCACCCCTCCATACACACAACCTGCCCTCCCATCCACACACACACACACACAGATGAAATCGATCGTTCATTTCACAGCTGTTTATGGGGACGTTGCTGCAAACAAATCGGCTTCTGCGTTCGCCTACAGAACAACACAGTCACTACACTTCGCAGTAAAACCCGATGGGAGTGGTGCGGGCAATAAAATCAGCCGGGCTGTCTGCTCCTGGTACTTTTTTAAGAGAGAAAGAGAGGAAGAAAGAGAGAGAGAGAAAGAACAATAAAGAGGGAGGCGGGAGGGATTGTCAGAGGGTGTACACCGTGAGCCGAGAGACTTTCCTGGTGAGTATGTAGTGCCCTCTGACCTTTATTAACTAAAATGATGATGAGAAACAACATTCTCTCTCTCTATTGTCTAATGGTCGGTGGCTTGGCGTGGCGTGAGGCTGCTCTGCTCTACTCCGCTCCCTGTTAAACATTAATTAGTTCATTAAGCCGGGAATCTTTCTGCCCGGCTTTGCTGAGTCCTTTACCTCCAGCAGCGGCGGAGGATCTGGGAATAGAAACGGCTTAAGCTCAAGCCGCCTCAGCTCTGCCACGAGCAAATTCTCGAGAGAATTAGCGACAAGGAGCGTTGGCTGCCTCTCCCTGCGACACTGGGGTTCAGCCTCAGCCTCAGCCCCTCTGGTCCCCAAACGTCCACAAGTGCCCCCTCACACAGGGCAGTGTCCCAGAGCGCTTGACAGTGGCGGAGCACAAAGCTGAGCCGGGAGGGGAGGGGGGAAGGTAACCGTAGGCACAGTCCAAGAGGAAGGTCTTCAGGTACGACCTGAAGATGGGGAGGGAAGAAAGGGGCAGGACAGAGGGATAGAGGAAGAGTGTTCCAGAGCTCCACTGCGTAGCGGCTGAAAGCACGGCCGCTGATGGTGGAACAGAGGGCACGAGGGACATGCAGGAGGCCGGAGCCGGTCGAGCGGAGGCAGCGGGCAGCGGGCAGTGGTGGGGGGGGTAAGCAGGTGGGAGAGGTAGGGAGGTACCAGGGCGTGAAGGGATTAGAAAGCGAGCGTGAGGATCAAGCTGAATTATCAAATTATCAAAGCCTTATTAAAGGAAATAAACTTTAAACAAAACCGCACAAAGCTGCTCTGTCTGTGCTGCTCTGTCCTGTTCTGTTCTGAAAGACGTTTCGTTTGTCCCTAAACAGGTTTAGTGAGCTTTCCGATCAGAACGCTATTTATTTATCCCCTTGTATCTGGAAACTTAACCCTCTGGGATTAGCTTCCGCGGTTCCCGAGTTGCCGTGGAGTTTGCCCTCGACCCCCACCCCCTTCACGTTTGGTGACGGCCCCACAAAACAAACCGCGTCTGTCTTAAAGCCTTGGAGCCCCTGAGCTCAGTCAGTTACTGCGAAGAGGAGATAACTTGCGGTGTTTTTCATGCATCAGCCTGGCTCAGTCGGTAGGGTTCTCGCTCGAGTCAGGACTTTGTGGGTTAAAGCCCCCCACCCCCACATGGGGTTTTTAACCACAGTCTAGATCCTCTCTCTCTGATCCCGAACCTCAGCTCGAGTGCAAACCCCTCATTGTTGTTGATGATGCTCCACTGAAGTGCTGGCTGGGCGGGGGGTGGGGGGCAAGGGGATGGGGTTGGGGGGAAGTGTGGCTCCCCATCAGTGCCCTGTTCAGGTGGACGTTAAAGATCCAATGGCGGAGCTATTCGAGAAGAAAAGAGAATTTCTCTCCCGGTGTCCTGGCCGACAGTATACCCCACCCCCCTCTCACTCTATCCCTGCTCCCGGTCTGGCCTCTCTCCCTGGGGTGCACCATTTTCCTAACGGTTGCCACCCTCTGCCCCCACCCACCCCCGCCCCTCCCCTCCCCCATAAAGTGCTGCAACTTTATTTTAATTTGGTGTCGAGAGATTAAACGCCCAGGTATCAAGTATGACTCAAAAGTCCCTGTCACATCCAGTGATCCTGTCCCACTTTATACATATATATATATATATATTTAGATCCTGAGATACAGACTGGGGAGTGGGTGGGCGGGAGCTGAATTAAAGCCACACGTAACAAACAAAACCCCAAAAGAAAAGCAGCAGAGAATCTTCTCGCTCGACCCCAAGCGGCGAAGCTAAACTGTCATTTGATTTTAAAGAAAAACCTTTTTTTTTATATAAACGAGAGAAATGTAATTAACTCAACGGGGCAGGATTTGGCAGTGGGCGCTCAGAGTTGTGTTGTGTTGTGTTTGAGGTCACCTTGAGATCCCGTTACAGCCACACATTCCAGAGACTTCAGTCCCTGGGACCCCTTTGCTGACCTCTTTTATAGTGAGTATCTGTGTGTGCCTGTGTGTGTCTGTGTATGTGTATCTGTGTGTGTGTATGTGGGTATCTGTGTGTGTGGGCTCTGTGCCTGTGTGTGTCTGTGTATGTGTATCTGCGTGCGTATATCTGTATGTGGGGGTTGTGTGTGTCCGTGTGTGTGGGGTGTGTTTGTGCGCGTCTCTGTGTGTGTAGTGTGTGTGTATACGTGTCTACACCGTGTCCCACAAACAGTCATGGATTGCGTGATCACATTTTTCTAAAAGGGTTTATGATCCCAGGAAGGCGATCGGCCAATCGCCTAACAACCGGGTTTCTACTTGCTGCGAGGTCAGCAGAGACGTGTGGAGTAAGGAAACTTGCCTAAGGTTTCGCCCCATCCTGCCTGGGAATCGAACCCGGGGCCTCTCGCTTTGCGAGGCGAGTGCTCTAACCGCTACTCTACAGAACTCCGGCTTTAAAGCTTTTACTTGGCAACTTTCCCTTTTTTTTTTCTGGTCCTTTGTTGAGATTCCCACTCACTCGTGTGATTCAGGGGATAAAGCACGAAGCTGACCTACATTCCTCCCCGCATGCTGGCAAGAGCTGAGCTGAGATTATTAAAAGGTTTGAGGAGCGGGTGCTTTATAGGAACATAGGAACAAGAGGAGGCCATTCAGCCCCTCGAGCCTGTTCCGCCATTCTATAAGATCGTGGCTGATTTGTACCTCAACTCCAATTACCCGCCTTTGCCCCATATCCCTTGATCCCCCGACCTAACCAATATCTATCCTCCTCAGTCTTGACAATGTGAATGGATTCAGCCATAATCCGCAGCCTTTTGGGAGAGACAGATTCCCGCTAACTACCCTTCATGCGTGTGTGAAAAATTGCCTCCTGATTTCACTCCTAAATGGTCTGGTTTTGATTCATTAGTTCAGTCACTGCACCTGTAGCCACAGTCCTCGTAAGGGTTTTCTTTGTTTTTACAGTGAACAACGCTCTTACAAACAAGAATAAATCACTCTGACCGACCTCTCTGCACACCACAAGTCTATAAAAATGTCCTGAATGCTCTCCCGCTCTCTTACTCACGCCATGTGTTCATTCTTATCACCCGACACACATTCAAGGCACGAAATTCCACCCAGTCATTGTATCCTGCAAGACCTTTTTTTTTTGGGTGGGGGTGGGGTGGGGGCTGACAGTTTCAAGACAGCCACAACCTTGGGAAATATTGTCTCAAAGTCGGTCTCAATTCTGAAGCCGTTCCTCAAAGTTAAAACTAAATTTGAGGGGAAATAAAATGACGTCTGGAATGTACTACAACAACAACAACAACTTGGATTTATATAACACCCTTCAAACAGGGTGGCGCCCCAGAGCGCTTAAATCTACATGTAGTCCTTGTCTGGAAGCTACTTTTACCTGATGTTGTGGAAAGAGAACGATACCAACCCTGGTCTCTGGCTCTCGTATCGGGTGCAGTGGAGGGCAGTCAATTCCCGACAGCTTTTAGGAATAATGCTATCCTCGCAACGCACAGAGGACAGAGCAATATAAAGAGATTTACGGGATGACGGTCAATATAGATATTGACTTTGAAGCACAGACACACACACACACACCACCACCCACCCCCCCCCCAGGGAGGTTGTCAACGAAACAAATGATAAGTGATAGCCTGGTATTAATAGTTACTCCGCAGTTCCAATCATCTGAAGGCATTTATTGGGAAGTAATTAACACTTTCATTTCTGATCAATTCTAAAGCACTTTGAGACATTATATATTCACGTGGGCAAATGCTTAAAGTTACTCTTGTTGATACTTCCTCATAAGAATAAGAATAATTATTGCATTTCAGACAACACCTTTCAAGTCGGGAGGACAGGACAGGACGTCTCAAAACCCCCCACAGGATTCAGTGTGAAGTGTAGTGACTGTGTGTTTTGTGGATGAACTCCCAATTGCTCTCAACGGGAGAATGGAACGGCCCCCCCCCCCACAATAAATCGGATCATTCACCTCCTGGCTGTTTGTGGGGTATTGCTGCACCCAAATAGGCTGCCGCGTTTACTTACAAAACACACAGTCACTCCACTTGACATGAGTTCCCTGAGAAAGAGTTTTGAGATGTTTCAGTGTCGTCACACAGAGGAGCGAGAGAGAGAGCAGGTGAGGAGGTTTGTTAATGTTTTGCTTCCTTGACCACGAGGTTATGCACTTCTCAAGGACATCCTGCTGCTTCATATCGTTAATCATCAGCCACGCGAGAGGAATTTTAATGTGCCGGGCACTCCGGGCTGGCTCACAGCACAGCTGACCTGAATACTCTATATTGGGATAGAGATGGCCACACTATTTCAGCGTAAAGTGTGTCCTAGATCAGAGACTGAAATTAACTGATAAATGAGAGAGAGAGAGAGAGAGAGAGAGATGAGTAGTAAAGCAAAGCAGAAATCTGAGCTGGAAACAGAGGGAGATACAGAGAGAAAGAAAATTACTTCCCAAACCAGTACTGAGACAGGACAGCTTAGTTGTTGGAAGCATTAATAACAATAATAATCCTTGCATTTGATACAGCGCCTTATCACGTCGTTGAGACGTCCCAAAGCGCTTCTCAGAATACACTGTAAAGTAGAGTGACTGTATATTTTGTGGGCGAAACACGGCAGCCAATTGCACACAGCAGCGTCCCCACAAACAGTCGTGGATTAAGTGACCATTTTTTTAAAGGGATTGTTAAACAGGAAAGCAATCTGCCAAGCAACTAACAGCCGGGTTCCTACTTGCCGCTAGGTAAACAGAGGCGTGTGCGTGAAGTAAGGAAACTTGCGTGAGGTTTTGCCCCGACCGGGAATCAAACTGAGGTCTTCTCGTTGTGAGGTGAGTGCGCAAACCACTAAGTTACAGGACTCCAGTAAACAAAACTGCACGTTGGAGATTAAGGTGGATGTTAAAGTTCCCACGGATTCAGTTGGGAACCGCATTCTTCAACACCTTCCAATTTCGATCACTCCCACATTTCCGTATCAAGAAATACCTCACACTGTGGTTTACCAGTGGTCAGAGCGCTCGCCTCGCAAGCGTGAGACCTGGGTTTGATTTCCGGCAGGGCGAAACCTTGGGCAAGTTTCTTTACTCCACACTCCTCTGTTTACCGGCAGTAACAACCCGGTTGTTAGTCGATTGGCGGGGATAATCATCCTTCAAAAAAAACAATAATATTTGGATCCCTCAATCCATGATTGTTTGTGGGGACGCTGCTGTGTGCAGTTGGCTGCCGTGTTTCCACCACAAAATATACAGTCAATTCACTTTACAGTCTATTCTGTGAAGCGCTTTGAGACGTCTCGAAGACGTGAAAAGCGCTGTATCAAATACAAGGATTATTTTATTTATATTTATTACCCCAATTGCTCTTTCACCAAAGTGCTGTGTTACATAACCACAACTATACACACGAGCGAGCAGCCTAATGGCCTGTAAACAGCCTCCGAGCTGCTAACTCTCACGCAGGCTTGTGGAACCAAACAGCCATCAACGTGAGCTGGAGGTTGCGAGCCTGACGTCCGAGGCTGAATGGAGAATTGCCAACATGGTGTTCCCTCGTGTCAATGAGAACAGTGTTCTGTTCCTCACGTCAGCCTTCCCTGCCTTTCGGCCTTTGCCCCAGCGCTTAGACACCATCAGTGGTCTTTGAGCGAAGTAATCAATCGCCTGACAGCTCAGAGAATCTCCGGGTTTGGGAAATCTTTGTCCTAGGCCATCACAGGCAATGAGTTCTCTCTCTCTCTCTCTCTGTGAGGTGCCCCCTCTCCTCACAGCCCCCAATTTGGTTCTGAATCTGGTTTACAATTTACGGCATCTGACGCCAGCTTTTGCCTTGCCTTTGTGTGTGTGTGTGCATGTGTTTGCGTGTCTGTGTGTGTGTTTGTGTCCTTGTTTCTGTGTGAGCATGTGTTTGTATGTGGGGGGGGGTGGGTGAGGATTTATTGCTTTGCCTCCCAAACGTTAATTGCGCTTGTTTTGATTATTTCCACTTTTTCTTCCTCGCGCGCACAACGCAGAAACAGGAGGAGGCCATTCAGCTCATTACGCTTGTTTTTTTACCATTTTATTAGACCCCTGTAGATCTTTTATTCCCATTTCCCTGCCTTTTCTCCATATCCCTTAATCCATTTCCTTCCCAAATAGCTAGCCATCTCTTTATCTCCCGATCTGGATTGAGTGACCAAATTATTATTAGTGATAGTATCTTTCTATCTCTTTATCTACCGTCTGTCGATCCTGTCTCTGCTGTTTGCTTGAGCCTTGCATTCCAAATCCTCACAGCGCTGTAAGTGACCATCTAGACTCTGGCTTTAAGATTACATCCCCTTGTTATCTCTCACTAGTTAACTACATTTAGCACAAATAGGGATAACATTTGTGTTGTTTTCTGTGCAGAGGGATTCTCCCCCTCTCTCCTCACCCAGACACCCACACACACACTCAACCTACCATATAAGGGCAAAGAATCTTGGTCTAAGTTATGGTTTGTAAAGTACGTTGAACGATTCTGTTAAGTGTTGGGTTCTTGAGGGAGTCGCGTTGAATTCAAGCTGTGAGCAGCAATAGTCACTTGTAACGAATATTGTAAACGCACGTCGTCAATTGCGCAGAGCAGTGTCCTACAAACAGTCGTGGATTGAGTGACCAAACATCACAAGAATTTCGAACCTGTTAGATCTCATCCTGCCTGAATCCCCGCCTGACCCAACAACGACAATATAGCTCCCTACACACTTGACGGCATCCCGGGGTGCTCATGCAGCAAGGAGCCACTCAAAAAGCGAGTATTGTATTTAAAATAGTAGAATGGATCACCGTTGGATTACGTCAGTGTTTCTTGAAATCACACAGATAAACTGAATGCTCACAGTGGGGGTGGGGGAGTGCCTGCTAACAGCACAGTCTGTCGTGGCTTGAGAACAACAATGTGCTCAGCGACCATTGATTTATTCGCTGCTTAAATCAAGGGTTAAGGTCAAACAAAGACATTAGCAATCAATTCTGCTCTAAACAGATATGTATAACAAGCAGCTGCCTGTAGACCCCAACACCAGATGAGATCAGTTCATTTAAGAGCCTTGGAACAATTTGTTCTCAGGTCTATGTTTCTCCCTCTTCTAATTCCAAGAAATTAATCATTTAGTTGATGGCTGATTGTGGGAGAGTTAGAACAACTTGCATTTATGTGGTGCCTCACAAAACACAGTAGAGAAGATAGGTCTTAATATATAAATTGGCTGCCGTGTTTCACCCACAAAACACACGGTCACTCCACTTTACACTATATTCTGCGAAGCGCTTTGAGACATCTCGAAGATGTGATAAGACGCTGTGTCAAATGCAAGGATTATTAATATCCAAGTTAAATCAGGTTCTTATTTCAGGATGGGCTTGTTTATTGGCTTTAAAGACACTTTCTTTTGATCCTGTCCCGAGGTCACTTGGTGTACACTGTGCAGGAGTCCCGCAGAGATGGGTGGTGCTGTGCGTGTCCCTGCGCCCAAACAGGCACTCAAGGTCAACTGCAACCAAAGGACAAAGCAGCCCTTTGTTGCTGTGAAGTGCACCTATCTCACACTGACTGGTTCCTTACGTCCCTCAGTAAATAACTCTCTGTGGGTGTCACTGTCACACCTGCAGCACGGGGCTCCCTTCCACGTTCCAAAGCAACTCACGAATGTTTGTGGGACGGCCGCTGCGCGCAGTTGGCTGTCGCATTATCGCCCACAAAATACACAGCCCATTCACTTTCGAGTAGATTCTGCGAAGCGCTTTGAGACGTCTCACCGACGCGATAAGGCAAATGCAAGAATTACTACTATTATTATCGAGTCGCGGCTTGTGAGGCGTTCCTGGAATATTCCTTTATAGCACCTTTGGGACGTCCTCCCGACATGAAAGGCGCTATACATATGTAAGCGGTTGTCGTGGTAGCCAGCGATTGGGAGCTTCTTATAAAGAGCGCAATGTGTATGCATATACACATATATATAATCTTAACCACAGCTCGTGCTCCGCGATTCCCCGCGTCATGGAAACAACGGCAGCTGATTCTCAGCGGCAACCCGCCCTTGTCTCCTCGGCCGGCCACAGGTTCGCCTACAAGCGCACAGTCACTACGCTTGGGGGGGGGGGGGGGGTCGAAGCTCCGCACCCACGTTCTAAATGCTTATAACCTTATGGCACTGTGTAGCCCTTTTGCTAATTGCAAACGTGATTGCAATAAAAACCTCCCAACTCGATTTGACTGATTGCAACTTGAGGCACCTGTCAATCACAGCCCGTCTCCTCCTGTCAATCAGGCGCGTCCCGCCCCACCTACTCGCTGCACCACGCCCCTTGGCTCCCAGGTCACGTCGCGCACGTCGCTGGCGTGCCTTGCCTTGCCTTGCCTGCCCACGTCACCGCCCCGCCCCGCCCCGCGGCGCCCACTCGTGCCGCGTCGCGTCATGCCGTCTCCAGGCAACGGACGTCAGCCGTGCCGCGTCATCGGGTCGCTCGCTCGCTCGCGCGCTCTTCCCCCCCCCCCCCCAGGTCACGTGAGAAGAAGCGCGAGCAGCGGCGGTTGACCGCGAGCAGAGGACACTCGGCGGCGGCGGACGACAACGACGCACAGTCGACGCGAGAGAGAGAGAGAGAGACGCCATTCCTCCCGTCCTATTTATTCTATTGATTGTTCTTTTATTTTAACATTGAGGAGGATGCGGTGCCTGGGAGTCCTGGCGCTGCTGGTGTGCGGCGCGAGCGCCTTCACAGGTAAACGGCCGCCTCGCGAGGCCCCCCCCCACCCCCCGCGCGGCCCGGCTTCTCCTCACGCAGTGCCCGCCTCAGCCTCGCTGCCTCCGGTTGTCCGCGCTCCCCCTCCCCGCGAGGCCCGGCGCCCGCGCTCTCTGCGACGGCTGTCCGCTCTCCGGTGCATGTGTCCGTGTGGAAAACGAGCCGAGTTAATGGTTTAAATCGCATTTATTGTGTGTGTGTGTATATATATATACTTATTTTTATGTAAAAAAGGTTTGTGTGTAAAAAAAACCCCAACGGAGGTAATGTTTGTACTTCATATTTATTTATATATATGTGTGTATATATAAAGAAACTCGCGATCGTCACTTTCTGCCGTCTGTTTACTCGGTATTGGTGGTGTGAGCGTGAGGAGGAGTGAGTGAGTGAGCGTGAGGAGGAGTGAGTGAGTGAGCGTGAGGAGGAGTGAGTGTGAGGGGGGAGAATGGAGAGTGAGTGAGTGTGAGGGCGGAGAATGGAGAGTGAGTGTGAGGGGAGAGAATGGAGAGTGAGTGAGTGTGAGGGGGAGAATGGTGAGTGAGTGTGAGGGGGGAGAATGGAGAGTGTGAGGGGGGAGAATGGAGAGAGAGAGTGTGAGGGGATGAATGTGACGAGGGGATGGGATAATGCGGAGGAAGGAGGAGTGGATGTGTTAGGGTGAAGGAGTGAATGTGTGAGAAGAGGTGAAGGGGAGAATGTGGAGGAGGAAGGAGTGAGGAGAGGAGAGAATGTGGAGGAAGGAGCGAGTGTGATGATGAAGGAGTGAGGTGGGGGAGGGAGGGTGATGAGGGTGGGGGAATGGGAGTGTAAGCGAGGAATTTTTAAAAATGCACATTTTCTTGTTTATTGATCGTCTTTTTCCCACATACCTCTCGCTTCCTCCATAAACGGTGCGTGTGGGGAGGGGGGGGGGACTAGCAAGAAGATCAATGTGTATATAAGATTTTTAGGCGTTTCTCTCCCCTTCCCCCTCTTCGTCGTCGAGCGATTTCCTGCCGGGAATAAACTAGTCTGATCCTGTTCCCCGGCAACTGTGTGTGGGTGTTTGAGCTGGGGGGAGGGTGGTGAGATCCAACAAACACAGTCACCCTCTGTAGAGTTTTACAGGCATCACATAAACCCTCTTACCATCTTCTTCCTCCTCACTGAGTTGTTTTTCCTGTTAAATATATTCTAATATATACTCCTCCTCCTGTTAATACACGACATCTAAAATGTCGCTTATTAAATATGAATCACCCATATGAAATGGTATGTCTCGTTTTAATTTGACATTATGGATCACCATCCACCTTTCTTCCCCAATCTCCCTTCTAACACACACACACACAGATACTCGTTTCGCTTTTTTAACCTTCAACATGTTTTTGAACACATTTCTAGTTTGCTTGATTTTGTTCTTTTCAGTTTTGTATGTTTACTGCCCCCTTTGAAAAACAGATCCTGTGTGGTGCTGATTTCAGCCTGTGTTAGGGCACTTGGAAGCATCTAAGATCCACATTCTAAGTCAGAAATGCTATATTGGATCAAAATGGGATTGTTTCTTTTTTAAAAAAGTCACCCAGTCGGTTAACATTTCAAATCATAAATCTCAGGTTTACAAGATTAAAGTAGGATCTTTCTGTGCTCACAATTTGATGGAGGTAACCTATCAGAGTAGCTGCTGCCACGATGTCCTACTTACACTAAAGAGCAAGTATGAGATCAGTTTGCCAGAAAACGAATGTGTCTGAAAAGGATATTACTTATTTCTGACTGACTTCCCTGGTCTCGGAGACTTTGCTGTTTACATGTATCTGACCAGGCACTGAATGCCTGCCCCTTCTATCTAGTCAAATTGTTGCGGGCAGCAGTGATTGACATCATGGAATTTCCATATGATCAATTTATGTCACGTGATCTGGAAATTATAATGTTGGGCAGAGTGAACTACTAGCGTCAACATAGTAATTGCTTCATCTCTAATATAAAAGTAAACTTGGTTTTTAAGCAACTTAATGTGCATGAAATCACTGTTTTGTAACTAAGGAGGATGTTAGGCAATATGAGTGTCATCTACTGGGCAACGCAATAATGTTGTTTTCCATTAGTTAATTTTTGCATTGCAAGCCGTTGTGTAGTTTAACCATGGTAATAATAATAATCCTTGCATTTAATATAGAGCTTTTTGCATCTTCTAGACGTCTCAAAGCTCTTCACAGAATATACTGTAAAGTAAATTGACTGTATATTTGTGGGCGAAGCGCGGCAGCCAATTGTGCACAGTCCCACAAACAGTCGTGATTGAAATGACCAATTTATTTTTTTTCTTGAGGGATTATTATCAGGCATGTTGAGTAAGGAAACTTGCCCAAGGTTTCGCCCTGCCGGGAATTGAACCCAGATCTCTCGCTTGTGAGGCGAGTCGTCTAACCACTGAGATACAGGACTCCATTGACCATTTGAAGCAACTATCAGCTGTAATTGAATACCGTGGAGTGGTAAAACTGTTTTTTGCCTGCAGTTTGTTTGCTTCTTTTCACCCTGCAACAAGTGTTGTCTTATTTTAAGCAAGAAGCAATTTTCCTTGAATAAGTGGAAAAAATATTGTTCTGCATTGTGCTTGTGCACCTCCAGTGGTGACCAGGAGACTAGACGTCCATTAAATCTGGGACACTAGTGATTGCTGCATTCTTTCTCTGAGCCATTGTTGCTGTGCGTTCATGTTCTGGGGCATGAAATGTATTCCAATTAAATCCCAAGTCTGTTACGTAGTGCAGTAGAGAGAACAACTGGATCTTTAAGGCCTTGGTGATGTAAGTTTTGAGTCTTTGTACTTTTGATGAACAAATGTCTTGCTTTTGTTGTTGAGATGAGGGGAGGTTGAATTAATAGTGCAAGGAAATTACTATGTTTATTTGACTTGCATAAATCCTGTTGAGGGTTAATTATCACTCAGTAAATGTCTGAACTATATTGTTGCTGTTCAGATGACCCTACAAAAATCACAAAGGATCATGATTCCTTTCAATGTTGCAAAATCAGGGGGCAAAAAGGTGAATTAAAGAGAAAAAATGTATGCTGTTGTGCAGTTTTTTTTAGCTGTTGCACATCATTATATCAGGATTTGTGTCCATTTTACTTTTAATTGTACTACATTTTTGAAGATGAACTGTACTAGGTTAAAGTACAGTCCACAAGTTCTGTTGATAGCTACTTTCGACATAAGTATATAACCTTCAATAATACACATATGGTCGTCTTTCATCATTGTCAGAACCTTGAAAGCAAGGGTTGGTGAGCTGAATGGAGCATCGTCAGTCCAACTGGTCCAGTTATCTTCTTGACTGGCGTTCATGTTGAGTTATAGCTTTTAGTTACCATAATTTTACAGTGGTTAGTTTTGATGCATTATCTCTAAGCTGCAGAACTGTTTTGGCACAACATGGTTGAAGGGTTCAAAACGAATTGATCGTTTCATTGAAACGTAATATTGTAGGAAAATGTTGAAATGTGGGTTACCAGATTACCAAAATCTATTTCTAAATGACATTTTTCTTTGTCCAGCCAAGCAGGACCTACTTATGCTCACCTTTAAGCTTTTTTAAATTGTGAATTTTAAGTGCAGGTGTTCTAGACCACCATGGAGACCATTTCCCTCACAGTAAAATCTCAGGGCAGCCTGTGCTGTAAAGGTTTTTTATGTTAAACAAAACGTAACATAGATGTCTGTTGATGCACAACTAGAACAAGTCAGTTATTGCTCTTTGCATGACGGATATTTCGGGGGAAGTTATTGACGTATGCTGAGTTTATGTCCATTTGGTGATGCAAAGTTAATTTGATTAAGCTGGAATAGTGTTTACTGTACAATGTTATGTTATCCCTCTCTCCCCCCCCCCCCCCCGTATTGAGTTCTAGGAGGAATTGTTGCCTTAATTTTAGTACAAAATCTAAAAAATAACAAATTTTAAAAAACTGTATAGTTCACAGTGAAATAACTAATTGGTTTGGCAACTACTATTTTCACTGCTTGTGTATTGCTGTTTGCTTGTTTTGAAATTCATCGTGACCTCTGGAGTGGATTGGTAAGACGTATTTTTGTTCCTGTTTTTTTTAAAAAAACATGGCCTAATTGCGTGATTTTTTTGTGTAACTTATGGGAAATAAAGTATGAATGTGAACTCTGTTTTACATATGATGAGGGCTTTTTATTTTGAAACAACAGGATTGTCATGTTTCAAAATAAACCTGTGACTCGTTGAAGCCAAACAAAAGCTGGGTGGTGCAATAAATAGCTTTGTATTCAGAGAATATGACAGTCAGGGCTGTGTTCCTTGAAATATTTTGGCAGGAGAAAGAAAACCCATTGGGTAATATTTATAATAATAATAATAATCCCTCCAAAAACCAAAAATAATAATAAATTGGTCATTTTCAATCTACGACTGTTTGTGGGACATTGCTGTGCGCAATTGGCTGCCGCATTCGCCCACAAACATAGTGTGTTCTGTGAAGCGCTTTGGGACGTCCTCCCAACGTGAAAAGCGCTATATCAAGTGCAAGGATTATTATTATTATTTAGCTATTGAAAGCTATTTTACAAGATAAAGCCCTACTGGCTTTGCTGGGATTTTCAATGCAATTAACCTTGATTATTTACTTTATTGAAATTGCCCATATGATCAAAACTGCGAATTTTCCTCTTTCAGAGAGTTAGGAGCCTTTAATTAATGTGATGCAACAGCAACTTGCATTTTATATAGCGCCCTCCAGGCCGGGCGGCGTCTCAGAGAGCTTAACAATAGCGGAGCCCAAGGCCAAAGTGACTGTAGGTGCGGTCAAAGAGTAATGTTTTCCGGCTCGACCTGAAGCAAGGCGAAGGGGTTGAGGGAGGGAGTTCCAAAGTTTTGGGGCGTCGTGGCAAAAGGCACGGCTGCCGATGGTGGAGCGGGGGAGGCCGGACCCTGTAGAGTGAAGGCAGCGGGTACTGCTGTGGGCTGAGAGGATGTTAGAGATGGGGGGTGCCAAGGAATGGAGGGATTTAAACACTAGAGTGAGGATCTTTGACAGTCGATCCGATCTGACAGGGAGCCAGTGGAGTTTCGCAAGGACAGGAGTAATCGAGGTACGGCGTTTAGTGCAGTGAGAACCCAGGCAAAACCGCATTTAAATCTGTTGGGTATGAAAAAGTTGTGATCTTTGCAGTAGGGCTAGCGGTTAATCGTTCTTTACTATTTTTGGGAATAAATGTGATGCGTGTTTTTTAATACAGATTATGTAGGTACTTGTTTGAAACGTGTAAAGGAGATCTGTTTATTCCCTTCCATAATTCGGTTGTGTTAAGGCACTAGTATCTCACATCCAACTGGACTAATATTTCTTGCATAGTTGCAATGTGAATAAAATATGAATAAGAGGATTTTGGCTTATTTGTATTATATTGCCTAACTCTATTTTCTTCCACGTTTCATGATCGTATCCCGGCTCTCCATATGGAATAACATGTTGGAAATCTATTAATTGAGTAATATTTTGTGCTTTTTATTTATATAAGTAGCTTTAAACTGTTTGTTCCTGATCAAACTTGCTAATGTTTGTTTATTAACTTTCATTTGAGATTAATCTTCTTTGTACTCTTTGCTATTGATCCAAAGCCACAGTTTTTGAGTGTGTATGAATTTAAAAATAAGGCGGGAGTATCTCCAGGTAATGTACAATAAGTTGCTCTACATTTAGATTAAATTTCAGATTGGAAAGATATCTAAAACTCTGTTGTAAAGGAATATCTTGGCCTAACACAGTACTGATGTGCTGTGCAAGTTAGTTATTCAACTTTCCCTTTGGTTTGTGACTTTTATTTGAAGCTCAGTTTAGAAATTTTGATGTTTTAATGTCTTTGCCTAAGTTCATTTTGGAGCACTATAAATGAGCGCAGGTAGTCAACTGATCCTGATACACAGGATAGCTTGTGAAGTAAAAATATCACTACCAACTGAGCACTGTTTAACACTAGATTCCGTAATGACTTGATATGACCCTTTCCTGAATTATTCTTTTAGTACTGGGAAGTATTGCTTTAGTACTTAAAAACTGTGGCTCAACTTTCTTTACCTGTTTTGTTGCAAATGCTTTCATGCTGCAGCTGGTTTTATAAAGTCACCTCTGTCTGAAGTGAAGCTAATTGAAGATGACCTAGAATTGCACTGTGAGGTGATTGGGAGCCCCACTCCTGAAATTCAGTGGTGGTATGTCGAAGGGAATGATTCTGCAACCTTTGTACAGCTCTACGATGGTGCGCGTCAGGAGCGGGTCAAGCTCAACTCAACCTATAACCTTGATGCCAAGAGCTCGATCTACATCATGAATCTGACTGTTGATGACAGTGGCACATATGAATGCAGAGCCAATAATGATCCAGACCGCAATGATTTACAAAAAAGGCCCAGAATCAAGTGGATACGGTCTCAGGCAACCGTAATAATACTGGAGTGTGAGTGTGGTTGCAGCTATGAGTCAAAGTGACGAAGCTTCGTCAGTTTGATGCCCTTTTCGTCATCCTTACAAGAATACCTCCTGGCATCCACTGTGCTGTCCTGTGACCAAAGCCATACCAACCCTTCTCTATCCTAGCAGAAATCCTGTTATCCTAAGACTGGTTTCAAGGTTGTGAGATTGTTTCCCAAACCTATTGAGGTTAAAAGCAAAAATTAGATGTGCTAATGGGAGTTAATAGAACTCTTAATATAGCACAGGTTGCTAATCACAATCAGTTTCTTAATTTTGTCTGCTAAGACTTGTATTTTATATGTAGTCTGATCTGTATATATTTGGTAATGTGTTGAGAGCTTGTTTGGGTTCCTATCATTGGAATTGTGAGCCATCTAGCTTGTGGTTCGACCTTTGTACAATGTAGTATCACTTTCTGTAATGTATTACAATCTCACACTCTGTTGCTGGTTTACGTTTTACCTTCTACATCCAAGGAAATACCTAAGCTTTACTATAGAATGCAATTGCAAACCCATGGTTTGTGGCAGATGTACCTTATCAATCTGTCTTGTGACTATCATTTTGCCAATAGAATGCCTTTCATACTCTTTCCTAACCTCCATATTCCCTTAGCATATGCTACAGTAGTTGCCTTGTGTCTTGCTATTGTGTTAATATTGCAAACCTTTTGATCTGGGGAGCAAGATGTTTTTGTTGAAGACTGTGGTTAAGAAAACCTCCAATCTTTGGGATGTTGGATATTGTTTCTTGTTTATAATCCTTGCATTTGATATAACACCTTATCACTTTGTTGAAACATCTCAAAGCACTTCACAGAATATACTGTAAAGTGGATTGACTGTTTTTGATTATTAGATGTAATGGCAATTAACGTTTTCATTCAAAGACTAACATTTCATTAAATATAGTGTAGTCAAATGCAAGGATTGTTAATAGCAATTGGAAAATGCTCAATCCAGATGAATTATTTTCTTTGACTTTGAAAGTTTTACAAAGTAGTCTACAAAATTATTTACGTACCTTGAGAAATAATACTAATAAAACGGGTATTAGCTAAACAAATGTACTCGAAGGTTGCCATAATTGTCAAGTTAACTAAAATATAACCATTACATTTTATAGTGGCCATTGTTTGACTGTCCATTGACTCCAATTTGATAATACTGTATTAGCATTATAGTTGTAGGTGAAATTGCTCCTTGAGTGAATATATATTACTGCATACTTGTAGTTAAATCATACTGTGCATTAGAAAGTGGTAATGCTCTGTAATTATGAATTAAGATTTGCTAGAGCATGCATTTCTTTCCATCAGTGATAATGTAAAGAGATCAATTTTAAATATTTACTGAAGCTAAGTGGCTTAAAAAGAGTTTCCTCACTTATTGAAGAGAATTTTGGAGGGGGGTGGATGCAGAAGAAGAGGTTTGCATTTTGCTGCTGTAATGAGCCTTTTGTGGTGTGAGTCCCCCTCTTTAGATTATCCCGATAAAGCACCTGTATTCTGTATAGTTTGTAATTGTAAATTATTGCAATGATTTGTTTTCAAATGAAAAATGTTCTGCAAGAGTTGAAATTCACTCCTGTTTTAGGTATTTACGTGCCAATGTTGCACGTGACCACCTTTTGAAATTAAGGTGTAAATGAGATTCATAAATTGATAAATTAGTGTTGAAATTCACATTTTTATAATCTTAATTTGCTGCATTACTCCAAGGATTTGTTCAAATCCAAACCATTTTGTAAATGCCTCTTGTGTACCTGCCCCTCTCCTGTCTCCCCCCCGCCCCCTTCAATGTCTGTATGTTTCATGTTCAGTTGATTTGAAACCTGCTGTTTGTGTATACAGATCCTATCATCATTAAACAACAGCTCACAAATCCAGGTGTAGACGGTCAGGATGAAATAGTACTTAGCTGCAACCTGACCAATCCACCTTCTGATATTAAAGGACGTGTTTGGAGAAAGGATGGTGCAGATATTCCTGGCACCGTTGATGAAGACAATTCGTCTTTAATGCAACATAGGTAGGTAGTTATAGTTTCATTTCTCATGTAGCTGCCTACAGAAGACATATCTTATAAAGTGGAACAATTGATTGCTTTGGGAGCTAGCTGTGTTTAACAGTAGTTGAAGCTGTTGTAATGCTGATAACAATAATAATCCTTGCATTTGATGTAACGTCTTCGAGATGTCTCAAGTTGCTTCACTTCACAGAATATACTGTAATGTAAATTGACTGTATTACTGTGGACGAAAAAAAAGCAGCAGCCAGCGACACACAGCAATGTCCTACAAACCATTGTGGATTGAGTGACTATTATTATTACTATTCTCATTTATAATATTGGTGTTTGAAGCTTTTTCTGAGCATAATGATGTATGAGTGAAAGCACATTTTGGCTTTGAAAGCTCAATATTGACATACTGCAGGATAATCTATCCTGACAGGATTCCTTGGAGTTACATTGCCATTTTCTGCCATAGAAAAATTGGATTGGTGGAGTTAACATGGTTGCACATCAATTGTGGGCATTTAGTTCCTGTTGAAACTCAATTATTTTGCAATCTGTAGCGGTACTGTCTAGTTCATTAGCTGTGCTTAAATTCTGTGGATTAATAGAGATCTGGAAGGTGACACGTCCATTGTTAAGAGGTGAACGTGCGTTTGCAAATGTACCAACCATTAACTAGACAGTCATAGCAAAAGAGATTAAACAGTAATTCCAGCTCTCACGTGACCTTTAATTCTATCTTGGACTGACAAGCCAATTATCAAGATGACTGAATTTAACAAGGGGCTCATTGTGCAATATTTTTCCTGCTGAAACAGCAATAAAAATAGCAGCCATGAATGGATTAAAATAATCTCATGCTATTTTGAATAGGATAATTTAGGAAGGTTTTTTTTGTACATTGTAAGTTTAAAAACAAACTCAACCGACCCTTCCCTCCTGATGCAGTTCAGCCTTCACTACCTTTGTCTGTGCCGTTAGTTAATCTCAGTTGGCCTCTTCTGTCGGGATTCCCTTTTCTGATTGGTCGCTTTTCATCCAGTTTCATTTGGTGGTGCAGGAGTATAGATATCAAACTAGAGCTGTGATTAACTTTTTGACTGATGTTTTCATTTGCCATTGAAGCTGGAAATTGAGTGATAACTTAAAATAATGGCAGGTGCCTTTTCATCATGTTCCATCCAGCAACACTTACAATTTGAGATGAGTGGGCTAGTTATCTTTGATTTTTGTAGCTCAGTGGTTAGAGCACTCGCTTTGCACGTGAGACACCTGGGTTCTATTCCAAGCAGGGCGAAACCTTGGGCAAGTTTCCTTACTCCTCACACCTAATAATAATCCCTCCAAAACAATAATAAATTGGTCATTTTCAATCCACGACTCCTTGTGGGACACTGCTGTGCGCAATTGGCTGCCATCTTTCACCCACAGATGTATGTTCAATTCACTTTACAGCATATTCTGTGAAGTGCTATATCAAATGCAAGTATTATTATTGTCATTCACGCAGGGTAGCATCTCCAATCTTATTGGTGCTTTCCCAATTTGCTGATGGAGCAACGCTCCAGGATCGTAATCTTGCTTGAAGAATTGCTGGAGACTGACCAGTTATATTGGAAAAGCCACTGTGTTTAGTAGTACTCGTGCCCACTGGAGCATTTGGTAGTCATCCTTTAATGTTTATCCATACCTAAATATAATAATCCCTCCAAAAAAATCCAATAATAAATTGGTCATTTTCAATCCATATGACTGTTTGTGGGACATTGCTGTGCGCAATTAGCTGCCGCGTTCGCCCACAAATATACAGTCAATTCACTTTACAGTGTGTTCTGTGAAGCGCTTTGGGACGTCCTCCCGACGTGAAAAGCGCTATATCAAATGCAAGTATTATTATTATTATAAGTACCTTTTCTGCATTGACATTTTCTGGTTTTTAGACTCGTATGAGGTCTTGTCAATTTTAGATCTCTGAGCAGTTTACTGAAACTACATAAAATGCTGTGGCTCTATATAAGATGCACATCACTCCTGCATAAGACATCTTCTTGAAATGCTTTTCTCCTCAGACTGCAATCTGTTGATGCAAAAAATTCGGGGCTGTACAGCTGTGTTTATTTGACAAAACCACTTTCAAGCGAAACTTTCCAAGTTAAAGGTGAGGCATTTTTCATCAACTTTTTCCATTGGTTGGATTGAATAAAACTTATAAATGGAAGTGCAATCAGCGGGAGTAGAGGGGAAACAATTCTGTGCACAGTGGAATGTTCTACTTTTGCTAACTTCCGCTTTAAGAAACATAATCCCACGTTGACTACTTTGCACTCTGGACTATTGCTTAGGTCATGTTATTCCTGCTTGGTACAACTTGCGTCTGAGTTTCATTTGAATTGGAAGTTGCGCTGATACATTTCCTTTTAATGGAAGCAATTTGTTCAAAAGGAACTAATATCAAAAGACTGTACTATTGTCTTGAATTTGTTTATCTTCCTTTCTCCGAACAGCTGCGCCTGGTGTGACCACCTACAAGAAGTCTGAGCATGGGAATGAAGGCGATGTTGGGTTACTGACTTGTAAAAGCCATGGGTATCCGCCAGTTGAATCCTGGACATGGTCCAGATCGACTAAAGATGGTGGTGTTGAGGTCAGTGAAGCAGCATCTCGATTGAATTAATTTGATGATCACAGACAATCCTGAGCTCTTATGCTATAATGCCACAGTATTTTAAATACTCATTGCATTTTCTACTGTGAACTAACCTTTGTGATGATTTTCAATGGGTTCTAATGAAGCCAAGGAGATAATTGGTTGCTCTCACTTCATTTTGTAACTTGTATTAAACCTATCGTATGCAGATACAGTATTGCACTTTTTTAATATAAAAATATGGTTTATTGATTGTCAGGCAATCTCTGTTAAGAGCTTTAAACTGCATTTATATCTGCATCTGTGGTGGGATCAATCACACTAACGTCATTCCCCTTTCTCCTCTGAAAAGCCCTCTACCATCTGAACTTTTTGATCACAATATTTTTAATGTTATTGCAAGACTTGTTTAGACACAAGTGCCTAGAGGTGGCATTGCTTTCATATCGAGCTGTATGTTTCTGGCCCAATAGAAAGCCAGTATTATGCTCCCTGCAATGAAGCAGCATACTCCAGTAAGTATGTGTATGTATTCATAAATACTGGTATTGTAAAAGTACAAAGTTATACAGCACGAGCTGTGATTGTTTTAAAACTTGTGTAAATGTCATTTCTTTCCAAATTAGCACATTATGAATGGGACAAATAACCGATTCCAAATCAAGATCACTGGCAATGGGACTGAGCTTCGCATCCTGGCGCTGGATATCGAGAAAGACCAAGGAGAGTACTACTGCAATGCCACCAATGAGATCGGGGCCCGGGCAGAAATCATCCATCTTCGTGTCCGCGGCCGTTTCGCTGCTCTCTGGCCTTTCCTGGGGATCGTTGCTGAGGTCATTGTCCTTGTCGCAATCATCTTCATTTATGAGAAGAGGAGAAAGCCCGACGAGCTTGCAGACGGTACGTTGACAGCCAGCTTGTAGTCACTCACAGGACACGTGATTCAGTGGTAACTTTCCAGCTTCAGAAATGTAAATACAATTTGTCTTAACTGGTGCTAATCAAAGCGATTGCGAGAACCACAATTTTTGGGAAATATTTTTTCCTCCCCTTGCTTCTGCTTCTCCAGCAGGTACTTGATTGTTACCACTTGGATATAGTTCCATGGGTGCTATTTGCCTTCCTCGAGCCTCACCCAGGTGGTTCTCGTTCTCATTCACGTGTGAACGTGTCTGCACACTCGCTATTCGAGGCTGATGGGCAGCAGGATGCGGGTTGGCGTTCTGTCCTTGCTCACATACTTGCAGCTTGTGTGGGATTGCTGGGAGGTGATCCGGAAGCTGGACTGCCAAGGCCATTTGTAGCTCGCTTGCTGTCTCTCTGAGTCAGCTTATTAGTCGAGGTCACACACGAAACCTGTCCTGGGAACACAGCTAATTCTGGTGGCAGCAGGTGTTTTCAACCATATACAAAATGCCTGCTCCTGTCACCTGTTCTGTACAGCATTAAAAATCGGAGCAACAGAGGTCAGCGAAGTGCCACTAAGTGTATTGCTAACTTCCTTGATAATACTTGGGTTCTGTTATAATTCAGAATCTTTCACAGTGATTTTCAGCTGCGTGGGAACAGAACTGTTGAGTCAAAGAATTATTCAATTTTCCGGTTATTTATGGAAACTGCCAACATAGTTAGTGGCCATTGGGTTACTGTGTATTTAGCAGTGAGGCCCTTTAAAAGATTGAGGTGGCCTCTTAGTTTCAATTTGCCCCTGGACTTTGCTTTTATTGTTCGTATATGGGGCAACATGCCCTGCATTCCTGTGATGAAAACCTGTTTTCTTCTCCATTTGCTGCTGGTTCTTATTGTACGGTAAGTGGAGTAAACGGCATGTCAGTTTGAAGCCATTCTCTAGAGGTGCCAGAGTTCAAGTTTCTGCCATCTCTGCCCAGCTGTGCTTTTCATACTTTTACAATATTACTGTAAATTGAACAAACTATGTACCACTTCAGTACAATTGAATATTGCACATCACATTTAAGTTTAGCATTTTCATACAAAAATATTCCAACATATTCATTGTTGCCTCAGTTTTCCTAATATCAAGTTTGTGGAGTCAGAAATTTAAAATGTGTCCAAATCTATTTTGGGTTAAAATTGTCAGATTATTCCCAGCTGCATGTCACTGCTTTTTGAATTCTGCCTTTGGTATAAGGCCACTGGGGCCACAGCAAGTAAAATGTTTGGTCATTATTGTAGTTTTTCGATTTACAGTAAAAACAAAGTGAGTAAAATGGGATTAGGCCCAAGGTCTACGAACCCAAGTCATATCATGTCTCTGCTCAGTGTCATATTTTGTCTCTACAAGGTCAGTTAGCAATTGGGAGCGAAAGTCCACTCCAGTGGAGTGAATCTGACATTCCCTGACTGTATTGGTAGTTATTCACTGGATACACTCCCAGTTTAGCTATTGAGTACCAAACAGGGTTTTATATTGGTTTAAACCAGCTTCAGTTTATTTAATAATCCTTGCATTTGAGGGATTTGAAAACCTTAGGCCTAAACCCATGAGCTATAATTGGGATTAACAATGCTAAACAGCTTGCTGTTGGCATACCAGTGCCGATCTGTAAATCTGCCTTTGCCCAACTGTTTAGGAGAAAGACCATTTGCCTTTTTTACTTACAGTAGTTTAAGTGATACTTGTTTGGAGCATCACTTCACAAGATGGACTTAATTACAGTGGCCCAAAGAATTCCCAGGGGAATGAACTCCACGGTTTGGGCTGGGGGGGGTGAGAGATTTACCACAGTTAATTTACTCGGGGTCTTGCTGTGATGTTTCAATTTGTATATTGTAAAATCAATAATCAGTTTCATTATCACATCATCTTGTGGTTTCCTGCAAGGTGACCTCTTGGGGTGGGGGGGTAGCTGGAGCTAGTGTTGAATGACATTGTTGTGTGCCCAAACGCAGTAACTGGCATCAAGCTTGAATTTCATTCCCGTCTTGTAGCATTTCGGAATTGTGCTATTTGCAGTGGCGATTTGTCCTGACATTCATTCTGCACTGTTACATTGCCTTCCTCATCATTGGCACATACAGTGCAACTCTGCAGCTTCTCAAAGACGTGTAGCAAAAGGTGGAAGTAGCGCTGAGGTTCAGCGCCTGCCTGTGAACGGCTAAATCTCCATTTATCTAAATTGTTGTTAATGACGCTTCTTTCTTTACATGTGAATTTGTCGCTGATCAGATGACGAACAAGGATCTGCACCTCTGTGAGTTTACTCAAAATTATTTGATTTTTTTTAAACAATCTAGTTTTGTAAGTAGATACTGCTGCAACCAATTTGTGCTGCTGACTTGATTCTAACCACCTCCTCCGCCTCCTCCTCAGGAAAAGCAATGCAGCCACTAATCATAAGGATAAAAATGTCAGGCAGCGAAATGCAAACTGAATTGATTTCTTACTTTGGGAAAGGTCAGTACTCTTTTTATTATTAAGGTGCTATAAATGTATGTCCTTTGAAGTATGAGATAATGCTTTATGTTCTGTTTTCCTTGCATGCTCCTGCTTCTCTCCATTCCGTTGCATAGCACATTTGTATGTCAAAACGTAGCTTTGCTTAAATTCCTGAGATTCACCAAACAAATTGCTGCCTGGTACTTAATAAAGTATTTCTTTATAAGTGCACTTGCGTATCTTTTGAACCTCTAGCTTGTGGACTACATGCATTTACATCAGAAGATAACTTTGATTGTGTTTTTTTTAGTGAGTTGTACACACTGCTCTACATCCGACAACCCTCTGTGTTGGTACGATCAATTATGCTTCCCTTGTGTGGCTTCCACCCCCACCCCCCATGGTCTAATAGCAAAGGATTCAACTTTGAGATCTCTACTCCCATCGATATTTGGCACTAAATTGTTTGGTGTTTTTTAAAAAAAAATTCCAATTCCTTTCTAAGAGAAAGCAGAATGTTTTATTTATCATTTTTTTCTGATTTTGCACAACTTGATTTTAGAAGCCTTTGTTCTTTTTAAACTAATGAAAGTAGAGAGATTCTGTGGGTGAGTCACTTTTACAGAGAAGTGCCCAAAAAAGATTAAACTGTCAACATTGTTGAGTGCTCTGACCCCTGACTGTCCAGCGCCTTGGGTTGTCCTTTCGATGTGAAAGGCGCTGTATAAATGTAATTTTGTTGTTGTTGCTCAAGGTAACTGAACATTTCCTCTTGTGTTTTCTCTTCCAGGAGGTGGCCTGTACAACATTACAAAGTAGATGGGTTTTGTAGTTGACGTGGAGGATGATATCTTGGGTGTGAAATAAAGCATTTTGATGCGTTCACAGATCCTAAAGCTTTTTGAGTCTCTTTTAACAACAAAAAGATTATTAAGTTAATTAATTAGAAACTCTTTTACCATTTGACTGCTGGTGTTTTTTTAAATTCACTCCAGTGTATTAGCACTAATTGATTAAAGGGACAGTGTAGTCTATTCTGGCCTCCCCAGCCTGTGTAAAGTACATTGATGTTCCTTCTAGATATTTGATTGTTTTTTTTTTCTTGGTGGCTAGGTTTATTTTTTGTTTGCAACCGATGTATGTAATAATCTGCTATCCTCTCATCCTCCTGCCCACCCATTAACTGAACTAATAATCATAGTGACAAGTTGGGATTTGTAAATGCGAATGCGTTCTTTCTCCCCTTCCGTCCTCTCTCTCCTTCTCTTATTCCCACCCCCCCACCACCTACCTAAATTCATCTGATCTAGGCCATTGGTAGAAACAATGTCTTGTTAATATAGTTTGTATTAATCCTGCATGATAAAACATTCAGATTGGCTTGTGGAGTATATATCGTGTGTTGCTGGTGAGTCTGACTTCCTCCCTTTACAGTGACACCATTATTGAGAATGTGGTATGTCATCAGCTAAATTCAGTATTTTTGGGAGGGGGAAAGTCTTCAAATCAAAATAATGACTACACTACCAAGTTTTGAAAGTGGCTGGTAATACTGTGCATCTTATTGAAATGTACCCGATGGGTCACTTGTATAGCAACTCTTATCGAAATTGCTTGTTGGTGAAGGCTTGTACCGATGCTTGCCATTGCTCTTATTTTTCATGTCAACATGACCAGCTAATTTTGCATCTTCAGTATTAACTGGTGCAGTAGTAGTGTCCAGTGTGTCTTTTATAGAATAAGCTATTTTCTTGTGTGGTGTTTTTTCTGTAATAGTTTAGTGAACTCCAGCTGAATATTTATAGAGCATGGCTTCTCCTCAGACATTATTTTTTTTTACCAGTTTGTGAAGGGAGGGAGGAGGGTGGGTGAAAGGAAGAACAGTCAGTGATAACCAGTGAATCTCTTAACCCTTCTCTGTAGTAAGTTTCCCTTGTATCCCTGTAGTAAGTTTCCCTTAACCTTGAAATATGTCCCCACTGAATTTCTCTTCCACAACCCGTTTGACATCGTTTGCTGTAGCTACAAAGCGTTTTTTTTTTTTAAAAATTGTTTTTTTGGATTGTTTTATTGAGTGACGGATATCGGCACATTTCATGTTTCCTTCCGTAGGTGAGTGAGGAACCTGAAGAGATTTACCTGGATTGTAAAAAAATTTTGTATGTACAAATGCAGAGGTGTTTTTAAAAGTATTTGACATCATCAGCAGTACTTTTTTAACTGGGTGGAAACCATACCAGTATTTGCTCACATCAACTGTAACACACTGACTTTTGTGCTGAATCTTTTACCGCTGTAGCCGTTTCTTTACAAAACAAATGACTTTTTAAGATCTCCCGTGTTGCTACGCACGCGCGCACACACACCACCTCAACAGTACGTGAAGTCTGTATCACAATTCACACAATTAAAAAATAAATAAAATCCTTGATTTATCTTTTTTCATGGCTTTTATTCCATTCTCCTGTCCGGGAGATCATGTGGTTTGGCTTTTGGGGACAATAGTGTTAATAAATAACGAGACTGTAACTGGTGTCCCAAGGTGACCCACTCTGTACGGTGTTGGCGTGCTGCCTTTCAGCACCAGGTAACTTGGTTTAAATGTAACTTGCTCTATAAAGACCTGAATGCAAACTTGCATCTCATTTTTCTGGGTTTTTTCCTTCACGCACATGCATGCATTCTGTAATATACTGTGTGTGCGTCACATGTGGAAAGGCTAATAAAATGCACACTTTCACGTCGGGAGGACTTTCAAAGTGCTTTGCGTGGTCAAACATGAATGGGGTGGAATGGATTGATTGAGTGGTGGCAGGTTAATGTGCATTGCTGAGCGGAGGGGCTGACTATGTTACACCTGATGTGCAAGTGCTTGATTCTACACTGGAAGCGTCGAATTGGGGAAACTCTTCCAGGCCACAGACTCGCCCCGTCCACCTCCCCTCAAGCCTCATCCATCCTTAAGTGTTCCAACCGAGACACTACAGACTGCTAGAACTCCTTTGTGCTCTGTTTAGTTCAGCTACTGAGAATATCTGGGAAGCTTAGCCACTCCTGCTGTTGGGTGTGAAGCCACACCTTTAACATGGGGCGGGGAATGCCTGAGTATTTGGATCCCGACTCCAATGGGGGTGGTGGGTGGAGAGAGAAGAGATGAAATGTTGCCGTAAGCTATTGGAGGATTGGCACACATTGGTTAAATTAGACTTGGGATCCCAAGCGTCCCTGTTGGAAGTGGAGCTGCGAATGGTTCCAGGCGGCCCATAGCTGCTTTGACGTTCAGATCTTGTGGTTATTTTTAGGGCCGCTGTTCTGCGCAGCAAATAGCTGCTTTGTTCCAAATGCTTTATTAGAGTTGCTTTCCGCTCACCACATGCACCTTAGGTTGGGCTCGGTGGTGGGAAAGGCAGTGGTTTGCAACAGAAGTCCGACAGCTTGCACTAACCACATCTCTTCCAACCTTTCACAGAGAATCAGGAAGAGCCCATTCAGGTGGAAAATTGGTGGTGGTAAGAGAGGCTGTGAATCAGGCCGGAGGTAGCAAAGTGTTCTTGTGTGGAGGGGAGGAGGGTAAGCCTACGGGATCATGGAGGGAGGTCAGGCAAGGGCGGAAGAGATGAGAGATGGTTGAAAGTTAGAGTGAGCATCTTGTATGTCTCTATATTGGTGGAATTTAGAGCCTGGTGAGGATTGGGCTGATCAGCTTGTGGCAAATGGATAAGGGCTGTATAGAGTTCTGGATAGTCTGAGCAATTTCACCCTCCCCTTTCCTTCCCCCTCCCAAAAGCAGCAAGGATGCTGGAATGAGAAATCGCTGGAAACGCTCAGCGGGTCAGGCAGCATCTATGGAGAAAGGAAACCTTTCGGGTCCGCGACCCTTCGTTAGAACGTTCTGACCCGCTGAGTGTTCCCAGCGACTTCTGTTTTTATTTTTAGATTTTCCGGCATCTGCAGTATTTTGTGTTTTGCTTAAGGTTGAAGTGAGTTCAGGCTCATGACCAGAAACTGTTTTGCACGTACCCCCCCACCCACACACACACACACACACACCGGTTAATCACGCTGTAAGTAATGGTGCTGGATTGAAGGAAAACAGGTTCAACCTGGTTGGGAACAGCTTCTTAATTGCCTGTTTGGTACAGCACGAAGGGGAAAAGCAGATAACATCTCGGGCGTGGAGCAAGTCTGTTTATCTGCTTGTATGTAATAATAATCCTTGCATTGATAGAGTGCCTTATCACGTCTTCCAAGACGCTTCACAGGATATCCTACAAAGTGAATGGACTTTTTTTGGGTGAAATGCGGCAGCCAATTGTGCACAGCAGCGTCCCACGAATAGTTGTGGATTGAGTGACCAAATTATTATTTTTCTTAATTCATTTTTGTTTTGGAGGGGTTATTACCCCCTCTAAAGCGATCCATCAATCCACTAATAACCGGGTTCCTACTTACTGCTCGGTAAACGGGGGTAAAAGAGTAAGGAAACGTGCCCAACGTTTCACCGGGAGTAGCGGGAATGGAACCCAGGTCCTCTTGCTTGCACGGCGAGTGCTCTTATCTATAAGCTCCAGGACTTCACATGTAATGATTGCTTGGGTTGTACAACCTGCTGTTTTTTCCCCTGTAAAGCAACTCACTGTGCAGTTTTTGGAGGTGAGGCTCTCTGTGCACACTCCAGCCCAGGGAGTGTTGGCTCATATCACCTGCGCCCTGTAACCAAACTCCCACGTTGCATTGGTGATAACCTTTGTGGCCTCTAGTAAACCGGTCTACAGAGCTTCCTTGTTCCACCCGCACCTCAAGGTATTCCACCCAGGTTTAGAACCGTGAGCTGTAATCTCCATTCGAGGCCTTATGCATTAATTACAAGTCATAGTACTGTCAGCCTGGCTCAGGTGGTGGCAATCTTGCCTCTTGAAGTGCGTGGGTTCTGCCCCCATCTTGGGATTTTGAGCTCAGTCTAGTTTGACGCTGGGGCTGGTGCTGAGTGTCAGAGGTCCCGTCCTTCAGAACAACAAATTACATTCATATAGCGCCTTTCAGGGCGGGAGGACACCCCAAGGCGCTGGGATAATATCAAACCAAGTCCCCCTTCTGTACCTGCTCAGATGGACATTAAAGATCCTGAGGTCCTATTGGCAAAGTGAAGAGAGTTTCCGCTGGAGTCCTGTCTGACAAATCTTGGGGAGAAAAGTACTGAGGCAATTTTTCTGGACAATTTGATCCCTCATGGCAAGGTCGCAGGAGAGTTTGGGACACCGAAGGGCTCGGCTGCTTGTTATCCCTGGTCTAGCACGGTACCGGTTTATCAGACTGCCATCTAGAGTCATTAAGGCGAGACCCTGTCAGGGCAACAGTGAGTGAGAGGGAGAACAACTTTCATTTTAATTAACACAGTCTTGTGTTTTTTTTTCAATGGTCAGAATTATCTTTTAACGTGTTTAAGGCGTTATTAAAGAAACTGTTCAAATTTGATGCAAACCGTTAGTATTTTATATAATAAATCTTTTTGGGTTGGTGTATTGCTGCCCTCTTGTGACTCATTGATATCATAGCAAAGTAATCCTGAATCTCCCAATGTAACCTTCACTTAACATACATTTATTTATATCCAGTAGCGCCCTTCGTGTAGGGTCATTTTTTTTGCTCAGCTGAGTGTCTGACACATACGGAAACCCATCACGGTGCTTAAGAGTATCAAACTGAGATTTCCGTGCATCCCACCTCCACTCTTATCAAATGCAAGGATTATTATTATTTATTATAAATCCCGCAGATCGATTGTTGGAATGTGAGCGGAAGACAAACTGTAATAACGATGAGAATAATAATAAGAATAACTGTGGAGTCCTGTAGCTCAGCGGTTAGAGCACTCGCTTTGCAAGTGAGAGACCTGAGATCAATTCCAGGCAGAGGGCGAAACCTCAGGCAAGTTTTCTTACTCCACACAGAGCCTAATAATAATCCCTCCAAAACCAAAACAATAATAAATTGGTCCTTTTCAATCTACGACTGTTTGTGGGACACTCATTGCTGTGCGCAATTGGCTTCCGCGTTCTCCCACAGATACACAGTCAATTCACTTTACAGTCTATTCTGTGAAGCGCTTCGAGACGTCGAGAAGACGTGAAAAGCGTTATTAATGATAATTATTATTAATAATAATCCTCGCATTTGATAAAGTGCCTCATGTCGTTGAGTCGTCTCAAAGTGCCTGTACGGCGAGTGAAGTGAATGACGGTATATTTTGTGGGCGAAACGCGGCAACCCGTTGCGCGCAGCAGTTTATCTTTTATTTTTGTTGTCAGGTTCAACCCTACAATGTTGCGTTGGGTGTCGACGGTGCACTCACTCTCGGTTCGAGCCTAACTTAATGCGATCTGTGAACCTGTACAACCACAAAAAGATAGGCAGGAAGGTTGGTACATTGGGATCAGCTGCAGTCTACAATCCATCCACTAAGTGACGCTCGCTCCCTGACTTCTGATCCAGGGAGAAGCTCTAGGAATAATTTACCTCATAAATAATCATCCTGGTCTTTAATACAGCGCCTTATCACGTCATTGAGACGTCTCAAAGCGCTTCACAGAATATATTGTAAAGTGTAGTGACTGTATATTTTGTGGGCGAAACGTGGCAGCCAATTGCACACAGCAGCGTCCCCACAAACAGTTGGGGGTGACAGACAGTAAATCCTGTGGAGCGCTTTGAGACGTCTCGACAACGTGATAAGGCGCTGGGTCAAGTGCAAAGATTATTATATATTATTGAGTGAAAATTACTGCAGGCCCTTCAGATCAAAGTGTGCATCTAAACACTCCACTTTGTTTCCTTCTCGCCCTCCTTCCTCCGTTTGCATAACTCCACTTAGTCAGAGGATTGTTTTTTTTTTCTCTGTGTGCGTGTTTGTGTGTCTTTGTGTGTGGATTTGTCTGTGTGAGCGTATTTGTCTGTGGGCGTATAGTGTGTATGAGTCTGTGTCTCTGTTTGCGTGTGGTGCGTGTATGTGTCTGTTACTCTATGTGCGCGTCTGCATCTGTGTGTGTGTGTGTGTATGTGTGATTTCGAAGTCAACCTTTTAATGAGCCCGCATCTAAAATGCTTTAATTAAGTGAGCGTTCCCCGGGCAGCGAGTTCTCTTTGTGGTTGCTAGCGTGAGTTACTGCAAATCCATTGCTCCCATTCCCTCCAGGAACTTGAGTCAACATCCGTTAGCAATTTCTTTTCATCTCACAACCTTGAACTGCTTATTTGTGGTCGAAATATCTGTAGCAAAGTTTCCCCCCCCCCCCCCCCACTCCTTTTTAAATTTTTTTTTTACACAAAGCCTAGTAGATATCTGGAACTCTCCGCCGAACGGCTGTGGATTATGGCTGGATCCATTCAAAATTTCAAGACTGAGGTGGATAGATATTTGTTAGGTCAGGGTATCAAGGGATATGGTGGGTAGTTGGAGTTGAGGTACTTATAGAATGGCAGAACAAGCTCGAGGGGTTGAATGGCCCCCCGTTCCTTTGTTTCCCCACCCTTCCCCCCCCCAATTCACATCGTCCTACACGAAGGGCACGAAACGGATGCAAGTTGTTGTTGTTGGCGTCGTCGCTGGGAACAGATATATCAGCGAGAACTTTTTTGCCATTTTCTCGCGTTAATTTAGCACCTGGATAACGAGGCACGAAACCCAGCGCAAGGGGATGAATCACCGCCCAAAAAAAACCCACAGCAAACTTGAACCCTGTTGTATTGTTAACCAGGCGCGTGTACTACAACGACGACGACCACAACTTGCATTTATATACGTGCCCCTCATGCAAGGTGGCGTCCCGGAGCGCTTACACAGTCGCTGGCGTAGAGATGAAACAGATGGTCAAGCCGATTGGCTTCCGCGCAGCATTCGATTCTTTTAAACTTAATTTTAAAAAAATTAGTGCAAACGGAGTGACCGGCTTTATCCGTTAGCGCAGCGCGGCAATTTGTCCTGATGTAAGTAACAAGCCATTTATGTGATTTATTCCAGGGAGGCGAGGTAATGGTTCTTGGCAATTAGTTCAGGGTTAAGAGACTCATTCTTCTCCTCTGTCCGTTGACATTTAGTTAATAATATATTTTTCACCAGGCGATTCCTTCATTGCTTAGCGATTGCTGCTGAATAGGTGAAACCCAACTGAGGCTGCTAATAATAATAATAATCCTTATATTGGACACAGTGCCTTATCACCTCACAGCGCTTCACAGGATACACTGTAATGTATAGTGACTGTGTATTTTGTGGGCAAAACGTGGCAGCCAATTGCGCACAGCAGCGTCCCCCGAACAGCCGTGGATCTGAACACTCATTGACAAGGGAAGGAATGTGTTTTGGAGGAGTTAATGCAAATGGCAATAATCTGTGGGTAAACTTCCTCCTTGGCGGGAAGCTGACGGGTGGATTATTGTGTTGTTGGGTTACCCTATGATAATTACTTGTGAAATATGGACTCTGGAGTCAATTTGATTCCCACTTACGTTGCCAGACTCCATCTACCATATATTATCCAATTGTAGGCAGAGGCGACACACCGGACTCGATGTGCAGCTGTTGTGAGTGAAATCCTGACTGAGAGCACTGACAAATGTGTTTGCTCTCGAACGTTGCCACCGATATCGGGTGGTGAAGGAGTCTGGGGAGAGAAATGATTCGATTCGATGTCTTGCCTTCGGACGCTTGATTGGTTTATGTTCTACAGCACAGCTCGGTGGAGGCCGCAGTGAGTTCTTTAGCCTGACGAGCCGCGGGAAGCTTGCCAGGCAGCCCTCTCAACGGCACACTGCGCGGGTTGAGCTGATTGAACTCCAGCAGCTACTCTCTCCTCCAAGCAGTTAGCCCACAGCACTCACAGTCACTCCACCGTGCAGTATATCCTGTGAAGCGCTTTGAGACGTCTCAACGACGTGCCGAGGCGCGGTGTCAAATGCAAGGATTTATAAGTTCAAATATTTGCCGGTATTTACTTGAAGCCGGTATGGAAAACTTCAGCAACGCGGCATCAATAACAATAATCCTTTTGATGCGGCGCCTGATCACGTCTTCGAGACGTCTCAAAGCGCTTCACAGAACAGACTGTAAAGTGGAGTGACTGTGTATTTTGCGGGCAAAACGCAGCAGCCAATTGCGCGCGGGATTTATATATTGCTGTTTATACAGCCCCTCCTCACGGAGGTTTTTGTTGAACATTGAAACTCTCAGCGCAGATGGGCACTGCTCCTCTGTCTATATTAATTAAATCACCTCCTCTTCATTAAATGGATCCCCGATGCTCTAATCTCTCTCTGCGTTAAGAACATTATGGTATTTGCATGTCCTATAGTTAAAGCTTTGCTTTATTGAGATGATTCAGTGCAGCTGATTGATGATATTACCGTTGCCGTCCTTTGGCTGAGAAGTTAATCCAACCCCGCAGCCAAAGCCCTAACTAACGGGGAGGGAGGTCCCGGCTGGACAAGCAGCGGGAAAGCTTGGCCAGACAGCGATATCAATGGCCGAGCTGTGCGTGTGGGTTTATCCGGTTCGACTCCAGAAGTTACCCCCAACGCACACTCTGGGGTCCCCCACAAGCCTTGTCTCTTGCCGACCTGCGCCTAATACTCTGCGGTATTAGGTAAGAAGTGTGTGGGGGGGGGGGGGGCGGGTGCCTTGAGACAGAATGTCTCAGGTTAAACAAACACTTGGTGGGGTGGGGGTTGTTATTCCTGTTCTCTGTTTTTCAAATGTCTAATAAACTGAGAGCCTTCACTTCGCATTTCTTTGGGGGATTTGCTGAGGTGTGTAAAGGGGAATTTACACAAATCACTCTCTTTGCCCCCACCCCCCCCCACCGTCTCTCTGTCCCTCTTGACATTTCTCTCCCCCCCCCACCCACCCCCATATGCTGGTTGTGTGTCAGGTCGATTCGTAAAGAGGAAATCACGCATTATTAACCATTAAACGGCTGCACCACATCACACACACCCCAGAACCCACCAACCAACAATAAGACGCGTTTCTAAGCGTTTGCAACAGATAAATACTTAATTTCACCTCTGTTTATAACCGCTTACACTTCAGCAAAATGCGTGTGTTAGTGAGTGAGTGAGTGTGTGTGTGAGTCTATGTGTGTGTGGGATTGGGAATGTGTATTACTGTGTGTGTGAGAGTGTATTTGTCAGTGTGTCTGTGTGTGGGTGTGTGAGTGTGTGTATGTGGAGGGAGTATGGAATTTTGCGCTATTCGTAAAAAAAGGAAAGGGGGGGGGGAGGGGAGGATGGAGGTGGGAGGAGGGGAGGAAGGATGGAGAAGGCTCTGGGCACAGGTGGAGGAGGGAAAGGACCAGATAAACATCAGGTCCAGGGAGACAGCAGCAGCGTCTCCTCTCCTCTCCATCTCATTCCATCATTTGTGCCGCGGAGGTAATTTGTAGAGGTTACATTCTCGCACCGTCTAACCTTCCCAACCGGGGGGGGGGGGGGGGGGGGGGGGGGGGGAGACACAGAGAGAGAGAGAGAGGGGGAGTGTGTGAGACGGAGAGAGAGAGACAGTCAGTGTGTGAGACACAGAGAGAGAGGGAGTGTGTGAGAGACAGAGAGAAAGAGGGGAGTGTGAGATAGAGAGAGGGAGAGGACACCGCATCTCTGGCTTCTCTAAGGTGGGGGGGAGGGGGGGTTTGGGGGAGAGGGGGAGGGAGAAAGAAGAGAGAGGAGAGATAGCGAGGGGATAGAGATAGAGAGGAAGAGAGAGTGGAAGGGAAAGAGGGAGAAGAGAGATGGGGAAGAGGAGAGAACACTATCTCCGGCTTCCCTAGGGCAGTTTTGGGGGGAGGAGAGAGGGAGAGGGGGTGTGTGTGTGAGAGAGAGAGAGAGAGAGAGGACACACCGTTCCTGGCTTCTCTAAGGCAGTTTTTCTTTCTAGAAGGAGAGAGAGAGAGAAGAGAAAAGGAGGGGAAGGTGAATAGAGAGAGAGAAAGAAGAAGAGATAGAGAGAAGGAGATAGAATAGAGAGGGGGAGAGAGGGAGGGAGGGAGAGGGGGTGAGGGGAAGAGATAGAAGAGCGAGGAGGGAGGGAGGGGGGAGAAGGAGAAGGAGATACAGATAGAATAGAGAAGAGAAGAGGGGAGGGAGGGAGAGGAGAAGGAGATAGAATAGAGAAGAGAGGAGGGAGGGAGGGAGAGGAGGATAGAGAGGAAGAGACAGAGAGGGAGAGGAGAGGGGAGGGGGGGACAGAGAGTTAAAGGGGGGGGAAGATGTCACGTACTTGGAGCTGGAAACACGTCAAAGCCAATCTCTCCAACCAGACACCAGCTGTGGGGCACCAGAGAGACATCAGCACCGGGTCGGGCCATGCGGCGCGGGCCGCCCAGTGGGTCCCGGGGAGTGGGGGGCGCTGAGGGGGGGTCCGGGGCGCTGGTCAGTATGGAGGACAGGGAGGGCGAGAGCCCGGGGGGTGGGGAGGTCGGGGCCGGGGTCGGGGTGGGGGGGAAGGGCATTAGGATGAAAGCCATCCCTCCCTCCCCCAAGCCCGGCCCGGGGAGAGGCTGTGAGGGCAGGAGGGGGGGGGATGGCGAGGGTACCAGCCCCGGGGTCAAGTGCAACACGAACGGGGACTGCAGGGTACCCGCGGGCACCCACAGCCACAGCCACAGCCTGAGCCACAGCCAGGGCTCGGGGGTGGGGAGGGCGGAGGCGGGGGGCAGGACTGGGGACAACATGGACACCACCACTCCGACCTCTCAAGGCGAAGAGAAGAGAGAGACCCGAGTGGTCTTCTCGTCCACATCATCATCAGCTGCTGCCGCCGCCGCCTCCGGGAGGAAGTCCTCCCAACCCCAACCCCAACCCCACCCGCACAGGGACTCGCTGGGCTTCCTCAAGGGCGACTGCAACGCCTCGGACCTGATCCTGGCCGACGATGGCGACCACCCGATGGGCAGTCAGGGCAGCTTCATGCACCGCCAGTTCAGCGCTATGCTCCAGCCCGGGGTCAACAAGTTCTCGCTCCGGATGTTCGGCAGCCAAAAGGCCGTGGAGAGGGAGCAGGAGAGGGTCAAGTCGGCCGGAGCCTGGATCATCCACCCTTACAGCGATTTTCGGTGAGTTTCTGAGGGGTGGGTGGGGGGGGGGGGGGGGGGGGGAGAGAGAGACGGAGAGATGGGGAGAGAGAGATGGAGAGATGGGGAGAGAGATGGGGAGAGAGATGGAGAGATGGGGAGAGAGATGGAGAGATGGGGAAGAGAGATGGAGAGATGGGAGAGATGGAGAGATGGGAGAGAGATGGAGAGATGGGAGAGAGAGATGGAGAGATGGGAGAGAGAGATGGAGAGATGGAGAGAGATGGAGAGATGGGGGGAGAGAGATAAGAGAGATGGAGAGATGGGGGAGAGATGGAGAGATGGGGGAGAGAGAGATGGGAGCGATGGGGGAGTTGTGGGGGAGGGAGAGGTGGGGTTGGTGGGAGAGAGGGGGGCACAGGTACAAGAATAAAGCGTCTTTATATTACTATATTAGTAATTATATGTATTTATAGCCACATCTGCACATCCCACGGTCCGCAATAACCGGGACAGCGCCACTCGTGGGCTCCCACGTCTTTTAATTGGAATTAATACGTTCATTGGATGTTCTCAGGGCAAACCCTCGTGTGTGTGTGTGTCAGTCTGTGTGTCAGTGTCTGGCTGGTGTGCCTGTTTGTGTGTCTGTGTGTGTGTGGGGGGGGGGGGAGGCTCTGTGTGTTTGTGTGTGTCAGTGTCTCGGTATGTGGTTGTACCAGTGTATATGTGTGTGTGTCAGTGTCTGTGTGTGTGTGAGTGTCTGTCTCTGCGTGTGGTTGTATCAGTGTGTCTGTGTCTGTGTGTGTGTGTCTGTCTGTGTGTGTCTGTGTGTGTGTCTGTCTGTGTCTGTGTGTGTGTCTGTGTGTGTGTCTGTGTGTGTGTGTCTGTGTGTGTGTCTGTCTGTGTCTGTGTCTGTGTGTCTGTGTGTGTGTGTGTGTGTGTGTGTGTCTGTGTGTGTGTCTGTGTGTGTGTGTGTGTGTGTGTGTGTCTGTGTCTGTGTCTGTGTGTCTGTGTGTGTGTGTGTCTGTGTGTGTGTCTGTGTGTGTGTGTCTGTGTGTGTGTCTGTCTGTGTCTGTGTGTCTGTGTGTGTGTGTGTCTGTGTGTGTGTCTGTCTGTGTCTGTGTCTGTGTGTCTGTGTGTGTGTGTGTGTGTCTGTGTGTGTGTCTGTGTCTGTGTGTGCGTGTGTGTCTGTGTGTGTGTCTGTGTGTGTGTGTCTGTGAGAAGCAGAAGGAGCTGAGGACCTGGACAGGGAGACAGTCCGCCTGTAATCAGCAGAGCTCCAGCAGTGCCCTGTGTGTCTGTCCACTGTGTTACAAGGCCTTAATGCGCACTGAAGTACTCTTTAAGACACTCAACAATAAGGGGGGGGTTGGAGGAGGGGGTGATATCTCCCTCTCTGCCCCCAGCTGTGGTACCGTGTGCTGCTGTGTGTGTGTGGGGGGGAATTATAATAATCTTTGCATTTGATATTAGCGTCTTATCACGACTTTGAGACATCTCAAGGGTGGGAGGGGGCTGTGTATGTGTGTATATGTGTGAGGGAGGGGGGCTGTGTGTGTGTGTATATGTGTGAGGGAGGGGGGCTGTGTGTGTGTGTATATGTGTGAGGGAGGGGGGCTGTGTGTGTGTATGAGGGGGTTGTGTGTGTGTGTGTATGAGGGGGTTGTGTGTGTGTGTATGTATGAGGGGGTTGTGTGTGGTGTGTGTTGGAGGCCGTGTGTGGTGTACGTTGGAGGCCGTGTGTGGTGTACGTTGGAGGCCGTGTGTGGTGTGCGTTGGAGGCCGTGTGTGGTGTGCGTTGGAGGCCATGTGTGGTGTGCGTTGGAGGCCGTGTGTGTATTGGAGGCAGTGTGTGGTGTGCGTTGGAGGCTGTGTGCGGTGTGTGTTAGTGAGGCCCAGGGAAGGATGCTGGTGGCAGTGTTGCTAAAGAAGACAAATGGGGGACATGAGATCACCTTCACACACTGACTTTGCTTTCTTAACCAATTGACGAAATACCCGGCTCTCAGCTTCGTCCTTGTTTAGGCATTTGGGGAGCGTTCCCCAAGCACCACCCCAAAAAAAAAAGGGGGTGGGGGGGGGGGAATAGACAGTGGTACACACCTTCCCAGACCCAAATAAAACTCAAGGCAACTCTAGAGGTGTGCTGCGAAGGTTGCGATCGAAGGTGCTTTGTTTCATTTTGCTCAGAACACTCTCTCCAGCAGCTACAACAACAACAACAACTTGCATGTATACCGTGCCCCTCACGCGGGGTGGCGTCCCCGAGAGTTTATATTGTGCAGCATAATCGTATTGCCCTTTGGTAGCGACGGAATGAGAGGAAGATGACGAGGAATTAGGGTGAGTGACAGACAGAGAAAGCAGCCAGATACATTTTTGATAGCAAACAGGTACCGTAGGGTGATGATATCTCCATATCTCCTCTGTTTTACTGCCAACTAACCTTGACTGCACACGCAGTAACCAGCCCTAATGATTCTTTTTTTCATTAAACTGTGGCAATTTAATTTTGTTAGCAAGAGAGGTGATCTCTCTCCATTGCAATACAATCCGCAGTAAAATTGAACACTTAACAGGACGTCCCAAAGGGCTTTACTGTGTGGAGACTGCAACTCAGTACGTTATGTACTTGAAAAGGAAAAAAGTGTGCAGGGCTATGGGGTAAGAGTGGGACTGGTTGGTGGCTCTTTCAAAGAGCTGGCACAGGCACGATAGGCCGAATGGCCTCCTTCTGTGCTGTAGGATGCTACGGTTCCATATGCGAGAGAGGTTGATGTGTGACACCTTCAAGCCTGGCTCCCAGCGTGATTTCTGCAGAGCTGCGGTTGAACTTGTCTGGAAATTCCACTGGGAATATTTTCCCTGAAAAAAAAAGTCAATGAGGAACGAGAGCTGCCAAATATCCGGCTCCGAAGGTTTAACTCCGAAGGGGCCGGGGAGTTGCTGGTGATATTGCCAATACGTCTGTTTTAAGTTCAACCCCTGAGTCCAAATCGAAAGCCATTAGAACACTCTAGAAGGAACCAGACAGCTGTGCCACCACAACTGAAGAGCAGAGACGCGGTCAGAAAGTAAGCATTGAGTGACCGGGGCTATTCGAATCAGTCCCCTGTGTTTTGTACCTGTTATATTTAGAATGGTCGGTTGGCGTGTCGGAGAGACATCAAGACCATTTGAGCAAACGCAATGGTTGGTTTCACCTGAATGGCCATCGATTTTGAGATGCAACTAACAATACTCCTTAATAAGCCTTGCATTTGAATATAGCGCCTTATCATGTCTCTGAGGCGTCTCAAAGCGCTTCCACCAATATATAGCTGCCCCCAGCACGGCACCGAAATATCAGACTAGACTGTGAGTTGTAAATTCCCTAAGTGGGGCTTGAACCCACAATCTTCTGACTCACAGGCGAGAGTGTTATATCAAACCCAGGTTGACACCCAACAGTGCTTTGACTCTTCAGGGAACCATTTGCTTATCGTGAACATTTCGATGTGGAGTGAGAGTGAGATAATTGTGCGGTAGGACTCGAATCATTACAAACTCCTGAATTCCGGTATAAAATATAAAATACAGCGGGGTCCTGTATTATCACCTCGAGCAGGTGGCTGGATTGTTGAAGAAAAGTAACCCTTCGCCAATTGCAGTCATCGCTCCGGTTAGATATACGACGCGAGCGTTTTCACCATTTCGTGTGATGATATATTGCAACACAGCTCTGCTTGCACGACAAGTTAGTTAACGGGGAGCAGTGGGACGTTTCATTGTGTCTGAGAGCCAATTCCAGAGAACCAATTACATTTTATTATTACTGAGTTGGAGCAGTGCGGTGGCACAGGAGGGAAGAGACACACAGTGGGTTTGTGGTTGTGACGCACCCCCCCCCCCACACACACACACACACACTCTGATCTTCCAGCGTCACAGTATCCAGGCAAGTCTCAAGTGCTTTCCTGCAAAGAGGGACAGGGAGAGTGACTGGAAACTTACCTCTCATGCACCTTCTGCTGTGCGGTTACATAACAGCACCGGCCGGTGTCGTGATTGGAGGACAAAAATCAGGGTGTCCTTGGGTTGTCAGTCCCATCAGATCCTCTCTCCTGTGAGCACTCGCCTCGCACGCGGGAGGACCCGGGTTCGATTCCCGGGCAGCTCAGGGCAAAAACCTTAGGCAAGTGTCCTTATTCCACACACACACACGCACGCGCGCCCCTGTTTACCAGCAGTCAGTAGGAACCCGGTTGTGAGTCGATCGGTGGATTGCTTTTCTGGGGGTCAATAATCCCTCCAAAAAAAAAGTTTTAACAAAAGTATTAATAATAGTAATTTGGTCACTCACCCCACGGCTGTCTGTGGGGACGCTGCTGCGCGCACTTGGCTGCCGCGTTTCGCCCACAGAGTGTACAGTCCAATCCACTTTACAGCGTATCCTGTGAAGCGCTTTGAGACGTCTCAGGGATGTGAGAAGTCGCTGTGCCAAGTGCAAGGGACCATTATGATGATTATTATTATCATTGTTAACGTTATTATTATCTTTATTATCATTATCATTTATTATAGACGGAACCTGTCACTGCTGTGAAGGCCCAGAGGGCGTCTGCAGTACATGTCTGGCAGTCAGGAGGGGCTTTGGTGCTGTCCACAGTGCTGAAACCCTCAGCTCTCAGTCTCTCCCCCTCTCTCCCCCTCCCTCTGTCTCTCTGTCTCCCCTCCCTCTCTCTCTCCCTCCATCTCCATCTCCTCTCTCTCCCCCTCCCTCTCTCTCTCTCTCTCTCCCCTCCCTCCCTCCCCCTCCCTCTCTGTCTCTCCCTCCCTCTCCCCCCCTCTCTCTCTCTCCCCCTTCCCCCTCTCTCTCCCCCTCGCCCCCTCTCTCTCTCCCCCTCCCTGTCTCTCCCCCCCTCTCTCCTTCCATCTCCTCTCTCCCCCTCCCTCTCTCTCTCCCTCCCTCTCTCCCCCTCCCTCTCCCTCCATCTCCTCTCTCTCCCCCTCCCTCCCTCTCTCCCCTCCCTCTCCCTCCATCTCCTCTCTCCCCCTCCCTCTCTCTCTCCCCCTCCCTCGCTCTCCCCCCCTCCCTCTATGTCTCTCCCTCCCTCTCTCCCCCTCCCTCTCCCTCCCTCTCTCTCTCCCCCTCCCTCTCTCTCTCCCCCTCCCTCTCTCTCTCCCCCTCCCTCTCTCTCTCCCCCTCCCTCTCTGTCTCTTCCTCCCTCTCTCCCCCTCCCTCTCCCTCCCTCCCTCTCTCTCTCCCCTCCCCCCCTCTCTCCCCCTCCCCTCCCCCCCTCCCCCCCCTCTCTCCCCCTCCACACAATCTCACTGCAGTGTGGACTGGAATATCAGTGGCTTTAGCAGTAGGAAGAGCAGTCAGTGCCCACGTTATGGCCGTATGTCCAGTGGGGTATCAAACAGCTTCTGTTTACCGATCTCTCCATCTCTGTCCCTCCCTCCATCCCTCTCTCCCTCCTTTCTCTCCCTCCCCCTCTCTCTCCTCTCCCTCTCTCTCTATGTCTCTCCTTCTCTCCCCTCTCTCCTCTTCCCCCCCTCCCTCTCTATGTCTCTCCCCTCTCTCCTCTCCCCCCTCCCTCCCTCCCTCCCTCCCTCCCTCTCTCCCTCCCTCTCTATGTCTCTCCATCTCCCTCCCTCTATCCCTCTCCCTCCCTCTCTCCCCCCCTCTCTATGTCTCTCCCCTCTCTCCTCTCTCCCCCCCTCTCTATGTCTCTCCCCCCTCCCTCCCCCTCTCTCCCCTCCCTCCCCCCTCTCTCTCCTCTCGGCTTGTACCCAGACAGGCACCTGTCCTTGTGGCGACCTTGCGGACAAGGAGATACCATCACCTGATGTAGTACATGAGTTGGAGTACATTTATAGGGGGTGTGTGAGAGAGAGAGAGAGACTGACTGTGTGACTGTGTGTGTGACTGTGTGTCAGACAGACTGACTGTGTGTGTGTGGGGGGGAGAGTGTATGGGGGGGAATGATTAATCACCCGAAATCAATGTTTGTCCACAAATTCTTATTTTTTTTAAAAAAAATATATCACTGCACTGCTGCTTCCGAGGGAGTCAGTGCCAGTGGTACACGTGAGAGCACCGGTCGTGGTTTGAATATTCTAAGGAGCTGCAGATCTGATTATATCAGAGATCCTTTCCCATTGCTTCCCCACTGCAGCCTCTGTCTGTCTGTCTGTCTGTCTGTCTGTCTGTGAGCACACAGTCCAGTTGTGACAAGCCAGACCTCTCCAAGTGTTCCTGTTTGTCATCAAATAACTCTATATATACTCCGGCTATATTAAGCTCTTCGAGACACTACCTCACCTGAAGGGCGCTATATAAATGCAAGTTGTTGTTGCGGCTATTCTCTCTTGTCTCTCGCTCTCTCTCTCTGTGTCTCGTCCGAGTGTTTCCTTGTTTATCACCTGCCCTTTCCCCGATAAACCATGGTATATTTCCATTACAATTTCTTTTTAATACGTAACCTCCCCCGCCCCCCCTCTACGCTCCCTCTCTCAATCTTTTCTTTCTTCCACCCGTCCCCTTCCGTCAACAGACACACACACACACATACACCCCCACACACACACCTTCTGATGAATGTTGTGCTAATATCAAGGTCACTTTTGCTGCTGGGAAAATGATAACGTTTTACATTCAGTCTCCCAGGGACCTGATACTAAATGTCGCCCATGAGACTGTTTTGATTGATTGGGAAAAACTGGGGGGGAGGGAAACAGCTTCCTAATTAACACTGATTTGTAAAAAAAATAAAAAACCCTCAAAACTTCTCAAAAAATCTGCCCTGATTGCATCAGGCAAAACTGGGATAGTCGACTGAATTTCACTGTTAACCTAAATGTGTAGTAAACTCCTGATAACTCAACAACTCACCAAAGGAAACGGGCCAGAGCCTGGGGTGAAATGCCTCCCTCATTAAAACAACAATAACTTGCATTTACAGAGCGCTCGACAGTGGTGGAGCACGACACCGGGGAGGGGGGAAGCAATAATAATAAATAATAGCAATAATAACAATCCCGGCATTTGACACAGCGCCTTATCACGTCTTCGAGACATCTCAAGGCCCTTCACAGGATACACTTAAAGTGAATTGACTGTGTATTGTGTGGGCGAAACGCGGCAGCCAATTGCGCACAGCAGCGTCCCCGCAAACAGTCGTGATTGTTTTTTAACTAAAAAAAAAGTAGTTACTAAAGGAGAGATTTGTTGAGGCTTTCAATGAAATTGCTACTTTACTTTGCAGGTTTTACTGGGATTTCACAATGTTGTTGTTTATGGTTGGAAATCTGATCATTATCCCAGTAGGAATCACCTTTTTCAAGGAAGAAACCACAACCCCTTGGATTGTCTTTAATGTGGTGTCTGACACCTTCTTCCTCATGGATCTAGTGCTAAACTTCAGAACTGGCATTGTCATCGAAGACAACACAAAGATCATCCTGGACCCTCAGAAGATCAAGAAGATGTATCTGAAGAGTTGGTTCATTGTGGACTTTGTCTCCTCCATCCCCGTGGATTATATCTTTTTGATCGTCGAGAAGGGGATTGATTCGGACGTTTACAAGACTGCCCGTGCCCTCCGCATAGTGCGCTTTACCAAGATTCTCAGCCTCCTGAGGCTCTTGAGACTCTCGCGGCTGATCAGATACGTTCACCAGTGGGAAGAGGTAAGGCCACCCTTTTTTTTCACAGTGACTTTTCATTGAGCGTCATTTTGCCTTGCGTGGCATGGTGATATAGGAACAGGAGGAGGCCATTCAGCCCCTCGAGCCTGTTCCCCCCACCCCCCCCCCCATCACCTCCCCCTGCCCCCCAACAAAATTGTGTGTCGATTGCTGTCAGGATCCAGGCTTGTCAGCCCTCGAGGGTGCCTTTGGCTGCAGTGACCAAACACATCCTAAACCACAGCCGATGGTTTACAATAACTTACACTTATATACATGATAGCCCCCCCCTCACGATAGCCCCCTCACGATAGCCCCCCCCACGATAGCTTCCCCTCACGATAGCCCCCCCTCACGATAGCCCCCCTTCGTGATTCTGAAGGGACATTATATTATCCCCGACACATTGCCTTTTGCTCAGTGATCTGAACCTCTGGAGCTCTCTGCTTCAATCCCTGCACCCACCCGTCTCCCCCTCTCCTCTGTATCTTCCTTTAAATCCCACCATAAGACCTCTCCCCCCCCCCCACCTCCCCCCACCTCCCCCCTCCCTTGGTGTCTGACCCCAGGAGAGAGAGAGAGAGAGAGCAGCCTTGAGGACATTAGCAAATCAATCGTTCTAACCTGACGCTCGCTGACGGACAGACTCTTCGACCCAAGAGCCTCAACCAGTAAAACCTCAGTATTAATTCTGACGAAAGGTCATTGACCTGAAACGTTGACTAATTTCTCGCTCTCCATGGATGCTGCCTGACCTGCTGCGTATCCCCAGCCACTTCTGTGTTTAAACCAGTAACATTGATGCGGGTGATCACACCTCTCCTCCGACCCGTGACGAGAGCAAGAAAAGGTGGGAAGAATGAATCTTGAGAGCGTTCTGTCTCCACTGTATGGTGTGTGTGTGTGTGTGTGGTGTGTATGTGTGTGGTGTGTGTGTGTGGTGTGTGTGTGTTGATATATGTGTGTATATGGTGTGTGTGTGGCGTGTGCATGTGTGGGGGGTCACTTGTAAACCGTCAACACATGTCAGCAAAAGGCTGACCTTCATCTTCTCGGTCTGCGTTTCCACGTGAAGCTTGTGGTCTCTCCTCTCGCCGCCCCACCCCCCCCCCCAGCACCTCACACTGATAGACAGACCGGTCCCTGACAGGAATTAAAGACTCCAAAATTATTCTAATAATCCTGGCGTCTGATAATACGCCCTATCACGTCTCCGAGACACCTCAAAGCGCTTCACACAATATACTGTAAAGTATCGCTGGATGCTCTGCTCAAGCTCTCTGGGACGCTATAGAAATGCAAGTTGTTGTTGTTGTATATTTTTGTGGTCGAAACATTTTGCCTCGAACGCTCTCCTCCTGCTATTTTATAATAAACCCCTCGTTTCTTTTCTTCTTTCTGCCCCAATGCTCCCCCTCTACGCTCCCACAACCCACCTCCGCCCCACCACACCCATACACTCCCTCCCCTCGCTCCCCCTACCCTCCCCTGACCCCCACTTCCCCCTCTCGCAACCCCCCCCCCACCCCCCCCCTTGTCAAAGATCTTCCATATGACCTATGACTTGGCTAGTGCTGTGATGAGGATATTTAACCTGATCGGGATGATGCTGTTGCTGTGTCACTGGGACGGTTGTTTACAGTTCCTGGTTCCGTTGCTCCAGGATTTCCCGAACGACTGCTGGGTGTCGCTAAACAACATGGTGGTGAGTAATAAGTTAAAATGCTGAGACGTGCAGAACGCAAGAAACCCCTTATTCCTGTTCCAGTCGTTAATTCACCTTCTGGGTAAAGAAACACCTCCTGGTGTCTGAGCTGAAATCGTCTCTTTGCAAATCGTCTCTGTATACCTGTTGTTCTGCTGTCTCCTTGTGTTGTGTTGTGGGCCGAATGGTTGGCTTCTTATGCTGTAAATGTTCGCTTAAAGTCACTTAGAGGAAAACCAAGTTCGACCCCCACTAATGCAGAGACTGTTCGTATCTTGAATTAACTCGATTGTTAACTTCTCACTAACCTATTTCTCCCCACGCGCTCCACGTGTGTTAATGTCTCCGCCCAATAAATAATATATCATCGACGATAAATGGTTTTACTATCAAGTACTACGCCATAATTTATCATTGATAATTATCCCAGCCCCGAAAAAGATTGAACCTTTCTTTTCCGTAGTGTAGGACGTGTCATTTTTCACCAGAGCTGTGCTTAAGGCATAAGAACATAAGAAATACTGGACGAAGAAGAGGTCCATCTAGTTCTCCTTCCACCTTCCTGCCGGTCCCTTGTACATATTGCCCTGAACTACTCATGTGACTGTATCCCATCGTGTTATTTCCTAAAAGAAAACTAATCTGTGTTCAAAAGAATCAACATTTCCTGCTTCGACCGTCTCCCCAGGGAGTCTGTTCCGCAGGTCACACTTCTCTCACTAAAATAGTGTTTGCGTAGATTTGTTCTGAATTATGAACTGTTCTTCAATCGCAGGGAAAACGCTTTTATTTAAAATGACAAGTGACGAATATGTGGTTTGTGAACTTTGTTCAATATTCAACCCCAGAACGCGGATCACTTGCAAAAACTGAACCCCTCACAGGTTTTACCCTCTGAGCGCGCGCCGTGCGTGCGCTTGTGTGTGTGTGTGTGTGACTGTTTGGGGGACACTGCTGTGCACAATTGGCTGCCGCGTTTCGCCCACAAAATGCACAGTCACTCCACTTTTTCAAGGGAAGGGCTTTGTGATGTCTGGACGACGTGACAAGGCGCTGTATCGTAGAAACAGAGGAACAGGAGGAGGCCATTCAGCCCCTCGAGCCTGTTCCGCTATTTTATAAGATTACGGCTGATCTGTACCTCAAGCCCAGTTGCCCGCTCTCGCCCCACATCCCATGATACCCCCGAGCTAACAAATAGCTATCTACCTCCGTCTTGAAAATGTGAATGGATCCAGCCATAATCCACAGCCTTTTTTGTTGGAGGGGGGCACGTGGCGCGGACACAATCGTTCTTCTTATATATTATTAACTCCTCCGGTCCCTTTCTCCTTCTCTCCAACAGAACGACTCGTGGAGTGAGCTGTACTCCTTCGCCCTGTTCAAGGCCATGAGCCACATGTTGTGCATCGGGTACGGCAGGCAGGCGCCCGAGAGCATGTCCGACATCTGGCTGACAATGCTCAGCATGATCGTGGGAGCAACCTGCTACGCCATGTTCATCGGCCACGCCACAGCCCTCATCCAGTCCCTGGACTCGTCCCGGCGACAGTATCAAGAGAAGGTAGGACAGACAAGCCAGAGAGCGGCGACAGCAAAACAGCTTTGCATTTATGTAGCGCCCTTCACACAGGCCAGTGTCTGGAGCCCACTGCCTGACAGGGTGATGGGAGCAGGTTCCATAGTAGTAGTAATAATAATAATAACAGTAGTAATAATAACAGTAATAATCCTTGCATTTGATACGGCGCCTCATCACGTCTTCGAGACGTCTCAAAGCGCTTCATGCACTAGGTTTCAAAGGGCGACTGGAAAGTACCTATACTTAAGGAAAAGGTGTGCAGGGCTGTGGGGTAAGGTAAGGGCGGGGGAGTTGATAGTTGGATAGTTCTTTCTTACAAAATCCTTTGCATTTGATACAGCGCCTTATCACGGGCGTCTCAAAGCGCTTCACAGGATGTACTGTAAAGTGAATTGACTGTGTGTTTTGTGGGCGAAATTATCTTTATTTGCTGTTAGTCCTGTTTTCTACCTGACTGAAACTGTGCTGTATCCAATGACAGGCTTTCTTTCTGTGCAGTATAAGCAAGTGGAGCAGTACATGTCCTTCCACAAGCTGCCGGCCGAGTTCAGGCAAAAGATCCATGATTATTACGAGCACCGTTACCAGGGCAAGATGTTCGATGAAGACAATATCCTCGGGGAACTCAACGAGCCACTCAGGGAGGTCAGTCAGGCTTTAATACTCTGTGTGTGTGTCTCTCTCTGTGTGTCTGTCTGTCTGTGTGTGTGTGGTCTGCGTGTGTGTCCGTCTGCGGGTGTGTCTGTCCATGTGTGTGTGTGTGTGTGTGTATCTCTCTGTCCTATGTGTGTGTGTGTGTGTCTCTTTCTCTCCCTGTCCTTTGTGTCTGTGTCTATGTGTCTCTGCGTATGTGCGTGTGTGCGTGTGTGTGTGTGTGCGTCTACGTGATGTGTCTTTCTCTCTGACCTCTCTGTTTGTGTGTGTGTCTTTCTCTATCCTCTGTGTCTATGTGTCTCTGTCTCTCTCCTGTGTGTGTGTGTGTGTGTCTCTCTCTGGCCTCTCTGTTTGTGTGTGGCTCTCGCTCTCTTTTGCGCATGTGTGTGTGTGTGCGCGTGCGTCTCCATCCTGCGCACACACAGTTTCCGCCCGCGCGCACAAACACAGGCCCCCACACACCCACCCACACAGAGACTTACTTGGCTTTTTTTTCCCTCCTCCCCTCGTTCCAGGAAATCGTGAACTTTAACTGCAGGAAGCTGGTGGCCTCGATGCCCCTCTTCGCCAACGCAGACCCCAACTTCGTGACGGCTGTGCTGACCAAGCTGAAGTTCGAGGTGTTCCAGCCGGGAGATTACATCATCCGCGAGGGGACCATCGGCAAAAAGATGTACTTCATCCAGCACGGAGTGGTCAGCGTTCACACCAAGGGCAACAAGGAGATGAAACTGTCGGACGGTTCTTACTTTGGAGGTTTGTCCTCCGTCTCCAATCCCTTCGATTCTGCCTGTCAAGTGGGTTCAGTGTTATTGCTCCTGCTGATGATTTTTTTTGGGGGGTGGGGTGGGTGGTGGGGGGTGGGGGTTTGGTGGAAGGAGAGGGCAACTGGGTCTGAGACCCATAGCATGGTGGTTAGAGCACTCGAGAGGACCCGGGTTCGATTCCCGGACGGACAGGGCGACACCTCAGGCAAGTTTCCTTACTCCGCGCACTCAGGCCTCTGTTTACTCGGCAGTAAGTAGGAACCCGGGTGTTAGTTGATTGTTTGACGGATCACTTTTGCGGGGGGTAATAATCCCTCCAAAAAAACAAACTCAATCCACGACTGTCTGCGGGGGGAACGCTGCCGTGCGCAAATGGCTTCCGGGTTTCACCCACAAAACACGCAGTCACTACACTTTGCAGTATTTTCCGTGAAGCGCTTTGAGACGTCTCGAAGACGTGATCAGGCGCTGTATCAAATACCAGGATATATATAGTATATAATATAAAAGCAGAAGTGGCCGGGAACACTCAGCAGGTCAGGCAGCATCTATGGAGAGAGGAAAGTGAGTTAACATTTCATGTCGATGACCTTGTGTCCGAATAATAGCAAGGATTATTATTATTATTATTATTATTATTACTCAGTTGTGTCACTGGTCCCCTCTCCCCTGTACAGAGATCTGTTTGCTGACCAGAGGCAGGAGGACAGCCAGTGTGCGAGCAGACACATACTGCCGACTGTACTCGCTCAGTGTGGACCACTTTAATGAGGTGCTGGAGGAGTACCCCATGATGCGCAGGGCCTTCGAGACCGTGGCCATCGACCGGCTCGACAGGATCGGTGAGGAACTGGGGGTCTCTCTTCCCCCCCTCGCTATGGATTCGGATTCGAGTCCCTCCCTCCGTACGCCAGCCTCCTACCCCCTTCTATGTTCCCTTCTCCCCGATCACATGTCCTGTTTTCCTTTATCTGTCTATCTGTCTATCTGTCCATCTGTCCATCTGTCCATCTGTCCATCTGTCCATCTGTCCATCTGTCCATCTGTCCATCTGTCCATCTATCCATCTATCTATCTATCTATCTATCTATCTATCTATCTATCTATCTATCTATCTATCTATCTATCTATCTATCTATCTATCTATCTATCTATCTATCTATCTATCTATCTATCTATCTATCTATCTATCTATCTATCTATCTATCTATCTATCTATCTATCTATCTATCTATCTATCTATCTATCTATCTATCTATCTATCTATCTATCTATCTACAGCCGGGTATCTGACACACACGGAAACCCGTCACCGTGACCGGCCAAGTGTCTGACACAGACGGAAACCCGTCACTGTTGCTTAAAAGTCTCCAAACCCGACTGAGAATTCCCCGCCTCCCCCCCACACGGGGAAACCCCAGAGAGAGATTGTTGGAATGGATTGCACTCTCTCTCTCTCTCTCCCTGGAGAAACGGATTCTGGCCGATCGCTTTCCAGGGGGTAGTAATCCCTTAATAAAAAAAAAATTTGGTCACTCAATCCACGGCTGTTTGTGGGGATGTCGCTGTGCGCAATCGGCTGCTGCGTCTCGCCCGCAAAACGCAGTCGCTGCACTCCACAGCGTACCCTTGTGAAGCGCTTTGTGGCGTCTCGAAGACCAGGATTGCCGTCGTTACAATAATCAATAATAACCCGTGGTTGTGGTCGTGTCCACCCCCCCCCCCACAGGGAAGAAGAATTCTCTGCTGCTCCACAAGGTGCAGCACGACCTGAGCGAGTTCAACAACCGTGAGAACGAGATCATCCAGGAGATCGTCAAGTACGACAGGGAGATGGTGCAGCAGGTGGAGCTGAAGAAACCTCTGGCCCCGCTGCTCGGGGGCGCAGTGTTCCACCCGGGGGCCTCCCTGCCTGGCCAGTCAGCCATCGCTACCCTGCAGCAGGCCGTGGCCATGAGCTTCTGTCCTCCCTCCGCCGGCCACTTGCTGGGCCCCATCGGGGCTCAGTCACCCAGAACCATCAGGCGGTTACAGCTGGCTGCGAGCCCCCTGGCCTTGTCCTCCTCCCCTTGCCCCGGTACCCCCAGCACCCCCCCGACACACAGCCCCCTGGCCGCCCCCCGCACCTTCCAGTACGGTTCCCGTGCCCAGGCCGGCTCCCAGCTCTCCCTGACGGGGTCTCAGTCTCAGGCCCCCCACCCGCCCCCCCCGGCACTCCACCCCGCTCCGCGGCCCACCACAGCACCCACGCCCTGCCCACCGGGGGCTTGTCGCAGGATCGGAGGCCGCTGTCAGCCTCGCAGCCCTCCCTGCCCCACGATGCCACCTCGCCACGTACCCCCGCCTCCCCCGTCCCCCCCCACCGCCCCCTCCCCCTCCCCCTCTCCGACCCCCGAGCCTCAGAAACCAGCGGCGGGGCCCAGTGTGAGCAGCCTGGCCCATCGGGTCTCCACAGGGGCCTTGCTGCAGACCCCAGGCTTGGGGGGGCAGCACGAGACCCCCACGTGTGGTACAGACACAGATCCCGGCAAATCCAGGCTCTCCTCCAACTTGTGACACTCCAGCCGCTTCCCCCTCTTCCCCTCCCCCCTCCCCTCCTCCCCGGCGAGGGGCTCTCTCTGTCTCTCTCTATCTGCGGCCAAATAGTCAGGGTGATGGTTTAGGGTGACCTCATTTTGTAAACCAAATCCGGCCACACACACACACACACACTAGCACACAGACCACACACGCTCTCTCACACACACACACACACACACATGCCCACACGCTCACACTTGCACACAGACAACACACAATCTCACACACACGCTCACACTAACGTGCGCACACACGCACACACACTCACACGCATCTCTCTCTCTATATATATATATAAATATACAGAAAGAAAATTGATCTCCTCACAGCGCCTGAGGTTGGCTGTTTGACTGGAGAAGCGTGTTCTTGGGTTAATGGCCGTGTTTCTGTAGCTGGTGAGTGAGTGTGTCCGTGTTTTAGAATCTTATTGTTCCGGCTCTCAAGTTTGGGGCTGAAACTCGCGAACAAGAGGGTCCAGAAATCTGTCCCAGGGACGCAATCCGGAGACTGGCCCCTGGCATCGGACACGCGGGGGTCGCCCTAGATGTTTCTGGAGGAGCTCCCGGTTCTGACCTGACCCCCAGCCCCCGCTCCGCCCTACCCCACCCTCCCCCGGTCACTGGGCAGTGACTGTCCATCAGGCTCCACAGATTGGTCTCAAATTCCAGAGGCACCGAATGCGAATGCTGGTGGTCGGTGACGGCCTGGATTTGTGTTTTTTTTTCTCTCGGAGACGCCCTGAGGCCCTGAGGTTCTCCGAGTCTCAGCCCACAGAGCCCGGCCCTGACTTCAACTTCCAGACGACACGGAATTGTTGAAGTTGGAAAGCTCTCGTTACGTTAAGAGGTTGGACTTCCACAAACCTTCCACTCTTCGGTGTGACCTTGATATTGCAAGGTACGCAAACCCCGAGAGAAATGGTCTGGCTGGGTGGGCATGAGTGGGAATGTGTGTGTGTGTGTGTGTGTGTGTAGGTGTGTGTGTGCAGGTGTGTGTGTGTGTAGGTGTGTGTATGTGTGTGTGGGTGCGTGTGTGTAGGTGTCTGTGTGTGTATGTAGGGGTGTATGTGTGTGTAGGTGTGTGGGTGTGTATGTGGGTGTGGGTGTGTGTATGTGTGTAGGGAGGGGTGTGTGTGTGTAGGTGTGTGTGTGTGTAGGTGTGTGTAGGTGTGTGTGTAGGTGTGTGTGTGTAGGTGTGTGTGGGTGTGTGTGGGTGTGGGTATGTGTGTGTAGGTGTGTAGGTGTGTGTATGTGTGTGTGTTTGTGTAGGTGTGTGTGTATGTGTGTGTAGGTGGTGTGTGTGTAGGTGTGTGTGTGTGTAGGTGTGTGTGTGTGGTGTGTGTGTAGGTGTGTGTGTGTGTGTAGGTGTGTGTGTGTGTAGGTGTGTGTGTGTGTAGGTGTGTGTGTAGGTGTGTGTGTGTGTAGGTGTGTGTGTGTGTGTGTGTGTGTGTGTAGGCGTGTGTGTGTGTGTGTGTGTGTGTGTGGGTGTGTGTGTGAGAAGGCCAAGTAGTGAATTTCGCAAAAGTGACCAACACGGCGCCTCTGGTGACCCACAAATCTCCGGAACAAAAATCAGGTCCTAATTTTCTATTTTAATTCCTTCCTGAAAAGTGTTCCGTATCTGAACTGTTGAGCGAAGGCCTTTCCTGTGGAGCTTTTTGTCAGTGTTGGAAAGGAACCGAGTGATGGAGCCTTTATCACGTGTCGATATTGTTAGCAACTACTTGAAACTCTTATAGAACATTTGCACTGTTAGATTCTACAATAGCTTTAATGCACTATATACAACACACACTCACATCCCTGGTTCAGTCATTGGATATCGCTCCACCGTCTTTTCAGTGTGTGCTAAGCTAATCCCGTTGATGTGAGGATTCGCTGCAAAGGGGGAGTGGGGGGGGGGGTGGACTGGGTGTTTGTGTGTGTGAGTGGGAAGAGTTGGGAGGAGTGGGGTGTTTGTGTGTGTGTTGTGGGGAGGGGTAGGGGGTGTTTCTGTGTGGGATGGGAGGAGGAGGTATTTGTGTGTGTGTGTGTGGGGGGTGTGTGTGTGGGGTGGGGGAAGAGAGCGATTGTCAGGTTATTTCAATATCTGGAGACTACCCCTCTTTTTTTCCAACGTGCAATAGTGAGAAATTGAACCATTTAGTCTGATGTCCTTGTGATTTGTACATAACCTGCATTTACTTACTCGCGCGCAATAAGAATTTCGACTGAGATCTGCTAATACTTCCAATGACGAGTGTGACTGGAGGTGGGGGGGGGCGGCTGTTTCCTTGTGCAATTGTGTATATTGTGTGCACTGCGTGTGTGACGTTATCGGGGTGTGTGGGGGGTGGGGGATCTCTCTGTTTTGTCCAAAGAAGCTGTCATTGTTTTGCCTTTTCAGCCTTTGGGCTCAGGTTGTGTCGGTGTTTGGTTACTGATGCCTTGACTGTACAGAGTTGACCCGAGACTTGGCTCAGACCAGGACTGGTGCCGGTGTTGGTGACTTGCCTTTGGGTGGTGGTTAGACTTTGGTTATGATGGTGTGAGAGTCTCTTGAGGAGTTGGGCTTCACACCCGGGACTCTGCGTCTTGGGTGACATTTTGTAATTGGACCAATTCGGAATGGGGAGGGTGGAGATAAGGGGATAAGGTGGGGGGAGAGGGGGACTGCGCAGGGAGGGAGGGGAAGAGAGGGGGGGAGGGCAGAGAGGGAAGGGCGAAAGGGGGATAGGGAGTGGATAAGGATTGTGGTAGAGACCTAACGGACTGACAAATATTGGCAAAGTCAATTGGAAGTCAACTCTTTACAAAATGAGTCACGTTTGCCTTTCTGCCCTCCACCCCATCCTCCCCCTCACCCCCCTCCCCCACTTCCCCCTCCCCCTTCCCCCACCTCCCCCTCCCCCTCCCCCCCCCCACCCCCACCTCCACACGATGGGATTTTACATGTCACCACTGAGGTGTTTTTTCATTTGGAAAGAGGGGAAAAGCTTTAGCTTTGCGCTTTTCTGCTTCCTCTTGTTCTGGTTGCATAACTTTCCTGTAGGTGTGAGACAGAGAACAAAGTGGTGGGGGTGGGGGGGGGGGATGGAGGTTTGGGGGGAGGGAGGTTTGGAGACAAACTCCCGACTTGAGAGGCGCTATACAAATGTGACTTGTTGTTGTTGTTGTTGTGTGGGGCGGGGGAGAGATAGAGAGAGGACAGTCATGGTTTAAGATGGTTCGAGGGTTGAGCAACTTGCTTGTGTGGTCGGTGCCTTTCCCGAGGAACGGGTTAAATTATCTTCTTCCGAGTCAGTGCGGCCCGGAATCCCGGTTCGGAAGTGTTTCCGGACGCACTGTCTGTTTTCCGATGGGTGTTTGATATATTAATCGGGTGAGAAAAATGTAGCTTATAATCTTCGTCGATCTCTCGATGGCCTTTCTTTATTAAGAATGTAACTAACTGTATTTTTAAGCTGGAATCGAACACCGTAGATCGTTTATCTCAGACCATTTAAGAAGCCTATAATAATAACAGTAATAATTAATCATCATCATCACCACAGCGGTCATTAATGTAAGTGTATAAACAACATCAATACTGTAGCTATTTTTCCGGTGAATGTATAACTTTTAACGATGTGCAAAGATTGTGCAAACATTGGAGCGAGAGATGGAGATAGAGAGAGAGAGAGAGAGAGCGCGGAAACCACATACAGATAAAATTGCAAACTTCATTCAGTTGCTGGTAATGGCAGATTGTAGGTCACAGACCAACTTCAAGCCCTGTGACACTTTTAGCATCTTTTTATGCAATAAATGTGAAAGTATTAGCATTTGATCAGTCTTTTCTGGTGCTCATTTTAGTACTGGAATCGACACGTCTCTTAGAAATTGTGCAGTGAACACCGATACTCTTATTATTATAATAATAATAATATTATAATATTATTGTTATTAGATACTGTTGCTCAGGGTGTCAGCCTGGCTCAGTCGGTAGCTCTCTAACCTCTCTCGCCGCCCTTCGGATGAGATGTTAAACCGAGGTCCCGTCTGTGCCCTGTTCAGGCGAACGTTAACAATTCCCACAGGGCATTTCTGAGAGAGAAAGGAGTTCTCTCTCTCTCTCCTGGTGTCCTGGCCGACCATCCCTCCCTCCCTCCCTCCCTCCCCAGATAAAGTCAGTCATTCACATCGTGGCTGTTTGTGGGACGTTGCTGTGCACAAATTGTTGTTTGCTTACAAAAATCACACAGTCACATTTACAGTAAAATCCTGTGAAGCACTTTGATGTGAATCTAATCAAACCCGAGGACGATTTACCAATGTCTGACGTCGCACTCAACGATTTGTTTGAAACTGTGTACGATAGAAACTGTATTCCGTGCCCTGCCATAGAAACTTAAAACTAAATCCATTAGCTGCTCTGTACAGGACATGGCGGAGTGTCTGAGGGGGTGGGGTGGAGGGACAGAGGACCAAATGAATTTGTGTACAGAACCTGCTACATCTTTCAAAGGGATCAGTCACTTAACTCTCCCTTTGGTATATTCTCTCCCCAAATCCCTCCGCCTCTCCCTCCCTCTCTCTCGCTCTCACTACTTTCCAAATCCCGTCTGAAAACCTACCTCTTTGACCGTACCATCAGCAGACTCGCTCCCTCCCGTGGTTACGCTGCATCTCTTGTAAAGTGCTGCCTGTGCCGACAAAGCACACAGTCACTACACTTAACAGTACGATCCCGCGAACAGCTTCGCGACGTCCTCCTGACGTGAAAGGAGCCGTAATGATAATTATCGTCACAAGGGAGCGAGAGGGAGAGGGGTAGTTTGCGGGTGTGTTGTGTGTGTGTGTGTGTAGCGATCCCGTTCACCCCTCTTCCCATTAGGATCACTGGAATTTCACGTCCGATTTTTTTCCGGCTGCATAGGCTCACCAGGTTCTGATTCCGAATTGTACACAGTTGTTCTCAGAGATCTCTCCTGAGTTATTTCACTGTCGGCGGAGAAAGACACTGAGTGAAACCAGCAGAAAACATTGCATTGAATCGAGCTATTTCTTTTATATAAATATAAATGTTTGTTGTCCAGTTGTTTAATATAATATACACGGTGTCTGGTAGCTCTACGTTCTGTAACATAAAATGTAAGAAAGTTTACAAGAGTTGTGTGTTATTTATTTGCCTATAATGATGTAAAGGAAAAAAAAATAATGCAAACAAGTATTCCTTCAGTGTTGTATGTTTTCACTGTAAAATAATGTTGTATAGACATACGTCTTCCCAAAGCCTTTTGATTTCTGCACCTTCACACAACAGAGAAGGGAACAGAGGGAGCGCTGGGCTGTGAACTCGTGTGAAATATCAGTATGTGGAGTCCTGTAGCTCAGTGGTTCGAGCACTCAACTCGCGAGCGAGAGGACTCGGGTTTGATTCCCGGTCGGGGCGAAACCTGAGGCAAGTTTCCTTACTCCCCACACACGCCTCTGTTCGCCTCGCAGTAAGCAGGAACCCGGTTGTTGGCAGATTGCTCTTCAAAATAAAATAATAAAAATAAATAATAATAATAATTTGGTCACTCAATCCACGACTGTTTGTGGGACGCTGCTGGGCGCAATTGCCTGCCGTGTTTCGCCCGCAAAACACACAGTCACTGCAGTTTACAGTGTATCCTGTGAAGCGCTTTCAGACGTCTCGAAGACCTGATAAGGCGCCGTATCAAATGCAAATATTATTATTGGTGACTGAGCTAAATTACCTAATTATTAATGTAACCACATGTACTAGTTATTGTGTTCAGCCTCTCCTGTAACATCGATTAGGAATTCAAGGTCACAGTCTCTGCTCCTGACCCAGCAGGCACGATTAATACTCTTAATACTCCAAGTATTTGGTGCAGATTGGCAAGAACCAAGGTTTGGGGAAGTCCAGAATATACGTTGGGGGTAACTGCTGGTGTCTAAGCAGTTAAAACCGCTTGCCATTGAGAGCGCTGTCTGGGAAGCTTTCCCAGCGCTTGTCCAGCTTGGACCACCCTATCCTGAAGATAACGAGGAGGATGAGGACTATATTCATCGGGAAGGAGCATGAGGATAACAGGGAAGCTTCTGGTAACAGATCTCAGAACAACACAGCCACCAGGCAGTTGATGATTCATCTCAATGCTTCACACACATTAAGTTGACACTGGAGATTGTGCTGTTAATGGGCAGAATTCTCTCTCTCTCTCTCAGGGCCCAGGTTTCCCAGTGCGTTAAAATCAACACAGAGGGTGGATTGTTGGCCAGGACACCGGGGGAAATTTACTTCTGTTTTCCAACAATATCTTTAAAGTCCGCTTGACAGGGCGGACAGGGACATCCCAGACAAATTGACTGCCTCATTTGCCCCCAAATTATAGTCACTACACTTTCACAGCGAGTCCCGCGAAGGCCCTTTGAAACATCCTCATGCCATGAAGGGCATCAAAGGCAAGGATTATTATTCATTCGATTACACAAGGAATGCAATCAAACTTGCTCCCTTACAAAATAGCTTTATTTAAAAAAAACACACGTCTACCACTCAGACACATACATGCTCTCTCGTCTCGTACCACACACTGACACACGCGCGCACTCTCACACACACTCACACTCACACACACAGAACTAAAAACCCGAGAGGCTTACTGGATTAGAGAGAAAGAAAGAAAAAAATATTTATTTTGGAACCGCTGACTCCGCAATACTCTCTCTTTCTCTCTCTCTCAGAAAATGGTTGACGTGGATGAGGTGATGAGGTTATCAAGTCCTTTCTGTCCCTCGGGCTAATGCTGTTTTATCCAAGTCTCTGTCAGCAAGAAAATAACAGCTGTAAAAACACACGCATGTCGAAAAAATATCTGCGAGGCTGGATTCCCTCCTCCTGGCATTTACCCCCCGGAGTTGTGCAAAATTTAAGTGCCGATCTTTTAACTTTTCTTCTTTTTTTTTTACAAAAAAAATTCCTCCAGGCTGTCTCCGGGCCCCGGCATCGATCGATCACGGCGTCGGTCGCGGATGGGAGCTTCGAGGCTCCGAATTCTGGCGGATCACTTTGCGAAACGTGACGCGAGCTGCGAACGTTTCCACTTGATTGAAACACAGCGGCGGTTGGCACTGCACTGACGGCCGGTGATCAGTCGCGCCTCGGTGGAGATTCCAGGCGGCACCTAAAACCCCGAAGCAGGCCCTGGCTTAGCAGCTCGGTTGGTGCTGGGCTGGGAGACGCATCTCCAGTCTCTTCTCTGACGTGCTGCGCGCTCTCTCTCTCCCTTGCTGTCGCAAAGCCTTTTAAGTGGCGGCGGATTCGCGACGCGCGATGGGCGTGTTTTCGATCCCGTGCTTTCCGGCCATCGATCCTCTCAAACAGAACAGCTCTACTCAGCTGAAAAAATAGGTGGATTCCTTCACCTCCTGTAAATCAAACTCTCCTGAAAGAGAAAAGAACAAAACTCTCATGGTGCGCTGGAGAAATAATGATAGTGATAATAATAATAATTATAATAAAATCTTAGATGTGTGTCGGAGTGCCCCGGGACATCCTCCCAACGTGAACGAGCGATGTGTAACTGTAATGTGGGGTTTTGCTGTCCGTACCTGTCTCTGGGACTTCAGCGAGCAGCTCAAGCATTCTCTTGTACTCTTGGAACCTTTTGTTCTTCTGGTCTTGGCTGCAAACACACACAAGAACAACCCACACATGACGCGTCTCCTTTTCGCTCTCAGACCAAAAGAATATAGACAGCGGAGCAGAGAGCTCGTGGGCAGGGGGGGGTGGGGGACAAACACTGGCACGGACCAGTGGGGGCTGAATGGCCCGTTTCCGCGCTGTTAACGCTGTGTGTTACTCAATGTAAAGGGACCAAGACTGATTGGAATTCTGGCCGGATTCAGCACTAATCCCAATTGAAGCGCTCCGGGACCCTATCCCCCCGTCCCCCCCCCTCCACTTCCGTGAAGGGCGCTATATAAATGCAAGTCGTTGTCATTGTTACTCACGGAATGTAAGGAAGGTACTTGTTCACCAGGAACCTGGAGAGATCCTTCAGGATGGGCTGGCTGTGCAAGGCCACAAACTGCTCGCGGCAAATCTGAAGGAGAGAGAGAGAGGAAAACAAAACGTGAGAAAAAGCTTCTATTTATTCACATTTAAGGTGCGGTCACTGAGTGTCCGTGTGGTTCCCGTACGGTCAAGAGCAGAGAAGCAGCGAGGGAACAATTACCTTGTTCATGACGTCGACTGTGATGGCGTGCGTCCAGAAACAGTCGTGGACAGAGACAAACGTGAGCCCCGCCCTGAAAGACAATAAACACGACGACTGCTTTTTAAATAAAGATTTCTTAAATTATTCTTCCTAAAACAAATTAAACTCCACCCCCCACTCAACACACGTCAGGAGTGTCAGGAGCCGGACATTCTGCCTTCACATTTTTATCTGAAACCCTAGCTTTATTTTCCAAATAACAATAAAATAACAACCAAATTATTTTTGTCCCCCCCACCCCCCGTTTGTAACGTGGTCTATTTTTGCGGGACTACCGTGGGGGTCTGAGGCTTCTCACCTGTAACAGTACAGCGCTGTCAGCATCATGTGAGTTGAATCGAGGGAGTGGATGAAATTCGGTGCAAAAGCGTTCTTCTGTTTGACTGTGTCGGGCCGTCTACATGAGGATGGGGGAGACACAAGGTCAACTCTCTCTCTCTTCTCACTGCCCGACCACCTGACTAAAGTCACGTGCGGGTGAAATCAATAATAATAATTACAATCCCTACATTTGTTACAGCGCCTGATCACGTCGTCGAGACGTCTCAAATCGCTTCACAGATTCCACTGTAAAGTGGAGCGACTGTGTGTTTTGTGGGGGAATCACGGCAGCCAATTGCACACGGCAGTTTCCCACAAACAGTGGTGGATTGAGTGACCAAGTTATTATTATTATTATTATTATTATGATTGGTTTTTTTTTGGAGGGATTATTACCCCCTGGAAAGCAATCCGCCAATCGACTACTGATTGCTATCAAGTCTGGCGGCAGTTTCAGGTTGCACACTGTAACCAGAAGCAGGTTATGTTAGATTCGCTCTTCCCAGACGTAAGGAAGATGTATTTTACTGGAAGGGCTTCCCAGACATCTCCCCCCCTCCCCCCACCCACCACAGTCGCCACGATATCTCTGTGACACAAGCCAGTGAGCACCTGGCCATCTGACCTGGTTATTCTGAGTACAGACAAGAGGAGAGGGAGAGCAGCTTTGCTTTGCGAGTCGGTGTTCACTAGGGACCAGTCTGAGACCCACAGTGTTTCACAGAATATACTGTAAAGCGAATTGACTGTATTTTGTGGGCGAAACTGAGCCGAGCCGATTATTCCAGGGTCATTTGTCAGCAAAAAAAAACAAACTCGATTCAAATCCATTCCAGATAACAATATTAGTCTGGTGTTTGCTGCAGCACTTATCACAATAGTAAATGCAAGTCGTTACTATATTGGATATTACTTACTGAGCTACGTCGTGACTTATTTGCAGGTTCAAGTACTGCATGTTGCTCCTGAGCTGTAAGAAAAAGGAAGATGGTTTTAGACGTGGGATTGAAATAAATGCCTAATATTGATCGATTGTGTGAAAACTGTGTGATGCAAAACCAAAAGCCCCGTTTATCAAACACTGCCAACTGCGGATTACAGCAAAACCTGATAGATTGCAACGTTAGGGTCTTTTTTTTTAAAAAAAAGGCTTTGAATGCAATTCCTAGGACTGGTTAAATATTCCTTTTGCATCCACATAATAGTCACGTTGGTCACCCAATCCACGACTGTTTGTGGGACACTGCTGTGGGTGATGCCCATAAAATAATGCAGTTACAACACTTTACAGCAGATCCTGTGAAGCGCTTTGAGACGTTTTGAAGACGTGATAAGGCGCTGTATCAAATGCAAGGATTATTATTAAAATGTTTCCAAAGAAAGATTCATCCCCCATGAAACAGGACAATTAATTGCTGGGATTGTTAATGCCTCAGGGATCAATAGCGAGCAATACATTAGGTTCTGAGCACAGCAGCACAAACACTGCTTGCGAACAGATGGGTATTTGCTCATCAAACCAACATCAGTCACAATAATAGTGAAGGACCCATATGTGGTTTTGAGGCACTAACACGACCCAAGGAGACAGAGGCAGATTGTGTCGGCAAATGCAAGAGGGACTTTAGCAAACTCTTTTGCTCACAAAATCAACCGAAGGGTACGAGAGATGGAGCACTGCTATTTGTTAATGTATACATATATATTTATATCTAAATGGTTGCTTTGGGACCAGCTAAAAGACTGCAAATTGTCTTTTCTCACGTCACTGTCCGCGAATTAGCTGCCACGTTTCGCCCACGAAATACAGCATTTACAATCACTCCACTTTACTTCTTTTTCTTCCCTCCTTCTCAAGGCATGTCTCAAGACCTCTCCTCTTCAACTGCGCCTTCAGTCACCCTCCTACCCCCTCCTGATGCCAACCCCCAGCTCGGGTCCAAATCCCTGACTGTCCAGCGCCTTGTGATGTGCTCCCGACGTGAAAAGCGCTGTGTGATTGTAATGTGCTGTTAATGTGGTTTACAGCATATCCTGTGAAGCGCTTTGAGACGCCTCGATAAGGCTCTACAGCAAACGCAAGGATTATTATAATAATAATTATAGTTCACACACGGACATCGAATAGACTGGGAGAAGCTGGACAGTTGACTGCTTTCCCCATCTAATCATTCTCAGTATTTGCTCTCGTCGACCCCCCTCCCTCTACCAACCCCCACCCCCCAACCCCGCAGCCTTTAGGTTTTTTTTAACCTTTCCACCGACGTGTCCTTGAAATCTAGCCAGCGTTCACTAAGCCGTCTGGAAAGCAGGCTGCGGATTGCAGAGGAGCAAACTGCTCGAATCCCCAGAGACATTTCAGGGGCAATTTACGCATAACTTACAAAAGGTTAAGGGCAAGCTGAGTTAATCACGCGCAGCTCCTGTTAACTCTTAATGAATGTTACCCACACACACACACACACGCAAGTACGCGCACACAGCTAAATAGACTGCTTGTGAGCGAGGAAGGAAAGCCGCTCTCAGTAATTCTAATTAAGCTGAAGAACGAACGAACGTCCTAATTTGTGCAGCAATCAGATATGTCACAACTCATCGAATGATGAGTTTACGGACTCACTCACTCGCTCACTCACAGGGGACGTTGCTGAGCTAACAAACAAATTACGGTTGAACTTAAATATTTTTTCCAAAATTACCGCCTCCTCACCTCAGTTTCAAGGTTTTCAAATTAAACACTTCGGATCTAAATCCATCGCTCTCTCTCTCTCTCTTTTTAATATTAAAAATTATGCATTAAATATTCAAAAATTGCATTGGGATACAAGGGGAGATCTGATGTTAAGGGGAATCTTAATAATAATAATCCCTGCATTCGATACAACCCCTTAGCACATCTTTGAGATGCCTCAAAGCGTACATTGTAAAGTGAATTGACTGTATATTTTGTGGGCGAAACGCGGCAGCCAATTGCGCACAGCGACGTCCCACAAATAGTCGTGGATTGATTGACCAAATCGTTATTATAATTTTCTTTTGTGAAGGGATTATTACCCCCCGGAAAAGCGATCCACCAATCGATCGACTAACCACCGGGTTCCTACTTACTGCTGGGTAAACAGAGGCGTGCGCGGAGAGTAAGGAAACTTGCCCAACGTCTCGACCTGACCTGCCCGGGAATCCCACCCGGGTCCTCTCGCTTGTGAGGCGAGTGCTCTAACCACTGAGCTACAGGACTCCTGTACTTACTAACATGGTCTTGGTCCTGTGGTAAGGCTGAACAATCGACAATCCCAACGGTGTCACCCACTCCACTGAATGCCCTGATTTTGCGATCTGCCGGGCGCTTTCTGTCAGCCAGTCCTGGAGATAAAAGATTATTTATTTTTTGGCCGGGGGAAGTGATTAGAAAAAGCTGACAGTACCGCCCAGCACAGGCATGACGGGCTGAATGGCCTCCCTCTGTGCTGTAAATTTCTACCGTTCGATGGTTCACGTTCAAAGCCCACCTGCCCACCACAATGGAGGGGGCTAATTGTAGTTAGTGACCCGGCAGCTTGCTCTGGATGAAATCAAAACCAATCCCAAACACAAAATGGTGCAGTAACCTCAGCCTTTTTGATCAGTGCTGGGTGGGTGCATTGGAGAGACCAGGCAGAGGAAGGAATGAAAGAGTAAGACTTTAAAAATACAGAATATTATATATATTTGTGTGTATATACTTTAGATGGATACGCAGAAAACTAGAAGCTGTTCTAAAGTATCAGCCGATATGAGTATTCAAGACAGATTTTGTATGTTGTTGCTCACAACTTGGTCTCCCCCAAAAGGCTGTGGATTATGGTGGGATCAATTGTAATTTTGAATACTGGGGTGGATAGATTTCTGTTAGGTCAGAGCATCATGAGATATGGGGCGAGAGCGGCTAATTGGAGTTGAGGTACAAATCAGCCATGATTAATGGATTGGCGGCACAGAATCAAGGGGCTGAATGGCTTCCTCCTGTTCCTATGTTCCTATAACTTCCCCATGCGATAGCTGAACCACGCTGGACGAGCCAGGATAATGGTAAACAACAACAACAACTTGGATTTATATGGCGCTGTCCTCTCTCGAATTGTGACAATGATGAGGCAGGATTTAGCCTGCGTCGCTCCCTATCGTGAGCTTACCTGGATCTCCCTGGTGAGGGTGAACATCTCTTTCAGGCTGCTGAACACCTGCTTCACCAGGAAATGCGAGGCTTCCCACACGTGCTCCTGAAAGCAAAGCGGAAGGTCAACCTTTCACGTTCCGAACCTTTGCTGTGAATGTCGCTGTGGAAACACTACTCCAGCGGGCGGGTAGTAAACGTGTGGAACAGGCCTCCCGAGGGAGACAGACGGTGGAAGCAGAAAGTGCTATTTGTTTCAAGAACAAATGAGATAGATTTCTGCTGGAAAATAATATCTCGGGGATGTAGTGCACAGGCTGGGCTGGGACACGGCATGTCAGGCACCTGCCCAGGACGGTGGGAGGCAAACTTAGGTGGACCTTGGTCCTCTTTCGCCAGCAAATTCTTATGTCCTTACATTGCCACTTATAACCCAGAAAGCATCGGATTTGAGGCACAGTTGAGTTTCCGTCACCACATCCCAAAAATCCGCAACCAAACTGTGGGATTGAACAGGAAAAGCCCTGGAAAGGCATCAGCAATAAACGTTGCACACAACACAAAAAACCTTCCCCCCCACCCACCACCCCCTCCCAAAACAACACAGTCAATCCCCCTCTGGCACCTTGGGGAAATTTTCCATTTCCTTCAATCGCTTCTCGATCTGCAGACGGCCTCCGAACCGTGTGACGCCATACACCACCGTCATCACCGTCTGCTTGACCACTTTACGGTTGATGAAACCCTCCAAGATCTGGGCGATTCTATCCCCCTTCGCTGCATCCCGCTTCCTAAACTCTTCAACCTGAGAAGCCAAGACAATAACAAAGTCAGTCGGTCAGTCAGGCAACCCAGGTAACAGCTCAACCAAGCGCCGGCTCAGACAAGCTCAGTTCAGCAACATGTTCGGGGTTGGTTTTATTAATAAGCAAAACAACCACTTGACACCTTGACACCGCTGTGCGAAGCTCTGGGACGCTATCCTGCCTGAGGAGGGCTTTATAATCGGTTGTCGTCGTTGCCCTTCACGCCAGGTGAATGACACGCTGGTCACCCAGCACCGCACACTCTCAATCAATCTTACCTGGGGATAGATGGAGGGAGGGAAAGAGGGTCTGAGGGAGCGAAAGAGGGAAGGAGGAGAGGGAGGGAGGTTCAGAGACACTCACCTGTTGAGCCACCCCACTATAAACATCCTGTGGCACCTCACAGGGCACAAGGTTGACTGAGGTTGCACCGATTACATCTCGTCCCAGGGCAGCGTAATGCTGTAACCCATTGCACGATCCATCCTGTGACAACAGACGGGAGTGAATTACTTACTGAGCAGCGATTGCAATTGCCATCAGAGTGGTCCTAATTGACTGCCTTTTTTTTTTCCCCTTTAAAAATAAAAAAAAACTAATATTTTCCGCCACCTAGCGAGGATGTCATTTATCAAAGGACGGAACCAAATGCTTTTGTTACTATTCCGGCCTCCCCCCAAAATAGCTGCATGTTATCCCTTCATTACATTTGGGTTAAATTGCTAAGCAAAGTAAGCGGCAGCAGAATAAAAGCCTTCTCATCGATACTAACACAGTCAACCTCGATTGGTTTAGCTCCTGAAGGCTTGCAGGTCACTTTTCAAAGAGGGGGAAGAGAAAAAAAAAAAGAGAGCTGAGAAGAGAGAGGGGGAGAGAGAGAGAGAGAGAGAGAGAGTGTTGCATTGATTTACTCTCAAGTAAATATGCAACAGCAAGCAAAACACGCAGGCAGTGCAATGCGCCACAGGACAGCAATATCCTTTGTGAAAAACCTGTACAAAGGTGATGTGGGTCTCAGACCGGGACCTTAAGGGATTGAGTCCATCTTAATTAATGGCTCCATTCAGATTGCTGGATTGCTGTTGGCATTCTGTGATCAGATCTTTCCCCAGGACAACAATTTGACATTGATGGTATTCGGCCTTCACGGAGGGGAAGTGTCTTGGAATGTGGAACAATAATGATAATAATAATAATAAGCCTTGCATTCGATACAGCGCCTTATCACGTCGTCGAGGTGTCTCAAAGCGCTTCGCAGGCCTGACGCTGAGATGCGACACATAGGATCTTGCAGCACAGAAGGAGGCCATTCGGCCCGTCGTGGCTGTTCCAGCTCTTTGAAAGCTACCAGCTAGTCCAGATCCCCCCCACCCCTCTCTCACCCCCAAAGCCCTGCACATTTTTCCTTTTCAAGTAGCTATCCAATTCCTTCTTGAAAGCTACTATCGAATCTGCTTACACTCTGTACTGTTTTATCAAGCAGAGCAGTGTCTGATTTATTTACAGACACTTGCTGGCTGGAGTATACTGTGGGCGAGGATGATATGCCAGAGATCTCATTCATCCAAGATGCAAAGCAAGTCAAAGGAGCACCTTCTGGCAATCAGCCTACTGTAGTATTAAACTTCACTTCATCTGCTTTTAATTAATCTCTTTGTTTGCCGTTGCTCTCTGCAGTAGAAACCGGGGATAACGGCAGTTTGTTGTCGGGTTGGAAACAACCAACTTCCGGGTCATCGGGACACCGCTGACGTCACTTCCCTGGCGCTGTGCGGGTGCAGGAAGTAAGGACTAACGATCTAACCCACTCGTGCCAATAAGATGTGTACAGCGAGGCCAGTGGCTTTCTGAGCACGTGTGAAACAGGCAAGATGTGACCTCGGACAGGACCATCAAATGCAATGCACACTCTGGGCTCCCCCCAAAGCCATGGCTCTCGCCAACCGGTGCCTAATACTTTCCGGAATTGGATAAGCAGGATGCAACTCTGCAGGGAGTGCGAGGGAGGGAGAGGGAGAGTGAGAGAGAAAGGGAGCGCATTCCATTCCAATAGTCGGTCTCTGGGTTTTCCATGTGTAGTTGGGATGCATGGAATTCTCAGTTGGGTTTGGAAATTCTTAAGCAACGGTGATGGGTTTCCGCGTGTGTCAAGACACCCAAAAAATGCAATGCATTATCCAAGGCAGGGGCAGGAGGGGTGGGGGTGGGGGGAGAGAGAACCCCAGGAAAACTCTTAAAAGCAATTTGTCAGACTTGGCCCCCACCCCACCCACCTTGGAAGACATGCAACTATTTTTTTTGGGGGTATTTGTCATTGTGTCACAGCTCCTGATCCTGGGTCAGAGCACGAGATGGGTTTCAAGTCTAAACTGCAAACGGTCCAATAGTTTTCTCCCCTCGCCGCCAGGGCAGCCTGAACAGCCTTGTAAAACCCAACTTTATATATCATATCTAATATAAAAATGGGAAGCCTAGCAATGGTTCCAAGACAAGACAACGCTCGCAACTTCAAGATTCAGGTGACCTTGACTCTCGCCGCTAGAGACGTGACCTGAAACGCTTTGATTCGACGGCTCTCCGCTTTTATATTATTCTCTCTGCAGAACCCGACGTCATTTTTTTTTCTTTAGTGATTCGGTGTAATGAACAGGAAGCCCGGCATCACTAATGCAGAAACGTCTCGACTACCCCTCCGGGCTACACAGGCAGGTTCTTACAGGGATTTCAGATTGCCGCACAGCAATGGTTTTCAAGCCATCACCTTCACCTCGCGCTAGAGCAAAGCTTTACATGCGATACTGGCACGTAGGTTGAAATTAGAGTAGAATATCTCAAGCTGAATAAAGATCAAACAGCGAGGAGGTTTGATTTTATATATATATATATATAATCCTTGCATTTGATACAGCGCCTTATCATGTCTTCGAGATGTCTCAAAGCGTTTCACACAATATACTATAAAGTGAATTGACTATATATTTTGTGGGTAAAATATATATATTTTTATATTAAAAAAACACAATAAGCTTCAATGAAATGTACCCGTACAGCAATGGCACCTGAAGTCCAAATATGGCAAAGCACTTCCTTTCACCATTATATTAATTTCTAATTATGAATCTAATATTTTTATTAATTATTATTATTGTAGGAGAACTGAGCACTTCTCTCTCAGTCTCTGCTGGATGTAGTTGTACGTAAATAAATGATTAAAACAATTGTATGACATTCTATATCCAAACCGGCAGTTGCTCGGGACTCGATATCAATGTTAAGAGGAATACACTTAGAATTATGAAACTCAATGACCTTGCTTTACTGTGGGGGGGGTGGGGGGGAAGGGTTTCAATCTAATGAATCGATTCCACACTGATCCAATTTGAACGCAAATCATTTTTTTTGTGACTGAATAAATAGCCAACAAAAGAGACGCCAGATTTATTATTATTGTTGTGGTTTGCGGAGCGGTATAAAGACATTCAGCGGAGACTGAGAGAAGCCCTCAGTTCTCTCGTAGTGATAACAATAATCATAATAATAATCGTAATTATAAACCGGGATGGCGAAAGAAAAGCGCTTTGCATATATTTTGATTTCAGGTGACTTTGCTGTACGGGTATGAGGGAGGCAAGGTTAGAATTTGCTCGTTTTCAAGCAGAAGATTGCTGCTGCCTTGATGTCCTCTACATTTGGACAGCGGTTGTGTTTTTGCCAAGGTTGCACATTAAGTTCTCTCGTTTTACAAAGAGATGAGACAGCGGAGGGACTCAAAACACCTCCTGTCCATTACCACCCCCCTCCTCTCCCCCTTCCCCACAGATTAGTAGTATGCACAACTCGTGCAGCTTATTGTAATCAGTGGAGCATCGCTGTGTGTTGCTCAAGGTCATTAGGATGCTTTGGTTTATGTGACATGCATAATTAATGACATATAGCGTCTTTCACACTGTGAGCGAGTAAAGGCTGCGTGTGGCTTCTGCTATCGTTCATCTGCAGACGTTTCCTGGATTTAAAGCAGCTACAATTGCAAACGGCGCCGTTGGATCGGTTTAGAAAGGGTTTTGACCACAGAAGGAAATAAAAGGGACCATTTCAGCTCAGTGCCGGCCTTCGGGTGAGACGTTAAACCCCGTCTGCATCTTCAGGTGGACCCGTTAAAAAGCTACTTGTTTACAACAACAACTTGCATTTAGATAGCGCCCGGGGGCGGGGGCGGAGGTGACCGTAGGCACGGTCGAAGAGGAAGGTTTTGAGGCGCGGTCTGAAGATGGGGAAGAAGGGAAGGGGCAAGGCGGAGAGATAAATTAATACATTTATAATAATAAATAATAATAAATAAATAGGATTATTATTAGTATATAAAGGGAGAATGTTCCAGAGTTTTGGTTTGTTACAAATTAATGCTGCGACAGATTACTAACGGCACAAAAAAGATGATTTTTTTTCAGACGTTCAGAACCGAAAAAAAAACACAAGGCATTTTGTAATGACATTTCAAGCCGTGTTATGCTTTGCCCTAAGGGTTTGAGGCGACACAAATTTCATACAAAGCTTTGCGAGTATGCGGTTGTAATCTCTTGGGAGCGGCTCGCTTAGCTTGTTCCAGCGGTACATAAGCTTAGCTTGAGAATGATAAATCGAACCTATTGCATACGCATAAGGCAACAAGCAGCCTCAGCAATCTCCCAGGAAATTTTGAAAGAAAACGATCGACTGGTCAACCTTCTATTTTCGTCTCCCGTTAACCAAGCTCACCTCTCCTCAACAAGAGGGTGGGACACTACCCATGAAAAACACACAGCGTGTTACTCTTAGCGTATTGGTTAGAGCTCTCGCCTCCAAGCGAAAGGACCTGAGGTCAATTCCTGGCCAGGGCCAAAAATGTTGGGCAAGATTCCTTACTCCACACACACACACATCTCTGTTCACCTAACAGTAAGTAGCAACCCGCTTGTTCGTCGATTGCTGTCTCCCTTTTCTGGGGGTAATAATCCCTTCAAAGAACATAAATCAACAAATAAATTCACTTTACAGTATATTCCATGAAGCGCTTTGAGACATCTCGAAAGTGTGATAAAGCGCTGTATCATAATGCAAGGATTATTATTATTATTATCGTGCTTTATCTTTAGCTCCACACTGAAATGAGTCAGAATTAGTAACCTACCTGATGGACTGGGAAATGAGAGATGTATTGGGTCGGGTCAGGAGATCTCACTGCACTTGCTATCTCCATACAGCAGCCCAAAGCCTGCCAAGGCTCATCCGCATTCATCCACCACTTCCGCCCCTGAGAAAACAACAACACGGGATATTTACACAGCGCCTTTCAGGTCGGGAGGACGTCCCAAGCCGCTGGACAGTCAGGGAGGTGGGTGTGTGGGGGGGGTGGAAGGCAGGGAGGGTGGGGGTAAGAGGGTGACCGATGGCGCAGTGGAGGAGGAGTGTCTTGAGACAGGGTTGAAGGAGGTAAGGGACAAAAAAAAGAGAACAGGGTCTTAGGTGAGAAATGCACCAAGCGCTATTAATTGAGAGCAAATGATCTGCGTCCACTGTCCATCCTAGTTGGCTTCATTTGTGGATAAACAAAGCTCCCACCCGAACTTTAGCGAGAGTTGTATCGCAATAAACCTGAGCCCAAGCAGCCGTTCTCTTCTAACCAGTGTGCGAGCTGACGCGCATAAAGACATGCGCACAGAGCCACGCACCTTTTGACTCCAGGTTCAAATCAAAAGCGGAGGAAAACAGAACCGTAACAGCAAAGCAACTCGACGCTGAATGATTGACTATGCGGTTCTGTAAACGGCCCGAGTCCAGTGCCGATTCTGCTTTAACCACCACTTACCGTGAGAGGGTTATCCGCCGAGTCCAAGATCTCGTCCATCATCTTGTTGGCGTAGGCCAGCCTGGCTTTCAGCGAGCTCTTTTTCTTCAGGCCGGTCAGGTTGACCAGGTGGATCTTCAGCCAGGTCAACCCACCTTCCCCCAGAGGCTTCCCATCAGCGAACAGCAGGAGCGCCCGGGTGACGTCACTGCCCAGGTGGTTGAAGTAGGGCGGGCAGGGGTAGGTCCTCCCTCTGAAGTCCATGTTGTGCGGGAACCAGAACACCTCGTCCCGCATGTGGTTGGCGATGGAGAGCTTGTAGAGGGCGTCCATCCGGAGGCTGTGCATCTCGGCCAGCTTCTTCCTGACCCCGGCCACCTCCCGCTTGAAGGCCGTCTTCTGTCCTGCACTCAGCTCGCGACTGGGGTTGCACTGGGGCTTGGCGGGAGCCTCCGAGAGGGGGCGGGGGATCTCCAGCTCCTCGCTCCCCTTGTGGTTGAAGATGGAGACGATCAGGTCCAGGACGGGCTGGTTGATCTTCCAGGCGCAGCTGCCGAGCTGGTTGAGGGAATCGAGGACGGCGTGCAAATCGCTGCTCTGGGACTTCTCCAGCAGTAGCTGGTGCTGCACGGCACCGTCCAAGCAGCGCATGAGCTTCGTGGGGGTCAGGGTGTAAGCCCCGAAACTGGGGGATATCCAGGGGATGGGGGGACACACCATCGGCATGACATACGAGTCAAAGCTCAGGGTGGTCTCTGCGGCTTCGGCAAGGATCTGGGTGAGAATGGGATGAGGCTTGATGAAACCGATCTGGCAAAGGAAAAGGATCGTCAGTCAGGGTTTGAGGAGGTTTTACACGTCGAGATGGAAATATACTGGACACAACAACAATAATAATCCTTTTGGCACCGCGCCTTATCACTTCGTCGAGAGGTCTCAAAGCGCTTCACAGGACATACTGTGATGCAAATTGACCTGCGTGTTTTGTGAGCGAAACGGGTCAGCCAATTGCGCACAGCAGCGTCCCACAAACAGCCGTGGGTTGAGTGACTAAATTATTACTACTTTTTTTTAAGGGGTTAGTACCGCCAGGAATGCGATCCGCCAATCGACTAACAACCGGGTTCATACTCACTGCTGGTAAACAGGAGGCGTGTGCGTGCGGAGTAAGGAAACTTGCCCAATGTTTCGTCCTGCCTGACCTTGCCCAATCGAAGCCGGGTTCTCTCGCTAGCGAGGCGAGCGCGCTAACCACTCAGCTACAGGTGCGTCAGTCGGGTAACCAAGCCAGGACGCCCTCACCTGTTTGTTACTGCGGAAGGTGTACATGTGGTACAGCACGGGGATGTATCTATTCTCCCCGCTCGAGCTGTTGATGGGGATCTTTATGTCGCGGACCATGAGATCCACCAGGTGAGACCCTAGCTGTATGATCAGGGTGTGCGGCCAGAGAGTGTCCCCACTTCTTAGTGATGGCCCCGAGTTCATTTCAGCTTCAATTTTCGCCCAGTATTCCCGGGGCAGGTAATCATTCACCTCGGATTGAAACAGGGAGGGGGGGGGGGAAAAAACACACACATAGGAACATAAGAACATTAGGAGGCCATTCAGCCCCTCGAGCCTCGCTCAGCCATTCTATAAGATCCTGGCTGATTTGTACCTCAACTCCAATTGTACCTGACCTTGCCTCATATCCCTTGATACCCTGACCTAACGAACATCTGCCCATTTCAGGCTTGAAAATTTGAATGGATCCCACCCATAATCCACAGCCTTTTGGGGCAGGGAGAGAGAGGGGTGGGGGGGAGAGAGAGAGAGAGAGAGTTTCAGATTTCCGCTCCCCCTTTTGTAATTATATTCTAGTTGTATTTTAACGGTCACTTACACAGACGAACAGACTGGAGGTTTGTAGTGTAAATGCCCAACTCATGAATTTATAAAACTGGTCAATGCTTGGGAGAAAAGGTCCAAACAAAAGGCAGATGAAATCAGAAGAGCACAGCAGGACACAGTGACAGAACTAAGGACATAATGCACAATATTACACTGTTTGACATTAAACCATACAGCAGGTTCCACAATTGCTGTAATCCAACTGACAGATAAGGTCACCCCAAAGCTCATTCCATACAGAGTTTCCAGGTGACTGTTTTACATACAAATCACTTCACGTTATACCAAACGACACTTAGGCAGGACTTCAAATTACTGATTGAGTTAGAGGGACTCGATGTAACAGGGAAAATAACTCATTTTCTTTTAAGTGCCTTCTGTCATCTCCCGAATAATAAATAAGTCTTCAATCCAATATTACCAGTTTTTTGTTCAGTTTGAAATAAAAAAGCAAGGATTATTAAACCGCAGCCCGTTTCCGAACTGCCTGGGTTACAATTCAACATCCACTCTGTTGTAGACTGATCCACAAAGAATTAATTGCTATCAAGACCGCCATTATTGTAGCACGCGACTAGGTTTAGCTGGAATAGACTCCAGCAGTTACCCCCAACACACACTCTGAGCTCCCCCTCGCCAAGCCTTGGGCTCTTGCCAACCTGCGCCTAATACTCTGCGGAATTGGGCAAGCAGGATACGAGAGAGAGAGAGAGAGAGAGAGCATTCAGTTCCAACAATCTAACTCTAGGATTTCCATGTGTAGGAGTTTGCAGTTTGGTTTGGAGACTCTTAAGCAACAATGATGGGTTTCTGCATGTGTCAAGACACCCTGCTGACGAATGAAGGCGAACTGAAAGGACCTTGGTCTTTTTTTCGTCTAGTGTTTCCTATGTTCCTATGGAGACAGTTACCTCTGTATCCTTTGCCAGCAGCTCAACGTAAGCTCCATAAACGTCCTTCATCTTAGCCACCATCTCATTCTTTATCTTCTTCCGTACGGAGTATTTGTTGTAGACTCGGTTGCCCAGATCCTTCGACATAATCAGCAACGCTTCGCCGTTTGGGGGGAGATTTGTGATGCTCTGAAAGATGGGGGGGGGGGTCGGGGGAATTGCGGTGGGGGGGGGGGGGGGAGGGGGGGAAGGCACATTTCATTACCATTGGCTGCCATGTTTCGCTCACAAAATATGCAATCGATTCACTTTACAGTGTAACCTGTGAAGCGCTTTGAGACGTCTCGAAGACGTGATAAGACGCTGTATCGAATGCGAGGATTATTATTATTGTTCTTATTATTATTATCATGCTCCTACCTCTGCCCTCCCTGCCCTACTCTCCCCCCACCTCCCGATCCCAACCCCCAGTTCGGCTGTCCAGCGCCTTTGGGAAGTCCTCCCCAACGTGAAAGGTGCTGCGTAAATGTAATGTGTCGTCGTTACTGCCACAAACCCCCACCCCCCCCCCACCCCCAACCATCTCATACCTGCAACATAATGTCCACGTACTCCTTGTCGTCCAGCAGACAGAGGTACGGGTAGATGTTCATTTTCCAGGACTGGCGAGGGTCACCGGCCAAGAGGAGCTTGCAGTCGCGAAATGCCTGCAGCAGAGATTTCCGCCATTTCGAGCGTAAATCTGCCAGGCGTCTCCTCTGGAGTCCGATGAAAGAGGACGGTATTTCCCGTTAGTGCCGATCAGTCTCGGTGATGAACCGCTCGCTCTATACTGCTTTACACTGCTTCTTTTTTTAATTTGTATTAAATTTGTAATAAATTACCCAGCTCTTAAACTGAGGGTGTGTAGGTGTGGGGAGAAATTAGCTGGTTTTGGAAACTGACCCGTGTCTAAAACCGCCCCCCACCCCCACCGCGGCTCCCGGCTCCGACCACCCCCCACCCCCAGCTCGAGTGCCTGGCCATTACTGTTAAGCAGTTTATGACGTCCTCTCGACCTGGGTTGTAAATTTCGATGCAATTCAATGAAATGCTGCTCCCTGAAGCCAGGACGAAGGCTGACGTACGAGAACAAAGCAAACTGAGCGATTCACACACGGGAACCATCACGGAAGCATCTGACAGCAGAAGGTAAACACAGGTCAGGAACATCTATAAATAGGGATTGAAGGCGGAGAGGAGGAGGGGAGGGGAATTATCTGCCACAGTGACATGTTGTGACTGGTTTTGAAGGGAAGATTATGAACTCAAAAACTCAAAACATTTCTTTTGAAAAGGGTATTTAAAAGGGATTCTTTGGCACTGAACAGGAAGCTAATGCCCGGCTGAGGGAATCTTCCCCCTCAGCTCCCGTTAACCCTGCAAGCCAAAGCCCTAATGGGCGGGGTGGTCCTAGCTGGACAAGCAGCGGGAAAGCTGGCCAGACAGCAATATCAACGGCAAGCTGTATGGTTTTAGCCGGTTAGACTCCAGCAGTTACCCCAACGCACACTCCGGGATTTCCATGTGTGGGTGGGATGCATGGAAGCACCTTGGCCTGGAGACTCTTGGGTTTCCCCGTGTCTCAAGACACCCGGCTGACCCTCCACCCAAAAAATGTAGCTACCGATCTTTTCATCTTCTCCGTGACCGGCTTTGCTGCCTCGATGGAGTTGATGGTGACGGTGTCGGCTTGTTCCAGGCTCAGCTGCCGGCTGAACCTCTGTCTCAGCTCCTCCACACGCAGGTCCAGTTTGGGGTAAGCGATGGGCTCTTCCTGAAACAAAAACCGAGCGGGTTAGTGAGCGTGACTTCTCCTCGACACACCTGACAGTAACAGCGACCTTGGCGTTTGATCCCGTAATGTCCCAAAGAGCTCCAAGGCAAATGGCTGTCAAGTGTAGCGACTGTGTATTTGTGTGCAAGGCAAACCCTGGCAGCCAATTTGCACACTGCAATGTCCCACACGTACCATTGAATCAATGTATCTGGGGTATTTTGTTTGTAAACGAAATCCAGATGTGCTAACCCATTGAAATGGGCTTTAGTTTTCTTTTCACCTTAAGTTATTGGTCGTTCATTCAACTGCACGAGTAACTGAAACTCCGACACTCTTAGCCTAGGTGGGGAAACACAAGCTAAACACAAAGCAGCACCGAGTCTGTGTGCTTATGTCAATGCATTTGATAGAGCAACTCATCACGTCTTCGACATGTCTCAAAGCGCTTCACAGAATATAAAGCGAATTGACTGTATATTTTGCGGGTGAAATGAGTCATCCAATGTGTGCACAGCAGCGTCCCACAAACAGTCGTGGATTGAGTAACCAAATTTTCATTATTATATATTTTTAATTACTTGTTTTATAACCCACTCTATATCACGGTTGCTGACGTGTTGATGGGCGAGGAAAGTAGTGGTTAAAAATGTGAAACTTTTATTGTTCCTACAAAGTGCTTTTGGCAAGTCTTGCGCTGGGGACTAAAAATACCGGTCTTTTCTCAACGGCGATGCCGTTGGCAAACTCCAGAATTCTCAATTCCGCCTGGATTCCTGTGTCAGACTAACAGCTAAAAAGCTGGGCAGTCACACTATTCCCAGAGGCTGCTAGGAGCTGCCTCAGAAGTTACTGCAGGTTTTCAGAACGTGTACAACGTACGGTTAGTAGATTCTACACCCATCCCTGGTTATGGAAAAAGAAAAATTTGTGTGAAAGGAAATTAGCGAGAGATCACAGGATTTACAAGGGTTTATTTCGACTCTGTGAAAAGACAAGACAGCATGAGCCTTGGGTTCATCTGGCACTGCTTTAACTTGTGAAGTTCAATGCAGTAATAATGAATGCTTACCCAGCTGTCACATACTTGTTACCTTAGGTTAGAACATAACTGGGCCCCCACCCTTCAAAAAAACCAAAAAATTAATAACAGTAATAATATTAGTCACTCAATCCCATGGCTGTTTGTGGGTCACTGCGCAATTGGCTGCCGCGTTTCACCCACAAAACATACAGTCAATTCACGTGATAGTGTACACTGTAAAGTGCTTTGAGACTTCTCGAAGACGTGATCACAGGATCAAAAAAATTTATTATTATTATTGTTATTATCATCACTAAGAGAGCCAGGCAGGTCCTAGAGGCAAATGCACAGCAGAGTAACTCACAGCCTGGAGTCTGAAGGCACTCCTGGGTTGATTTTACACAATCCATCACTACCTGACATTCATCCTCTGCACCAGTCAGCGGGAACCTAATTTGGACTTTCAAGCGAGGACGGCTATTTGTTCTGTATGTTAATGCTGAAACTGCGTAAACTGCACTGAAATCACACAGGCGAATGTTATGCAAGTTTCCTTACGCCACACACACACACCTCTGTTTACGTAGCAGTAAGTAGGAGCCCGGTTGTTGGTCGATTGGCGGACCGCTTTTCCGGGATTTTTAATCCTTTCAAAATGAATATATGAATAATAAAAGTAATAATGTGGTCACTGAATCCACGGCTGTTTGTGGGGACACTGCTGTGCGCAATTGGCTGCCGTGTTTCGCCCACAAAATACACAGTCAATTCACTTTACAGCGTATCCCGTGAAGCGCTTTGAGACGTCTCGATGACGTGATGAGGCGCCGGATCAAATACAAAGTTTATTACTATTATTACCTTCTGCAAGACTAGCAATCGTCATGTGTATAAATTGTCAGATGTAGAAATATCAGCTCCTCTGGCAGCCAATAATGTACACTCCGCGACAGATCATTGTCTCGGTTTACACAAAGCACAGCCGCTCCGTGTAGAACAACAGCCCAGATAACAAATGCCAGCAATGTCCTGTCATGGTTATGCAGTCACCTCTGATCTCACAGAGCAGACGCCTCTTCTGCTTCTCTCCCGCTCTCTCTCTCTCTCGAGGTAAAACCCTGTTGAATAGTGTCTGCTTCCCGTTAAATCAGACGAGTGTTTGTCAGGAGGGATTAGGAACGGTGTGAAAAGCAGAGCTACTAAATTAGACACAAAGGAGCTCAGCTATAAGCACCTCACAGGGCCTTAAGCCTCTCTTCCTTGCCCACACACCCCAACCCACAAAAAAGCTTTGAGTTTTTTTTAAAAAGGCTTATCCATCAATACCGTAAGCACGTTAGTATTTTAGAGCATCATGTCATCATAGAGACTGAATGGTTGAAAGCAGCAAAGAGAATTTGTTCCCAATAGTCTGTGTAATAATAGATTAATCCTGGCATTTGATACAGAGCCTTATCACGTGTTCGGGACGTCTCAAAGCGCTTCACAGGATCCATCATAAAGCGAATTGACTGTATATTTTGTGGGCGAAACCCGGCAGCCAATTGCGCACAGCAGCGTCTCACAAACAATCGGAGATTGAGTGATCAAATTAGATGTTATTACTGTTCATTTTTTTTATTTTGAAGGGATTATTACCCCCTGAAAAGCGATCCGCCAATCGACTAACAACCGGGTTCCTACTTACTGCTGAGTAAACAGAGGGCGTGTGGAGTAAGGAAACTTGGCTAACGTTTCTCCCAGCTGGGAATCAAACCCAGGTTGTCTCGCTCGCGAGGCGAGTGCTCTGTGTACCGACCTTCCCCAGTCACATGTCCCAGAGGAATTTTAAACAAAGTGAATCATTGCAAAAAATCCACTTTAAACCACGATTTTTGCACAGTCATTTTCGCGTCCACTCGCACCAGAAGCACTTGACAACGAAAATGAGTAATGGTTTCAACACAGCAGAGGAGCTAGGAGACAGTACGGGAGAAACACTTCATGAAGTGGTCTCGGATATAAATAGAAAGGGGGATGGTTGGGGGGCGGGGATCCGGGGGAGGGGGTCAGGCATGATAATGTCAACCTTTTCTTTCACTGCATCCGTTAATTAAGTCACCCAAAGTAGCCAGTCGTCAAACAACGAGACGTTTAAGATCCAAGACTGTTTGTGTGGGGACGCTGCGGTGCACAATTGGCTGCCGCGTTTCGCCCATAAAATATACAGTCACTGCACGAGACGTCTCGAAGACGTAATAAGGCGCTGTGGGAAACGCAAGGATTATTATTAACAGAAAAAGGAAAGCGATTGCAAGTGAAGATCCCGACAGTATATGTCACCACCACCGCTCGCTCCTCTCTGTACCTTGGAGTACAACTGCATCACCAGCGGTGACCGGCAGACCTCGGCTGCTGGCTCGATCGGGAGCTGGAAGTCCGGCTCCACCACGCGGATGGCCTTCATCACCATTTCCCGTTCATCCTTGTGGAAGAGGCAGCCCTTGAGCAGCTCCTGCAGCGTGAAGCCATCTTCCTCCAGTTGATGAAGACACCTGGGAACACAGTGCCGTTCACATCACAAATACACACACACAGTTTTAATTCCTTAGCCATTTTTGGGGGGGAAGGGGAGGGGAATTGCTTCACGACCGTTTAACAACGTGATAAGGTGCTAAATCAAATGCAAGGATTATTATTATTATTATTATTTAAAGCTCAGAAACCCTCCCCAACTGTTAAAGAGTCCATTGCCTTATTGACTGCCTCCCTCTCCCACCCACACACACACACACGCGCACGCGCGGGGCTCAACTCAACTCTCCGCCTTAATGAACCGTGAAACCAGCAGTGTTATTAAGATGAATTTAGTAGCTAAGATGAATTTCATCTAATGAGCAGTTACATATTCATAAACACCATCTCCAGAAATACTGTGACTATGATTGTAAATAGCCATTGAAGTTATTTTGGACCCTCTGACAAGTACCAAGTACCAGGTAACAGAACATGGTATAATTCAGGATCGACGACTTACACCTCAGCACCAATATAACTGAGATCTGCTAGTTACTCACTGCCGTGCGGAGGAAGGGAGGGGGGAGGGGAGGGAGAGAAAGGACAAGTGCAGTAATTTTTTTTGTGTGAGCATCTTTTGTCCCTTTCATGTCGGGAGCCCACCTCGAAGGATTGATTGCAAAGTGTAGTGACTGTGTTTTGCGGGTGCACTTGAACTGGCATGAAAGGTCATCGTGTCGGGCAACCGTGACATTTTCCCACCACAAACAATCCAGCCTCCCCTCACCTCAACAACAACAGCTTGCATTTACACAACAGCCCCTCACGCAGGGCAGTGTCCCGGTGGGGGGAGGGGGAAGTGACCATTGGCACAGTCGAATAGGAATGTCTGAAGATGGGAAAGTCATGATACACTCCACAATGTTTATATAAAATAACTCCCAAAATAATCCTCGCTGCCTGTAAATGTTTAATGAGTCTGTTGAGTTGCTAAATGCGTCCGCAACCAATAGCGCAGGGTGCCTGCAGCCCGACCTTGCTCTGCACATTATAAAAGGGAACGCCATCAAGCTTTGAGCTATTTCACTGAGAAATGAAAGGGTTTCTCCTCAAAGGCTCCTCCGCAGCTCATTTCCCCCGCAATCCCTCCCGTCACGTTAGCCTAGGGGAAAAATGCTAATGTTTCAGCTAGAACTGGCGACTCCCAGTCTGCGCTAAACATCACCTTCTCAAAATCTATCATGAAAATCAATACACGGCGAAGGGAGGCCAGCGTGGGGGTGGTGGGGGAAGCTGCTGTAAGAACAGTAGCATCAATTCCTTTTCTAAGGTGAATTGTGCGAAGGAGAGAGAGTGAGAGAGAGAGAGAGAGAGAGAGAGAGGAGATAAAAAAAATCCGAATAGTTCCGCATCAATGCCATTTTGTCAGAGCATGAAGTTCTGCTGCTGCTGAAACGCAGATGGTTCCCAGTCTCCAATCCCAGAGGAAAACCTATCAGAGAAATCCACCTGCCACCACGGAATCACAGTCAGTCTCTCTCACCCCCTCCGCCACCCCCCTGCCGGTTGTCAAGCAAGCTGGTCGCCACTGGGACTGCTGAGTGGAAACGGCTGGGACGTGTTGCTCTATTAATATCGCCTATTGTGCCTGCCAACTAACCGCCAGTTGTGGGAGGGAAAGAGCTTATTCCGGGTACACAAACACAAACAAGTCCCTGTTTTACAACAACCACCACCACTTTACCCAGTACCCCTCACACAGAGTAGCGTCCCAGAGCACTTCCTTACAACGACAGCGGGTTTAAATCAGCCTGTGTGTTTGATCAGCCCGCTGGCAGTGGCATTGGCGGGAGAGCCTTCAGCCACTCTGCCCCCAACCTCTGGAATTCCACTCCCCAATCACTCCGCCTCGCCCCCTCTTTAGCCTCCTTCAAGTCCTGCCTCAAACCCCTCCTCTTCGACCACGCCATAAATTGGCTGCTCCATCCAGCCACACATACATACACACAGTAACTTAACAGCGACGTGAAGCGACTTGAGAGGTCTCGGCAATGTGATAAGGCGCTGTATCAAACGCAAATATTATTGCTGATCTAGTGGCCAGGGCGCTGAGGGAAAATCCCTTCTCTGTCTCGGAGAGTCGTGGGACATGTTCAAATCTCTGCATTAACCATTAGATTTAAAAAAATCAGTCACAAGTATGAATGTTTGGGCTCAACCCCCCCCCCCCCATAAACCCCGGTTACATTTTTAATTGGTCTTTCGACTGACTGCGAGGACTCGTGTGAGACAGCAGAACGGGACACCCGGGGAGAGGACCAGGCTGGTGGCGGTCACTCAAACGCCCAGATGGAAAGGCTCCGATCAGGAGCCCTCATCATCGATGTTTCGCAAGCGAAGACCGAACCACACCCCCCCCCACCACTCCCCCTCCCTTCACTCATCTGACAGCTGAGGCTCCCTGTGGGGGAAGATGGCAACCGCGCCCCCTAGTGGCCAAACCGATTGAACCCTCGGTCAACGCATTCCAGAGCATTTGCTCACCTCATCGACAACAACAACAACAACAACAAATTGCATTTAAGTGCTTCCCCTGCTCACGTCTCTGTAATGGGTTGGAGAGAGGGCGGGGGGTTGCGGGGAGAGATGAGAAGTGGGAGAAGGGATTCGATAGGGTAGAGATAAAGAAACGGTTTCCTCTGGTGGTGGTGGGGGGTGGGATTCCAGAACAAGGGGCCCTCGTTTTAAAATTAGAGCCAAGCCATTTAGGAGTGAAATTAGAGGCAATTTTTCACACAAAGGCGGGTTAGTGGGAATCTGCAGCTCCCTCCCTCCCCCAAAAGGCGGTGGATTATGGTCAAGAACGAGGAGTAAATGTTTGTGAGGTTGGTTTATCAAGGGATGGGGGGGGGGGGGGGAGCATCAGCACTTGCCTCCTTATCACGTGAAAGGCACAACTTTCCATGCGTCCCATACACTCCAACGCTGCTGCGTAACAGTCCAGCTTTGGTTTGAGTTCCGCTTCCTCCACCAGGCTGAAAAGCCGGCCGATCTGGTTCAGTGACACCTGCAAACAAAAAAGCAAACCATCGAAGCCGCCTTAACCCCTCGAGCCTCTGCCCTCGCTCCTCGGCTGCCCTTTGCCCCACACCCTTCCTCGTAGCCGAGCTGCCCCGAGAAGAGACAGCTCAGAAACGCAGGCGGGCGGGCGGACACGGGGAACACCGATGCTAACTGCGGCGCCTCAGGTCACCCGTAAAACCCACCCACCTTTTTGGCCCAAAGCCGCATTAAAACGCTGTAAATCTTGATGTTCAGGTGTTTGCGCCGGTTCAGGTGGCGATGGTGGAAGAGGACGCAATGGTGAGCCCGGTCCAGGTCACCGATGAAGCTGCAGGCCTCGACGTAGGCTAGAATGTTCCGCTGGGCGTCCCAGTGCTTGTTGCTTTCTCGATCCTCCAGCAGTTGAGCAGCAAAAGAAACCCAGTTATTAGTATCCAGGTTCAGCCTTTCCACCTCAGCGAGGGTGGACCCCTGAGGGTCTTCAGGCAAGGAGATAGACTCCGTCTCCGTGCTGGCTACCCCCTTCTTGCCTTTCACGGCGCTGAATGTGACTTTGGCGCCTGCGGATTTGCAGAGTGTTTTCGTGCCGGACTGGGGGGGAGCCTTCTTGATCTTTTTCGCTAAATTCTGCTGTTTCCTGACTTTGTTACGCTTTTCCTTCTTCAGTTTTTCCAGCCATTTACTCGGGACAGAGGTGGCTTTGGCGCTGACCTTCTCCGCCTCGCTCCCGTGTCGTTCAGGCAGCTTTCCCCTCTCGGGCGGGCAGGTAGGTTGTTTGAATGCTCTGGCCGGCGGAGAGGCCAGCGACTTCGAGCTGGTCAGGCTTTCCAGGCAGGTTACGTTCACGCTGTCGATGAATTGTACGTCGACGGTGTGTCTCACTTGAGTCGGGTTATCTGCCTGGAGCTGCTGTAATCGCGCTTCCAGCACTGGGGGCAAAGAGAAGCGACAAAATGAGAGGCACTTTTCATAAATAAACACGGCGACAGTCAGGGAACAGAACAGCTTAAAGATGATGCATAACAGCAGCCATACATCCAAACAACACAACGAGTTTCACTGCGTATGACATTCCAAATGGCTGCCTCCAATCCACTGGCAGATCTCCCACGGAAAACACACCACGCTTGAAGGAAACGAGAGCCAGTTGGTGGGGGGGGGGGGGGGAGATTTGAAGGTAAAGGTGAAGCACTTACCCTCCAGGAGATGAAAGTTTTGCTTCTTCCAGTCATCCTCCCGCAGGAGACTTGACGAGTAATTTCTTCTAAAGACAATCCAAGGTCTTCCTGAAAGATCATCAACTTTGTGACAGTGATTTTCTTTTCGCCACGAGGTGCGTAAAGGTAAGGCGAGAGGGTGTGGGGGAGGGGGGGAGTGTGTGTGGGGGGGAGAGGGAGTGTGTGTGGGGGGAGGGGTGTGTGGGGAGGGGGTGAGTGTGTGGGGGAGGGGGTGAGTGTGTGGGGGAGAGAATGGGGAGTGGGGGGGAGTGTGTGAATGTGTGGAGAAGGCGTGTGGGTGAGTGTGTGTGTGGGGGTGAGTATGTGGGGGTGAGTGTGTGGAGGTGGGGGAGGGGGGGGGTGGGGGAGTGTGTGTGGGAGGGTGTGTGTGGGGGGGGATGGGGGGGGAGGAGGTGAGTGTGTGGGGGAGAGTGTGGGGGGGGGGGAGGGGGGAGTATGTGTGGGGGAGGGGGTGAGTGTGTGGGGGTGAGTGTGTGGGGGGTGTGGGGGAGGGGGTGAGTGTGTGGGGGTGAGTGTGTGTGGGGGAGAGTGTGGGGGAGGGGGAGGGGGGGAGTATGTGTGGGGGAGAGTGTGGGGGAGGGGGGGTGTATTTACCTGAGCTCCGGGCGGGGTGCAGGCCGGGGGGGTGCAGGCCGGGGGGGTGCAGGCCCCGCTGCCAGGCCGGGGGGGCGCGCGGGCGGCCGAGGGCGGTGATGGGGCCGCGGAGCCTCAGCAGCGACATGTCGCCCGCGTTAGGCCGCCATGTTGGTTGTTGGGGCCGGTCTGCGCCTGCGCCGCCGCGCGGCCCGCCGGGAAAGTGAGGCTGGGGAGAGACTACAAGTCCCGAGATGCCCCGCGCGCTCCCACCCCCACCCTCATCACGTGTCTGTGCCAATCAATCAACCAATCAATCAATCAATCAATCAATCAACCCATCAATCAATCAATCAATGTCAATATGAACCAGTGATGATGATGATAATAATAATAATCCCGGCGTCTGATCACGTCGTCGAGGCGTTTCGAAGCCCTTCACAGGACACACTGTAAAGTGTAGTGACTGTGCGTTTTGTGGGCGAAACGCAGCAGCAGCCAAGGACCCAGCGACGTCCCCACAGACAGGCGTGACATGTTTTAAATGAAATGTGATGCACACACACACGCTGGGGGGGAGAAGAGAATATTAATAATAATAATAATAATAATTGACTGTGTATTTAATACTCCTGTCGATTATTTTGCACTTGCTGCACGTTATGGGCGTGAAATCCAGATGCTGGGCTCTTGTTAGGATTCACTCGGTCCCCACATTAAACCTTCTACCCATTTTAATCCCTAAAGAATCCCGCTGAAGGAAATTGTTCCAATTGACAAACCAATTTCTCCATCGTTTCAGGCAGATTTACTGTGTGTCTGGCGGCAGATTTAACATCATGCACAAGCTGAACTGGCACCATTTCACGCCAGTTTCGCAAATGTTACCAAATTCAAAATAAAATAAAATAATAATATCCCTCTCTGCATCTTTGCCCTTCAAATTTAATTAAGTTTTTTTTTTAGTGGGCGTTTTTAATCACTTGCCATTAACGTTAAAGAAACTTCAGCCATTTTCATTACCTCTTATTTATTGCTTCTCGAAATGAGCTTAGAAGCTTTTCTGAAGCGTTCTCGCTCCGGGATTACTGCTTATTTCAGGGAAGAACAGGATGTTCTGTGTCACAGTTAAAAGCCATTGGTGTGGGCGAGAGGACTAACTGCAAAAGCATCTGGACTGAAAAGTCTGGAAATAAAGCAGAGATTTGCCATTGTACGTGCTAACAGTCAGCTCCGCAATCAACCGCGCACTTGAATCAGCACCTATAATGTCTCAACGTTTCAGCACGGCGCAGTGATTGCGTGCATTTTGTCCGCAAACTTTATTTGCGTTGCTTAATTACTTAATACAGGGCCTAAAGTGAGAATAACAGTAACAAATTGCATTGATGCAGCGCCTTTCACCGTTCGGGAAGATGTCCCAAAGCGCTAAATAAGACGGTTGTTGAACTCTATGGTGTCCCTTTGACACAAGCGTCTGTTAGTCTCAGTTTGTGTCACAAAATGCAATTTCTTTCTCTCTCTCTCTTTCTCTCTCTCGTTCTCTTGCCTTTTTCTCTCTTTCTCTCTCTCTCTCCCCCGTGCCTTCACCTCCCCTCTCAATTCTCTACCCCCTCCTCGCTCCCTCTCTTCCCTCCCCTCACCCTGACCATTTCCCCCCAAGGCTCGGGTCCCGACCCAACTGTCCAGCGCCCTGGGACGTCCTCCCGACGTGAAGGGCGCTCTATAAATGTGATCTTGTTGTTGTTGTTGTTGTAGGATTAAGCAGAGAGACCTTTGCTGAGGTGAGCGAGGGTTGTCACTGATCAGACAGCCACTAGATGGCAGGGCTGTATGTATCAGCAAACCATCAGGTACACGCACACGCGTGTGTCTTCCAGATGTCTCAAAGCGCTTCACGGAATAATACAGTGTGACACTGAGACACCGCATCACGTAATGCCAGGTAGATTTGTCCTGCAGCCCGTATCCGGTGCGTCGGAATAATACTGTGAATAATAATAATAATAACAATAATAATCCTTGCACTTTGGTAGAGTGACGCCTTATCACGGCGTCGAGACGTCTCAAAGCCGTCCATTGAGGCATCACGTTGCATTTAACGGAAACGGACGGGTTTGCTCTTGGCTGGTTCTGATTTAGCTGCCAAAAATACACGGGCCCCGGCCCCCACCACCCCCACCACCCCCGGAGCGGGGAGGGAGCGAGAGCAGGGGGCGCGATTAAAGCAAACAATTGACAAGGTATGATTTTTAACAGGGATTTTGAAGGTGGAGGGAGGGGTTTGGGGCGGTGGGGGGGAGGGGGGAAGGGCGTGAGGTGGAGGAGAGGGCGTGAAGTGAGATGGATCTGAGGAGAGAGAGAGACCCAAGGAGTCGAAGGTGAGTTTTCGGTCCCAGGGTGGGGAGCGAGCGGTCGAGCGGGAATTAACGGGATATAAATACTTCTTTATCAGAGATATTGGGAGACGGAACGAGCTGAAGTTAGTCGCCAAACCACGAGGACGAAAATCTCTTAATTGGAGCGCTGCCGCTGGTTTAAGTGACCGTGTTTTATAGACACCGGAGGAGAAGATACGGAAACGAACCGCAGATAGGCTTTAACCGCAATGTTTTCGCTGTGTTTAGTGTTTAATGTCGGCTACAAATCTCGGGGATTTAGGAATGTTCAGGGCTGTGGACACCGAGGCAGGGAACCTGATTACAGGCGTTTTTAAAAGATTGCAAAAGGGAATCAATAAGTTGTACGGTGATAAGCTCCTGCCACTTGTTGGGGGTGAGTCCGAAACTTAGTGCGAAATCAATACAAGCAGAAGCTGATCCACAAAACACACAGTTACTCCGCTTTCCAGCGGATCCTGTGAAGCGCTTTGAGACGTCTCGACGACGTGGTAAGACTCTGTATCAAATCCAAGAATTATTATTATTAACAGAGGGGGTTAGAAGGGTAGGAGAGGGGGATAGGGGGGGTAAGAGAGCGTATTAAGAGGGGTCGAGGCTAAACAACAGCACAAACTAGTTGGGCCGTAAGATTCTATGTAACTGTGTGATATAATTCCCTGAGCTTAGAAACTCACAGGCAAAGTTTGCGGCGTTCCACAAAGGCGTTCCTGATGTGAATTAACAGCACAAGCTCAGGATGCAAGTTGTCAATGTTACGGCTATTTTGCAGGGTGGGTGGGGGTGGAGGTGGGGATGGACTGGTATGTGGGGCAGGTGTCTGAGAGGAGAAAGATAAATTGATTTGTGATATGTGTGTGTTTTTATTATACAGCTTGAAATGTATTTCTCTCTCTCTCTCGCGCTCTCTGTCACAAAACCTTTGAGATTCCTGATCCATAGATCAGTTCTTTATCTTCAAAGACATAACACTTCAGCCGAGCGACATGTTAAGGCAGACAGTGAGAGCATCATCATCATCATCAACAACAAACCAGACCTGATATATATCAACATATTAGATGTTATGCTATATTGAGATTCCCTCTCCTGCACCCCTCTAATCCCCTCTCATACACCCCTCTATATTATATTGTATATTGTATTTGAGACGTCTCAACGACATGATAAAGTGCTGTATCAAATGCAAGGATTATCATTATTATAATTGGTGGGGAGGGAGGGGAGGGGAGCGAGTTGGGGGCACGGGGAGTGGAGTGGAAGTACACACACACACACACGCTAATACCTCAGATAGCACCTGGCACGCAAATCTAGAAGAATGCAAATTTCCGAGGCCTTTAATCAAGGTGTCCTTGATGAGCAGCTGGGAAGAGAAAGAGAGAGAGAGAGAGATGAGCTGAGATTCCAGGTGTGGCTCTGTGTGTGTCCCTCACGCCCTGACCTTTTCCCTCCTGTCTTCAGAAGTTGCCGTCGCTGACACAGGCTGCCATCAGCCGGTGTTTTTGTGATCGCGCTCAGCCCTCTTGGCTTCACCCTTAATCTCCGATCGGCCCAGGTATCTGACATGATAAGGCTCCGTACCAAATGCAAGGATTATTATTATTACCGTTGTCACCCACAAACACGCACACTCCCGACATCAGACGCGCACACACCCTTCTGCACTCTGTGGGCACTCTCTATCCCGACGGTTGATCCACACCGCGATAAGGAGAGCTCATCGATGCGTTTTCAAGTGTCAGCCCGATGGAATGCAAGCCGAGGCTTTTCATTGTAGAGAGATGTGAGTTGCGTGATAAGACCTGCCCAGCTCTGCCTCGCTCGCAATCACACAACAGCTGATTCCTCCTCCGACAGATAACCCCGCTCTTCGCAATGGCCCGACTAGCATCGCAAGAGCCCAGCAACAACCCACCCCAAAGAAAATCACCCCCCCACCCCCGGTCCTAGCCTCAACAGCGCCGTCTCTGACCGCAGCATCACCCTGTGCGAGAGGCTCTCACTCCATGATGTCCTCTCTACCCAACACACTGGACACCATTGAATACAAAGATCCCTCCACCGCACTTCAGTAATAATAGTAATAATAATAATCCTGGCATTTGATGGAGCGCCTCATCACGTCTTCGAGACATCTCAAAGCGCTTCACTGGATATACCGTAAAGTGGAGTGTAGTGACTGTGTGTTTATTTACTTTAGGGGGAGGGAGGGAGGGGGAAACGTCTGCTTTGCCTGACGGTCTGTGTGTTATTAATACAACCAGCTGTATGTGTGTTTGTCCCTGTTAATCCAGCACCAACCACTGCCAACAGGAGCTCATCTGAAGTAAGAGTGAAGAGAAGTGAGAGAGAGACTGTTTGCTGAAGAAGGCAATCGCTGGGCCTCAACAAAACGCCCTTCACCTCTCTTATCCTCTCCTCACCTCTCCTCTCTCACCTCTCCCTCCCCTCTCTCTCCTCTCCTCTCCCCTCCTCTCTCTCGTCTCCTCACCACAGGGTTAATGTTGAAGTGTTAGACCGTCTATTTTTAAACCATTGAAAAAAAATCTCACGGCAACACACAATATCAAATCTCCGAACGAAAGCTCACTGAAGAGCAAGGCATCGATTCCCTGTTCCTCCCCAGTGGCTGAGTCTGCGAAGCTTGCATCAAACAGGCTGCCCCGGATCTCAGTCTGGACGGTCCTGTCCTGCCCTCGCTTCGATGTCACGGGAAGCGCAGAGCGTGAAGGCTCGCTGTCGAGAC